GGGGGGGGGGGGGGGGGGGCGCGTGCGAGAGGGGCACTGCTGCGCACGAGCGAGGTGCGTGCGCTGCCTTGCCTGCACGCGGCGTTGTCTCGTGGGGCTGCGTGGTGAGCCGAGATGGGCGGTACGAAGCTGTGTGCGCCTCTGCAGGTGCGGGCGCAGAGGCCGAGATGGGAAAGCGAGAAGCAAGGGAGAGGGAGAGGGAGAGGGAGAGTGATGCGGAGAGCGAGAGAGCATCACGCGCCGCTGCTGCACGGCAGCAACACCGCCCGCCAATTCAGGGGCGCGTGCGGGCGTGGCGTCAGCGTCGCGCGGGCACGGCAGCAGCGGCGCGCGTGAAGCGGCGCGCGCGGGGTGGGAGCACCAACGGCCCGCCGCGGGCATACGAGCACAGCCTCACGCCGCGCGCTCTGCCTCGTCGGCGCTCGGGCGAGCATCCCTCTCGGCGCCGCCGCCGATGAGCAGCACTCTTACTGCAGCTTCTCGCGCTCGCCTTTCGCACGCTGGCCCTTGTGCGCTTTGCGGCTGCAGGGCGCGCGAGTGAAGCAAGCAGCGCTGCGGAGCCGGCGCACGACGGCAGGCGGCTGATCGGCAGATGGCTATTGCTCTTGCTCCTCCTTCGCCGACCTCCTTCTGCTGCTGCGCGGCAGGCGCAACCAGCTCCAGGCGCTCTTCTCCTCCGCTCGCCAGCGCTCGCCTCTGTACGCCACCAGCAGCAGGCCCAGCTGCGCCAGCGCCAGGATGACGGCCCAGGCACTGTAGAGCGCGCCATCGCCAATCGCGTCCTGCAGGCGGCCCGCCACTTCCGACGCCACAAAGGCGACGAGGCCGCGGAAGCAGCTGTTACATGCCACGGCCCCGGAACTTTGGCCTTTGTTGGAGTCGACGATCTGTTTGAGGCGCGGGCAGAGGCGTCAGCGAGACAGAGCAGTGCAGAGCGACCGGGGCCAGTGCGGGGAACTCACGTAGGAGAGCGTGCTTGCGCTGGGCGTGAGACAGCAGAGAGTCAGCTCGAGCTGCCAAAACGCTCAAGTCCATGTGACGGACTACACCCAGAACACGGCAAAACCGAGGATGACGAGGCTTATGACGGGGCCAGCGATGTTGGTGTGTCTCTGCGCCGTCCATGCATACGCCACAAATGCAGGCGGGCACAGCCACATGGCCGGTATGACACTGTGCAGCCGCTGCTCCGGCGGCGCCGTGCGTCCGTGCTTCTCCTGGAAGCTGCGCAGCCGGCGGTCGGAGAGCTTGCCGCCCAGCACGGAGCCGACGATGCCGCCCAGGCCGAGCGCCAGGAGCACGAGGCCGACGAGCAGCGGTGGGTAGTTGTACGGCGCGCCCGCGAAGGTGCGGGCGGCAGTGTAGGAGAGAGAGTATTGGGAGCCGAAAGCGAGCTGCGAGAGAGAGAGGCGGAAAGAGGGACGTCAGAGTTGTGTGCCAGCTTGGAGCATTCGTGCGCTGCTACTCACGCCCGAGTAGATGAGCGAGATGAGATTGTGAGGCTGGCGCAGGACGGTCTGGATGTTGTTGAGCGGACTGACATCGCCGAAGCTCGGCTTGAACTGATGTGCCGCAAATGCGGGGTCAGTGCCGATCCTCGCTGCGTAACGAGAGCGAGGGGGAGAGCTCACCTTGACTTCGGTGCCATCACTAGTCATCACCCTCTTGACGCTCGCGGCACTGCGAGCACGCGTGAGTGTCGGCCCAGGAGGCGCCGTGACAGCATGCTTGAGCGCGGGACGCTGCTGCTGCACGTCTGCATGCGCGTATTGCAGCGAAATGGTCTTGTTCATCATCGTCGGCGTGGCCATCGGGAGAGCTGTGGCGGGTGCAGTAGCAGCGGGGGCATCGAAATAGGCCGGCGCCTGGAACGCCCGTGCTTGTACGGCATGTGCTGCCGCGCTCGAGCTCGAGCTGGACGACGGCGACGCAGGCCTGCAGCGCCCGAGGCAGGCAGCGCCGCTGGCGTGCAGGCGCGCGAGAAGCGAGCGTCGCTCTTTGCCCGCCGGCATGGCGTCTGCTCGCGCTTGGGCTCGCTTCCTCGCCTTCTCTGCGGAGGGAGAGCAGGGAAGGGAAAGCCGTGAGTTGCGCTCCCCAAAGTCATGAGGGCGAAGGAAGGCTCACGCCAAGCTAAGCTGCGTTCCACCCGGAACTGCATCGTGGGCACCGCTGCGTCAGCGCGATGCATCGCTTCAAGCTCTCTCTGCGTCGCCCGCAAAACTCACAGTCTCTCGAAAGAAGCCGAAACTCAAGCAAGAGACGGCACCCATGACGCCCATGAACCAAAAGGTGGTGCGCCAGCTGCCTGCCTGTGTCAGAGCACCTCCGATGACTGGTGCAAAACTACCCGGGGAGGGGGGGGGGGGCGGACTCAAGTCGTCAGTGGCGCGGTGCCGGAGAAAGGTGGGCCGTGAGGTCAGGGCACGGGAGGCCACTCACGCGGGCCCGAGGAGTGGCGCAGAGTAGTAGATGCCCACCTGGTTGGGGTTCGCAAAGGGCCACGCCATCAGCCTTACGCTCACACACTCTCTCCCACCCTTCCACTCACCTTGACGCCGCGCTCATAAGGCTCATACATATCGGCGATGCTGCCCGCGCTCACGCTCAGCATCGCACTGCTGCCCGCCGCGCCCAAGATGCGCAGGGCAATGAGCGCGCCGATGGTGCGCACTGCCGAGGCGGCGCCTGTGCAGACGCTCTGCCGATTGGGGTCAGCGGAGAAGAAGAAGAGGGGGGAGGAGACGCACGAAGATGGTCATTGCCCTGGTCGCAAGAGGGTGTCAGTGGAGAAAGAATGCGAGGGCAGGCAGAGGGCGCACGTACGAGAAGAAACAGCCTCTCCGGCCCACGATCTCGCTCAGCGGGCTCCATAGCAATGGAAAGCTTCCTGTGCGCCAGATCGTATCAGCCCCATCGTCCCTCGGCAGTCTCGCCCCCCTTCGCTGCTGCCCAACGCACCCTGAGTGAGGATGTACAACGAGATGCTGAGGGCAATTTCCGCCTGTGTGGCATTCAAGTCGTTCTGCAGCTCCGCAATGGCAGGGAAGAAGATGTTTGCCTGTGTTCCCGCAGCCCATACACCCATCAGCTTGTGGCGCATCCCCGGCTTGGCTTCGCGTGAAGCAAAGCGCAGCACTCACCGCCATGGTAGGGATCAGCGCGCCAAAGCTGAGCATGGCCAGCTGCAGCCACTTGCGCGCCGCAGACCAGAGGCGCGGGTCGTTGGTGACGAGCTGGTGCTCGATGTCGAGCTCCTCGGGCTGCTGTGGTGGCTGCGTCTGTGCCTGTGGCGGCGCCGAGCCGTCTGCGGCGACGGAGAGCGCGACAGGCGCGGCCTCGATGTCGACGTCGGGCTCGGAGCCGGACGCCGCATCCGTGCTGTGTTTGGAGGCGTGCAGCACGGAGAGAGGCATGTCTGTCTGCGCTATGGACGCTGCTGCGGCCGAGGCGGGAGCTTGTGGCGGCCTCATGGCTCCGGACGCCGGTGAGGGCGTGCCCTTATACGCGGCGGGCAGCGCTGGTGTGTGACTCGCGGCCAAAGTCGCCGCTCCGAAGGAGGAAAGATCGTGCCTCGGGAGAGCGGTCGCTTTGCTCGTGCGCGGGAGGCTTGCTCTCTCCTCTCGCGTCTCTACTTGGCGCTTGCGTCTGTGGTGGTCGGAAGGCGACGCAAGAGTCATGCCTTCTCCCCCTCAGAGAGCCCTGCATCGGGGCTCATGAGCGAAATGACGCCGCACAACGCTGCTGCCGCGCCGCGGTGCGGGGATGGCGGAGCAAGCTGCATCCCGTGCCGCGCTGCCGCGGCTCGGCGCTATCCGGACCGGCGCGTCGCTCGCTTGGGCGCAGGAGCAGCGTACCAGGGGGCGCATCGGCCGCTCGCCGAAGCGCGCATGCGCGCGCGCCGAAGGGCGCCTCGGCGTGCGTCGGCGCATCGGAGGGAGCGCCCGAAAGTGTTGTTGCGGGGCGTGGGAACAAGGAGAGGAGCCGCTTGGCAGGGGCCCGAGGCGTCAGCGTCATCTCCTCGGCAGAGCGCCGATATTCTTGGGCCTCGGTGCGGCCAAGGGAGGGACGCTTGGGAGAGGAAGAGGCGGCCCACTTGCTGCCGCTGTCCAGAGGCGTGGGTGCGCGCGGCGACGCACGGCAGAGCAGAGCCAGCTGCGGCGTCAGCACAGCGGCTTCTCAGCAGCGCGCGCGCGGTCCAGCGCACGCCGCCCTCAGCATCGCCCTTGGCGAGCACTTGGCGCGCCCCCTTTGATACGCAGCTTGAAGCGCAGGTAGCGCTCGGCGGAGGCAGCGGCACTGAGCCACCTGAATGTCCAGGTCTAGTCTCAGAGTGGAAGCTGACGCTGGTGGGCAAGAGTCTCGAGTGAGCAAGTCGAGGTGGAGGCGCCCAGTCCCGAGTGCCGAAACATTGTCCTCGCTCTCGGGCTCGGCTTTCCCACGCCAGCGCCGCCGCACACGACATGCTCACACAACGCACCCTCGGCCGCCACGCGCAGCACTCGTGAGCGCATGCATTCGAGCGGGCGCGCACAGAAGACAGAGGAGGGTCGCACGGACGGGCTCGCAGAGCCAGCTGGAGCCCGCGGGGCCTAGGGATGGGCAGCGCTGTGCCGCAGCAGCGCTAGCGGCGCGGCGACGAGCCGTGCGCGCTCGACACGCCCGGGATGACGATGCGCAGCGGCGGCCGTGCTGCCACGCCGCGCGCCGCTCGCCGTGGTGCACGCAGCGTGTAGGCGGCGAGTATGGCGCTCGCATCGACTGGCTCCAGCACGGCTGCAGTGCGGCTGCCTTCGCTGCCGCTGCGAGCACCCGACGGCCGTGTGGCGAAGGCCGGACGTGCGCTTGGCTCGCACAGGCGTGGCGCTTCGGCGCGGGCCCGCGCAGCAGCGCCCGAGCCACAGTCCTCGCTGGCGCACCAGGACATGTCAGTCTCCGACGGCACAGCCTCGTCGGGCGTGCGCGGCGAGGCCGGCTCGGAAGTCGACGACGAGCTCGACGAGCGGGCAGAGTTGCCCGTCTCGGTGCGGCAGTGTAGCGGCGAGGAGGCGATCACCTCCTGCGGCTCGAGCGCAGCCGGTGCTGTAGCAGACTCCGCCTCGAGCGTCTCGTGCGACGAGCTTGAGGCCTGCTTGTACACCTGCCCGGCCGTCAGTGCGGCGCGGCGTGCCCACTCGCGATCGCTGAACGAGGCCATCGACGAGATCGAGTGGCTGCGCCCGTAGACCTGCGAGCGCCATGCCTCAGCACAGGACACGCGCCTCATGAGGCGTCGCACTCACAGACGCGTCGGACTCTGCGTCGAGCTCGTACTGAAACGTCGACCGTCCGCTTGCGGCGCTGCGTCGGCGCATGTGCGACTGCGGCGAGAGGCCTGACATGCCGAGCTCTGGCTGTGCAGTGTCGAGCGCATGCTGCGAGCAGAGATCTTGTACTGTGCCCGTCTGGCAGTCCGTCAGCCTGTGCTCTGCATCCTCGTGCCAAGCGACTCGCAATGTAGGGATGGCCATAAGCAGCCGGCGCCAGCGGCGGCTGCCTCCGATCGTCGCGCCACGGAGCCGAGCCCCACGAAGTCACACTGGCGGCGCCCGGCGCGGCAGCGCGTGTCTGCCGCTGACGGCCGAGACGCAGAGTGAGCGGCTCGAAATTCTGCGAGCCGGGCCGGCTGAGCGAGACCGGAGGCTTCTGAAGGGCCCGTCAGGCCATGCGAAGGCGACGCCTGGACCGCGCAGCACGCACCACAAAAGGGTCGTTCAGCGAGCCCAGCTGCGATAGGCTCCCTCGGTTGCCGAAGCTGCTTGCCGTGCTGGTCACGCGAAGTCGTCCGAGCGCGCAGCACTCGCGGCACTGGGCACCGCCTGCGAGAGAGCGCGCCGACGAGAGCACACACATGAGTGACGCCTTGGAAGCGAGCTGCATCTGAGGCAGGGGTGAGCAACAAGGAGCGGGTGAGAGGCGTGATCACGGACACAGAGCGAGGCGTAGCCGAACTGCCTGCGAGCGAACGAGGTCAGCCACAGACGAGAGCAGTCAGATGCGCCGCACCCTAGGCATGCAAGTGAGGTCGCGCAGATGCTAAGCCTGTGGTGAGAATGTCGCTCAGCGGTCAGTCCACCCCGCCACCCTGCCGAGCGGGCCGCTCACGCTGCTGGAAGGACACCAGAGGCCATGAGAGACTGCTCCACCAGCGACACCCGCTTCGAGCATGTCTGTCTCGCACAGCGTCAGCCGCCCGCACCCTTGATGCCTCGCTTGCCACTCACATGCGAGTCGGCAACGCAGATGCCGAGAGACAGAAGCACGCCGACGCAGAGCGACACGAGCTGCAGAGACGTGTCAGCTCGGCCCCATGCCTCGACTGCCGGGCCCACTCGCGCTTGAGAGGAAGCTCCAGGTGAACGTCGGGCCTGCGTTTGACGGCAGTTCGTCCATACGGCGCATGCTCTGTTGGGGCGAGCATTCTGAGCGCCTCAGTGGCAGCTGAGCTCTGCGTCGCCGCTCACCATGAGGTCCTTGAACAGGCCGAGGCCGAGACAGATGCCGATGGCCGCCAGCACGCCGAGCACTCCGAAGCAGGCGCGCGCCGAGAGCCAGCGGCCGGGCGCCGAGGCGGCGAGGCGCGCTTGGGCGAAGCGCAGCAGCCAGATCTGCGAGCCGCCGAGCAGCGCCGCGGCGAGCACGAGGGCGAAGCAGTGCTCGAGATGCGCGGCCCCGAGCAGCGCGTCGCCGCCGGTGGCTGGGCGGAAGAGGAGCATGTAGGCCGCCTCGAGCTCGAGCACGACCTGCGCAAGCGCGAGGAGCAGCAGCAGCACGATGCTGGTGCGCTCGAGGCGCGAGCGCGGCTCGCCGACGAAGCGCACGGCGAGGCTGCTGCAGATGCCAAGCGCTGGGTGCGAGTGTCAGCGAAGAGCCAGCTGTGCGCACCGGGCGTGCTCACTGAAGACGCCGAGTGCCGCAGCGAGCAGCCAGGGCGCAAGCTGGGGGTGCGGCCGTCAGTGCGGTGCGAGGCGCAGCACGGCAGTGAGCCGCACCTGGGCGCGCGCTGCGGCAGACGGCAGCGTCGCGGGCAGCACGACGGCGGGAGAAGGATGCGAGAAGGAGGACGAAGGGGCAGGCGCAGCGGCCTGGCGCGCTGCCAGCAGCGCGGCGTGCGGCAGGCCGGGCATCGCACAGCGAGGCGGCGGCGGCGGCGGCGGGAGCGAGTGGCGACACGGGCAAGCAGCGCAGGGCGCGGCGTGGGAGGAGCGAGACGCAGAGGCGGGGATGGGAGATGGGAGGCGAGTGCGGTGGCGGCGTGCGAGCCGAGCATCGGTGGGAGCGAGATGCCCGCCCAGGCCTCTCCGTCTCCCTCGGCATCGGCGCGCCGTCGCAGCGCACAGCTGCAGCTGCCGGGCCGTCCGTCTGCACTGCTGTGCTCATGCTGCTGCTCGAAGACGCCGAGAAGAGGCGACGCCCAGCACCGAGAGAGGCAGGTGCAGCGCGCGGCGAGGGGCAGACGGCGGCCCGATGGGGCAGGTGCGGCGCTGGGCGCAGCAACTTGAAGCGGCGCCACCGCGCAGCAAGCCGCTCGCTGTGCCGCGTGCCGTGGGCCGTGCCGCAGCAGGCGCCGCCTCGCCGCAGTGGCAGTGCTGAATCTGAATGCCACACAATAAGAATCGCGGCAGAGGCGAGCTTTGCCAGTCGGGCAGGCCGCAGCTGCAGTCCGCCACAGCGCGCAGCGAGAGCAGCGCCGCTGGCCGACACGCGCCGCACAGCAACAAGCAGCACGCGCGCCTGATCGGGCGCCTGAGCGTGGGAGCGGCGCGGGGGCGATCTGCAGCGGCGCGCACGAGGCCCGTGCGGCGTTGAACGTTCGCCTCGACGTCGGCGCCGGCGGCCAGCTGCTGCCTTCTCTCTGCTCCACGCCACACCCTGCCCGCTTCGCCCTGCACCTCCGGTCACATACCGCCCTCGTCGCACGCGCTCCGCTGCGTCGCTCCGGCCCCGCCTCTGCATCCGCGCCGCCATGTCCGTGTCGGCGCTGCTCGCCGCTGCGCACGACGCCTCGGCCGAGGCGACGCTCGGCATGCGCGCCTGGGCCGCATCGCTCGCCGCCTCGCCGCACGACGACGGCGCCGCCGCCGCCAGTGTGCACAGCAGCGACGCCGGCCTGCTCGCTCGCCTGCTCCGCCCGGCACTGCCGCCGCTGCTGGCGCCGGTGCCGGCACTGTGCCGCGCCGTCGCGCTGCTCATCGTCGCGCCCATCCTGCTCGTCGGCATGCTCGACTTTGCCTGGTACGCCGTCTTCCGCACGCTCGGTGAGTGGCGCGGTGCGGCATGTGCAGGGCGCTGCCGGTGCGTGACCCTGGCCGGCTGCTGACCACGTCGATGTGCAGGCCTGCGCCGCCGCCGCGTGCGCGTGCGGCGCAGCGACGAGGCGCCGATGAAGGTGCCCATGCCCGGCACCAACAACACGGCCCCGGCACCCGGCGCATCGCCGACGAGCGGGCGCGCGCCGGTGCTGACGCCGGGCGCCTACGACGCCGACACGCTGCTGCGGCACCGCGCACGCTCTGCCTCGGCCGCCTCTGCCGACGCCGAGGAGGAGTGGCTGCGCACCGGCGGCCAATTTGCGCGCGTGTCGGCGGTGCGTGCGGCGGCGCTCGCCAGCGGCGCCTCGACGCCCGACGGCAGCGGCGCCCGCAGCCCGCTCGACAGCCCCGGCGCGGCACGGGCATCGCTGGCGCGCGCGTCGGGCGTCGGCGTGGAGGGCGCGCTGGGCTACTTCGACACCGACGCCGAGGAAAGCGGCACGGAGAGCGGGCGTGCCAGCCCCGTGGCGTCGTTTGGGCGTGCCGGCGGCCCGCGCGCCAAGCGGGCGGGCAGCGGCTTTGGCGCCCTCGGCTTCACGCCCGTCAGCCAGACGGCGCCCGGCCGCGGCGGCGGCAGCAGCAGCGGCGACGCCGGGCGTGCGCCGCTGCCGCTGTGGGGCGACGAGAGCACCGACGACTTTGCGGCGGCCGCCGCCGCAGCGACGGCGGCCGATCTCGAGCCGGAGCTGGCGATGGCGACGTAGCTGCGTGCCGCGACGGCGAGCGCCTCGGCCGTCTGCGGCGCCTCGTCTGCGCCTCGACCGTCCACGCCGCAGCGGCGAGCGCCTCAGCCCGCCTCGTCTGCTCCTCGGCCGCGCATCCCTGCACCCTGCTCGCTCTACGACAACCCTCCGGCATGTCCGCCCTTTCAGCCCTGTATTCCCCTGGTCACCCCGTCCCGTCCACGCCCGCCACGTCCCGCCACGTCCCGCCTCCCGGGCTCTGCGCCGTGCGCCGTCGCTTGCCGCCGCTCGGCAGGCATCTCGTGCACGGCCGCCGAATGCCATCTCGGTGCCACTGTGTCTGTGCACGGCAGTCTCTTCTGCTGCAAAGTGTCGTGAGGCGTCTGAGAGGCTCGGCTAGTGACTGCGCTGTGCCGGTGCAGGAGGCTGAGAGCGATGAGGACGGCGGGCCGCCACACCTGGGCGTGGAGATGCATGGCCCGCTCGCCGCCGCCGCTGCCGCTGATGGCCGCGCGCCGCCGGGCGCCGACGCCGGCTGAGAGAGCGGCGCAGCATGCAGCGTCGTCGCACTGGCGCCGGCTGCGAGGGCCGAGGGCCGTGTGCGGTGCAGCACGCCTGTCCAAGCGCGCCGGCGGCGTTGCGAGAGGGCCGGGTGCGAGGATGCAGCGTCCGCAGCGCCGTCTGCTGGGCTGTGCTGTGCTGGCCCCTGTGGGTGGAGCTACATCTGGCGGCGGCGGCGAGCGCTGCTGGCGCTGCATGACGGCGGCGGTGCCGGCGCGGGCTGAGGCTGCACCTGGAGGTTGGGCGCGTTGCCACCGCGCCGCGCCCGCCGCTGCGTGCCTGCTGCGCCGCGGGGCGCATGCCTCGCCGGCTGCGGGCGGCGTGCCTGAGGCGGTCTCTGGCGGGCGCTGCGGCCGCTGCGCCGCCGTGCGTTGTGCGGCCGGGCACATCGCAGCGCAGCCGCCGCCTCACCCACCACCACCACCACCACCATCACACACCGCATCCCACACACTCACCATGCTGCTCGCCATGTCCAACGCACCCGCACTCTCGCCCGCGCCGCACGCCAGCTCCTCGACGCCGCGCAAGCCGCGCGCCCGCCCCGCCGCCAAGCGCACGCCCGCCGCCGCCGCCGCGCAGCCCGCCGCCGCACCACAGCCCGCCGCTCCCTCGGCGCCGGCGCTCACGTGGCAGCAGCAGCTGCTCGCCGCCACGCCGCCGCCGCCGTCGCCGCAGCCACAGCCCGCCGCACGCAGCGCCAAGGGCAAGGCCAAGGGCGACGCCGCCGCCGCAAAGGCCGTGCCCGCCAAGCACGCTGCCGCAAAGGGCGCGCCGGCAAAGGGCAGCAAGGCGCCCCGGCAGCCCGCCAGCACAGGTGGGTGCGGCAGCCTGTCCTGCCACGCCGTCCGCCACTGACGCTCCCCAGCAGCGCGCGACTCGTCGCAGACGTGGCAGCAGGCACTCCTCTCCGCCAGCGCGCCCGCGTCGTCGGCGCCCAAGTTCGACTATCCGGCGTGCGCGCGCGACGTGGCCACGTTTGGCGACGCCTCGTCGTCGCCCGCGCGCCCCATCGCCGTGCCCTCGATGGGCGGCGCGCCGCGCACGCCGACCAAGACGCCGGCGCCCGCCGCGGGCGCCGCCGCCGCCGCACTCGCCTATGCCGGGCCCAACTTCCACAACTCGCCCAGCCCGGCGTCGCTGCCGAAGCCGACGTTTGGTGCCCGCTCCGCGGCGGCGCGCTCGGCGCTCGGCGCCGCCTCGTCGGGCGATGAGGCGCCGCAGCGCGCCCGCACGCCGGGCTCGCCCAGCCGTGCGCGCCGCGAGCGTGCCGGCGACGAGGCGGCCGCCCCGGTGGCCGCTGCGCCCGAGCAGGCGCAGGCCAGCGCGCCGCACCCGCAGGCGCCGCTGCCGTCGGCTGAGCGCAAGGCACAGACCATCGAGGAGCTCATGGCGCGCATGCTGGCGCCGCCGCCCAGGGCCTCGAGCTAGCCGTGCGCTTCGCCGCCGCCGTCCGCCCATGCTCCTCTTGCTCTCCCGTCTCGCTCCCTCCGGCCTCGCCTCGCTCCGCTCTGTCTCGTCCCGTCGGCTCTCCGGCTCTGCCTCTCGATTTGTCAGATTCTCGTCTTGTCCTTCGCCATCGGCCTTCCAAGACTCGTGCGCCTCGTCCGATTCACAGCATGGCGGCTGAGCTGCGCCACTTCTCCCGCCGTGCTGTCTCGTCCACTCTTCAAGTCACCAAGCAGGCACCGCCTGCTCCGCACCGTCCGCTGCTCGCTGCTACGCAAGCTCGCTGCAAGCGTGCAGCCTGCCTCGGCCCTCCCACACTCTTCTCTACGACGCGTCCACACTGCTTCTGATCCACGACATCGCTGCTCCACCGCCATATCCTCGCGTGCCACGCTTCATCGCTCGTCCATCAGCTTCAAGTCTCGTTTCGTCGCCTCGCTCATCCTGTCTCTCTCGCCGCCGCCTGGGTGCCAAATTCTCAAACACCCTCGCGACCTTCTCGTCCAGTCCGCTCTGCACGCAACAGCCTGCTCCGGTGACCTTTGTGTCCAAGCTGCCGTCACTTCTTCGCACTCGACCGCAGCCACGTCGCAGTCACGCTGCATCCGCCGCACCGTGCACATCACACCCCTCATCGACGTCCTCTGCATCCTATCACCTCGTCGCTGCACGCCCGCGCGCGCTTTGACGGCCTGCCTCTTCTCCCGTCGCTGGCCAAGCTGATGCTCTAGTCGGCCTTCATCTCGTCGCTGCACTCCCGCGCGCATCATACCATCCACCGTCACCCGCCGTCAGCTCTTCGACCAGCCTCGTCGCTGGCCGTCAACGTCCTCGCTCACTGCGGCAAGCCCGATGCTGTCGTCGCCTCGCGCATGCGCGCCTCTCACGCCGACCCCCTCCGCACGACACTTGCTGCTGCTGCAGCATGCGGCGAAGACTGACCCTCTCGACCAAATCGCTGCGTCCGGTGCCTCGATTGCTCTCGCGCAATCGACGCTGGAGCGTTCGCTGCAGGCTCTCGATGCTCGCGAGCAGCTTGCGGCTTTCCGCTGCTCGCCAGCCGCACGCCGGAGCGCCACCGGCCTATTCCTTTGCCCAGGAGACGGCCAGCCCTCCAAGCCAGCATCTCCCTCCCGCCTCTCACTCGCCTCCACCCTCTCTCACTTCACCCTCACACCCGCTCCTGCCCTCACCCTCCGACCCTGCCCGCTCTCTTCCCTCTCTCCCAATGCCATCCATCCCTCCGCTGTGTGTCTTGCGTTGTGCCTGCCGGGCGCGGCGCTGCCGTGTGGGCCCTGTGCGAGGCAGCTGCCGATGCGGCGGGGGGCAGGGCATGGCGACATGCCCGCGATGCGGCACTCGGGAGTTGAGCGTGGAGCGCAGTGGAGCAGCGAGCAGCAGCACCACGTTGTCCTGGCCCTCTGCGGCCGCCGCTGCGCTTCTCTCCGCTCCACCACGCTCGCCCGCATGCACTCGCACCACTCGCACTCGGGCGCCTTCTGCGCACACGCCGGCGCATGCTCGCCGGCGTCGATGCTGGCGCACGCCGCCGCGCTCGGCTTCCGCTCCTACCACCTCAGCGAGCATGTGCCGCGCCGCCACGCCGCGCACCTCTACCCCGAGGAGCGCGCCGCCGGCCTCGGCCCCGCCGAGCTCGTGCAGCGCTTCGAGGCCTATCTCGCCGCCGGCCGCGCCGCCGCCGCCACGCAGCCGCAGCTCGGCACGCTCGTCGGCGCCGAGACCGAGTTCATCGACGCGCCCGGCGGCGCAGACGGCCGCGCCGACCTCGTCGCCGTGCTCGAGGGCCCGGGCAGCAGCAGCGGCAGCAGCAGTGCGCCGCCGCGACACGCAGCCGCCGTCGGCAAGGGCCGCGTCGACTTTCTCGTCGGCGGCGTGCACCACGCCCACGACCTGCCCATCGACTTTGACGTGCCGTCGTTCGAGGTGGCCCTGCGCGCCTCGGCGGCAGCAGCGCGCCCAGAGGCCGAGCTGCCGCCAGACGAGCGGCGAGCGGCACACTGGGCCCTCGCGCGCACCTACCTCGACCAGCAGCTGGCGCTCATGCGTGCAGTGCAGCCCGAGGTCATCGCGCACTTTGACATCTTCCGCCTCTGGAGCCCCGAGCTGCCGCTCGCGCCCAGCGGCAGCGACACGCCCGAAGAACAGCGCATCCTCGGCGAGCTGCACGCACGGCTGCGGCGCAACGTCCGCTTCGCCGCCAGCTACGGCGCACTGTTTGAGGTGTCGGGCGCTGCGGTGCGCAAGGGCTGGCCGACGCCGTATCCGGGGCCAGAGGTGCTGGAGGTGAGTTGTGCGCGTGCCGGCGCGTGCCAGTGCTCTCTGGCGCGCTGCAACTCTGACGCTTACGTTCTACAGCTCATCCTCGAGAGCGGCGGGCGCCTCTGTCTCTCCGACGACGCCCACTCGCCAGCGCAAGTGGGTCACTCCTTCCTTGCCGTGCGTGCCTATCTGCAGCAGCACGGCGCAGCCATCCACGTGCTGCGGCGAGACCCTGCGCCCTTCAGCCGCAGCGAGGCCAAGGCGGCAGAGGAGGAGCGGCAGCGTGCCGCGCGCGAAGCCTCTCCACGGCCAGGCGACGGCGCTCCGACACGCTTCGAGCGCGGCGCCGAGGCGCACCTCGTAGAGGGTTGGGCAGAGGACAGCTTCTGGGAGCAGCTCGAGCCGCGGCGGGCGGCACTCGAGCGGCAATGAGACCGATGCCAAAAGCAGCTGAACGCGCATGTCTAGATGGTTGTGCAGCACGAGACCCTGAGTCGTACAGATGTGAGACGCGGCGCGAGCAGGAAAAGCGAGTGAGCTCAGACGCGAATGTTGAAGTAGATGCCGAAGTCCTCGAGGCGCTCGCAAGCCTCGTAGCGCTCTGCCCTGATCTTCTTCTCCAGCTCCGGCTGGCCCTGCAGGCGCATGCGCATCAGCTCTGCCCTCGCCACCCAGCCGCGCCGGCACACTCACGCCGATGCCCAGGAAGCCGCGCGTGTTGAGGATGCGCCGCTGCTGGTGCTCGCGGCTGCGCTCGCACGACGCATACAGCTGGTTCTTGTAGCCATTCTCGACGCGCTCCTCGAAGCTCTTGAGCGCGCCGTGCGAGCCGGCCTTGTACTGCTCGACGAACGGGTGCTTCTCCCACTGCACCGGGCTCACGTGGTAGCTGACGCCGTGGCGCGGCGTGAAGCGCTGCGCCGTGTGTGCGCCCGACGGCGCCCAGGTGAAGGACGGGTCGGGCGTGGCGAGCAGCGAGGGCAGGTAGGAGATGAGCGAGAAGAGGCCGAGGATCAGCAGCGGCAGCAGCTGCAGCAGCGGCGACGAGTCGGCCGCCTGCGGCCCGCGTGCGCCGCCGGCACCTGCTCGCCGCTGTCCGCCGCCGGCCGTGTACACTCGTGCGCCGCCCGGCCCGCCGAAGGAGAACGTCGTGCCGCCGCCGCCGAAGCCTGTGTGCCGAGCGTGAGCGGCAGTTGGCATGCACGCCGCGCCACGCCCACTCACCCGGCCCCATGCCGCCGCCAAAGAACATGTTGAAGAGGTCCTGCGGGTCGATCTCGCCGTTCATGCCGCCGTGCGTGCGGAAGTGCTGCCCGCCGCGGAACGCCGGCCCAGCGCCCATCGTCTGCCGCGCATCGGGGTCGCCGCCCTGCCGGTCGTAGATGGCGCGCTTGTCGCCGTCGGAGAGGATGGTGAAGGCCTTGGAGACGACTGCGAGGCAGCGTCAGGCGCATGCCGACGAGGGCACGGCCGGTGCGGTGCTGTGCGTGCTCGCCAGAGCGTCCACGTCGCGCCCCTCTGCCCGACCTGCCACTCGATGCCGGCACACTCACTCTTGAACGCCTCGTCGGCTCCCGGTGCGCCGTTCTTATCTGGATGCAGCTGCAGCGCCAGCTGTCGCACGTCGCCGCTCGTCAGCCGCCGCACCGCGCGCCGCCAGCGCGCCCACGCCTCACCTTGCGGTAGCCCTTCTTCACGGCGCTCTCGTCGGGCGAGTCCTCCTTCTTGAGGCCGAGCACGCCGTAGTAGTCGTGCGCACGCCCCGCCGCATTCACCCGCTTCACGACGGCCGCCTGCTCCGGCGTCCACTCGCGCGCCTTTTGCTTCTCGGGCGGCGCGCGCGCCGACGGCGCCGGTGAGCTGCCGGCGGCGGCGGCGGCGGCGGGCGCCCGGCTGCGCAGGCCCTCACCGCCGGGTGCCGCTGCGCTGCTGGTGCTGCTACCCGACGGGCCCGCCGCTGCGGCGCCGGCGCCGCTCTCGAGCTTCTCGACGAGGAAGCGCGCGTCGGGCGTGGCGTTGATGGCGAGCGACTTGCGTGCCCACTTGAGCGCGGCGACGTGGTTGCCGGCGTCGGCGTGCTTGCGCGCCAGCTTGAGCGCCGCAAGGGCGTCTTCCTCGGACATGGCGCGGCAGGTGCGGTGCGGGACGGGGGCGAGGCTGGAGGCAGGAAGGTGGAAAGAGAGTAAGAGTGCCGAGCACGAGCGCCGGCCGCCGCCGCCGCATGCGCCGTCCGCGTGCCGCGCTCTGCCGCCGCCGTGGCGCGACGTGGCACAGCATGCGCTGCCGCTGCGCCTGCGCCGCGCCGGCACCGGCCCGCCCGCCCGTGCCTGCTCCACGACAGCTCACACGACAAGCGCAAGCGAAGCGTACGGCAGCTGGCGAGCACATGCCACATGTCATGTGCGCCAGATCGGTGCTGCACCCGACGCTCACACTACACACGCGCGTCAAGTGATGGGGTAACATTCGGGCCTGCGCGTCCTGGCGGCGGCCGTACATCGTAAAGGGAAGCGTCGTTCAGAAGGCCTGGCCCGGCGCCGCATTGGCCAGCGTGGGCGAGTGCGGCCGCGCCGCATACACCTCGTCGTCGTCGTGCTGCTGCAGCGGGTGCGCCAGGCCGGCGGGCGCGGCGTCGTCGTGGTCAGGCGACTTGGAGGCGTGCGAGCGCGCGCTGACGAGGTCGTCGTCGGTCGTCGTGCGCTCCTCGTCGCTCTCGCGCGGCGCCAGCAGCGAGCGGCGCGGCGCCGGCGTGCCGGTGTGCCGGCTGCCGTGGTCCGACGAGGACGGGGGCGGCAGCAGCGGCGACGGCGGCGCATCGCGGTACGGCGCCGGCGCCTCGCGCTCGGTGCTCGAGGCGCCGGCGATGGACGTCGCCTTGAGGAAGCGCTGCGTGTCGGTGCGCCGCTGGGCGCGCTTCTCCAGCAGCACCGTCGCGACGCACGCCACGGCCGCCAGCAGACAGGCGGCGGCGTTGAGCCACGTCACGACGGAGAGGCCCAGCGCCAGGCTGTGCCAGCGGCGCAGGCCGCGCAGGCCGAGCGTGTCGACTGCAGGAGCAGTCAGCCAGGGCTCCAACACCTCGTCAGAGCAGATGCACTCACGCGACCACTCGTAATCGGGGTCCGCGCCCGGCACGACGGCCTCGCGGCGGTAGTCGAGGCGCAGGGCGCGCGTGAGGAGCACGCCGAGTGCGGCGAGCGTGATGCACGGCAGCAGCACCGTGGCGGCACGCACGTAGCCGAGCGCCGGAGCGGGCCGCGAGCTGCGGCCCTTGGAGGGCAGCAGCTCGACGTCGGAGGCGCCGTGCGGGTACCGCGGCTGCCCGGCGCTGCTGCCGGCCCACCACTTGCGCACCGAGGTGCTGCGCGAGCGCCCGCACACGGGCGGCCACAGCAGCGCGAGGACGAGGACGAAGGCGAGAAGCGTCATGGCGGCGCCGAGGATGCAGAAGAGGTACGACATCTCCTCGGCCAGCAGCACGACGAGCACGAGGCCGACGCAGCTGAGCGCCAGCGACACGGCCAGCAGGCCGAAGTGGCACGCTCTGCGGCAGCGGCGGCGAGGGGTCAGTGCCTGTGCGGCGTGGATGGGTGCGGCGCGGCGCACCTGGACACGCCCATGGTTGCGAGTGGTGGGGGAGTGGAGCGGAGGCAAGATGCAGCTGTCACCCACGTCGAATAAGAATGAGGTGCCTGAGCGCCGCGCTGCCCATGCGGCAGCATCACGCGGCGGCGGCGGCGGCGGCGCTGTTCGAGAAGGCGAAGGGCAAGGCGGTGCTGCACTCTTACTGCAGCCGCACGCGAGAGAGGAGCGCTGCCCTGCCGCGCCGCCGTGCCGTCGCAGCAGAGCCCGCGTGCTGCCGGCTGCGGTGCCGCGGCGCCGCCTTGGCCGCGCTAAAGCACACAGCAGCGGCACGGCACGGTCGACGTCGGCGAGGCGGCAACAGCTGCTCAGCTGCAGCCGCTCAGGCAGCGCTTCCCCTCCGGCCGCGGCTGCCTCCTGTCTCTGGCTGCCGCCGTCGACTGCGCCCCGCGTGGGCGCAGCGGCGCCCGCAAGGCCTCCACAGCAGCTTCACCCGGCATCCCCCTGTCCGCACATGCAGTCTCCTGCTGGTGTCACCGGGCGCCGGGCCTGGCAGCATGTTCTGCCTATCGACAGAGCATGGCTCTCGCCGCGAGCTGCGATGAGACGCTGCAGCCAGCCTTGTCTGTGCCCGTAGGACATCAGGCAGGGCGCCAGCCAGCTGAAGCGTCCGCTCAGCGTCGGCAGGGGACGCACAGCGCCACAGCATGACTTCAATGGCGTACGGGGCCCGCCTCGACAGCAACGCAGCGCACTGTTCTGCCCGAGGTGCGGCGCAGCACCCAGTACCGTCGAAGCTCACGGGGTGACCGCGACGGGCGCTCGGCCAGGTGCAGGCACCATGCACCGACTCTGCGACTGGCTCCCGTGCCCGCTCCCTCTCGTTCGTCGCATGCACCTCAATGCGCCACGCTGCCCTCCTGCACGCCCTCGCCACTCTGGATGTGAAACGAGCATGGTTCGATCATGATGATACATGTGCGAGGCAGCCGGGAGAGGCTGCAGCGCCACAGCGCATGCGCGCTTAGAAGACGAGCGCGGCGCCCTTCGTCTTCTTGTCACCACCAAGCTCGAAGCTGCGGGGCGGGGAGGGTCAGAGAGGCGCGCCGCGGCGGCACGGCCTGTGCTACTCACTGCTTGCAGCGCTTCAGGGCCATGTGCGAGCGGTACTTGCACGCGGTGCACTCGAGGCGCAGGACGACCTTCTTGGTCGCTGGTGGGAGAGCGGTGTGAGCGGCATGCTCGACGATGCAGAGCTGCAGATCTGGCAGCCGCACGGCGGACTGCTGCAGCGCCCGAGCTGCTCGTCTGCCCCATCCGTGTCGCAGCAGTACCGCCAGTTCTGCTCCGACGGATCGCCCGCAGTCCTGGTCCATGTGCAGCACTGGCAACGGCGATGCCAGTCGCTGCGTGCGGACCAGTCCCGACACATCGCACGCAGCGAAGCCCTCCAAGCCTAGCCTCGACACGCGCCGGCCCGTTGACAGCCAGAGTATGCTGCCTCTCGAACGGGCCGCGCAGATCCCACTGCCTGGCCCTCGCCAAGCTCGTCGACGTCTTGTGCGCACCTGCAGAGCACGCAAGCCTCGCACTCGGACCGCAAGCAGGGCCCTCGTCTGCTCTGGCCGCCGACTGCGCCGTCCAGCACGAACGCCAGAGGGAGGCGCCGCTTGCAGGCCCAGGCTTCCTCTGCGCTGCGCACCAGCGGGAAGTGCCACACTCCGCACTCGAGCGTCCGCGTCGCGCAGCAGGTAGACCCCTGCCGTACCCATCATCCCGCAACCGCTCCTCTCAACTCGCTCCTCCCACTCCCGCCCACTTTCGCCGCTCGCCGCCGCCCCACCCGCCGCCTGCCTGCGCGCCACTCACTCTTGGCCTTCTTGTGGAACACGGGCTTCGTCTGACCACCGTAACCCTTCTGCTTGGCGTCGTAGCGACGCTTGCCCTGGGCGTACAGCGACGCCTTGCCCGTCTTGTACTGCGTCACCTTGTGCGGCGTGTGCTTCCGGCACGGCTTGCCCTTGCAGTACGTGCGCCGGCTCTTGGGAACGTTGACCTGTCACGCACACGTGTCAGCGCCCGGTGCGCGGGCCGGCAGCGGCAGCACGCTTACCATGTTGCGAGGTCTTTTGGGGGTGAGGGTCGGAAGGAGGCGCGCGCAGGCGGCATGGGCCAGGCGGCGGCGGCGGCGGTGCGGCTCGGCGCGCAAGAGGGGCGCGTGGCGGAGTCGCGCGCTCGAAGGCCCGCGGCACGTGATCGGCCCGCCGCGGCGCCTGCGGCACAAGGAGGGGCGGCTGTTCCCACGCTCCGGCGCCGCCCAGCGCCAGGGGGCGGCGGAGAGCCGCACCACCTCTCGGCCCTGCCGTCACCTCGGCCGGAGACGCACGCCGGGCTGCACATCTCGCGCATCGTGAGACGGACGCGCATGCTGCACGGCGACGGACGCTGGAGCGATCGGGCGACTGGTGCGGCCGTCGAGCGCACGGCTGCCGGCCCGCGCCGCCTCCCGCCGCGGGCGCTGCGTCGCGACCTCCGCCGCAGCGGCGAGGCAGTGCAGTTCGCTCGCCGTCTCGGGCGGTCGTCGCAGGGTGATGTGCTCGTCTGTGCGGCACATCAGCTCGCTGGTCCGCGCGAGGGAAAGGTCAAAGCATGACATTCGAAGACACGAAGCTCGCTTTGCAGCGGCAGACGGCCAGGCATGTGCGAGGGGAACAGGGTAAAGAGAGCGGGTGGCGAGGAAAAGCATCGCGCCAGAAGGGCACCCGCGTAAACTAAGACGGCATAGTAGAGTGGCCACACCAAGGCGGATCTGCTGCTGGCGAACCGCAGCGCGCCGCCGGTCGAGGAGAGAGACACTACGCGCAGCCACTGGTGCACGGGAAGGACGGGAGGGACAGCGGCGGCACGCACACTCCCTTGTCGCACGTCGAGCCCGAGACCTTGGTGCAGTCGGCCGTCGTCGAGCACGTCTGCGGCAGGGGCGAGGGCGGCACGCACACGCCCTTGTCGCACGTCGAGCCCGAGACCTTGGTGCAGTCGGCCGTCGTCGAGCACGTCTGCGGCAGCGGGAGGGTCGGCGCCTGGCAGGTGCCGCTCTTGCACGTCTCGAACTTGAGCGTGTTGCAGTCCGAGTCTTTGCTGCACGTCGTCGGTGTCGTCGTCGGCGCCTGGCACTTGCCCTCGACGCACTTCTCGCCCTTGAGCGTGTCACACTGGGCGTCCTTGGTGCACGTCGTCGGCGTCGTCTCCTTGGGCACGCACACGTGGTCCTTGCACTGCTCCGTGCTCTTGCAGTCCGCGTCCTTGCTGCAGCCGGGCGTCGGGGTCACGGGCGCCGTGCATGCGCCGTGCTCGCACTTGCCGCTCTGGCAGTTGACGTCCTGCAGGGAAGCGGCAGGTGTCAGCGGCGATGCTCGGCAGCCGGACGCGCGGCGCGAGACGCGTCGAGGCGAGCAGTCTCCGCGTGCTGCACGCCCCTCCTCCGGCATGCTCAACGCACCTTGTAGCAGTAGGCGTGCTCGGGGCCCTTGGGCGTGCACTTGCTGTGCTGGCAGTTGCCCGACGAGCAGACGGCGCTCGTCGAGCAGTGCGAGCCGTCGGGCTGCGAGCCGGCCGGGGGCGTGCACCAGCCGTCCTTGCACTCTGCGAGGGGGAGGAGGCGAGTCAGCGCCTGAGCTGTGCTCTCTACAGCCCAGAACACTCACCGCCGCTCACGCAGTTGGCCGCCTGGAGGGGTGAGCGAGCGTGTCAGCGATGGTGATCCAACGAGACGCGCACGGCAGCAGAAAGCGGCGGCTCGCGCCTGCCCTGCTTCCCGCCCGGGCGGCCGCACTGACCTTGTAGCACGAGCCCTCGTGCTTCTTCGGGCTGCACTTGGAGTGCTCGCAGTTGCCGCTCTTGCACGAGGCGCTCGTCGAGCAGTGCGAGCCGTCCTCGAGGTGCTCGGGCGCCGGCGTCGGCGTCGACGAGGCGCACTTGCCGTCGGTGCACTTGCCGCTCTTGCACGAGACGTCCTTGTAGCAGTGGCCCCAGTCGTCGACCTTGGGCGCACACTTGCTGTACATGCAGTTGCCGCTCTCGCACTGCGTCGAGGCCGAGCACTCGGCGCCGTCGTGCTGCGGCTTGGTGGCGCCGCACTTGCCGTGCTCGCACACGTTCGACACGCACTGCGCAGGGCGGGGGTGAGCTCAGGACCAGGGAGGCGGCACGGTCGGAACGTACCCCGTTGTGCTTGTAGCACGATGCGCCTTCCCACTTCTTCGAGTCGCATGACTTGTGGTTGCAGAAGTACTTGGACGTGTCGCCGCAGTGCTCCGACTTGGTGCAGTACTTGGAGCCGGTGCGGGCCGCGAGGCCGGCGCCCGAGGGTGCGGCGGCGACGAAGGGGGCCACGAGGGGCAGGGCAGCAAGGAAGATGGGGAAGAAGCGCATGGTTGCGGAGGGGGGGAGGAGTGTCGAGGAGGGAGCGTTGGCTGAGGGGCGGTTCGGAGGGGCCGCAGCGGGGGCGCTTTAAGTAGACGAACGCAGGCCCTTCTCGCGCTCTGGCATGGACAGAAGCCTCCCAGGCAGCTCGACGCTCAATCCGAGCACAAGAGCGCAGCTCAGGGGCGGGCAGGGCGCGCTGCGATGGGCCTCCGAGGCCTCACGTCCCGCCGTGCGCGCCCGCACCAGCAGCCCTGCGCCGCGCTCTCGCCGTGGCCGCTGGCCGAGCGTATCTGTGTTCTGGCGCATGAACATGCTGACGGGCAGAGCTTCGCTGCAAATCATGCGGCGGGACCGCTGGCCGCGGGGCCGCGTGGCCTGTGCGTGCGCCGCGATGCGCGCATGCTCCGCCGCCGAGCCGAGGGCGCCCGCTGTGGCTGGCGACACTCACCATGCATGCCATGAGCCGCGCTGCGGTGTGCCAGCGGTGCCCGGCGGCGGGCGCTGCGTCGGAGCGGCAGGCGCAGGAGAGCGCGAGCGAGGCACGGGGAGCTCGCGCGCGCGTCAGAGGCTGAGCGCCTGAGACGCGCGTGCGATGGACGAGCGCGGCGAGCGCATCGTGATCGGCGACGCGCCGGCCTCCGCCATGCTGCCGCTTGCGCTGCTCCCATGCTTCGGCATCCGGCTGCGGCACCCACGCCCGTCGCCCGTCTTCTAGCGCCCCTCGTGCGCACCCAGACGGCGGGCCGCCGCTTGCCCTTGCGTGTGCGCTGCTGCCCTTGGCGCATCCATGCAGCATGCAGGCGCGGGAGGCGGCGTGTGCCTGCAGCTGTCATGCGCCGCCCGCCCGAGTGGACCCGCCTCGCCTCGCTGCCGCTGCCCGGCGCCGGTGCGGGTGAACAAGAGAGGGAGAGCGCTGCGATGCGCAGCGTGTCAGTCAGCCAGAGAGTGAAAACGCTCAAACCCAAACCCAGCTGACGCTGCTCAGCTCTCACGCAGAACAGGACGTGCGAGAGTGATGCTTATGCAGCGCTCCGCGCTCGCACCAGGCAGAACGGCTGCGGCAGCACCACGGCGGCGCAGCAAGTGCAGCACCCTGCGGCCTCCGATGCAGCTGCAGGTGCAGATCTGCTGCTGCCGCGCGGCCGTTGCTGGGGGCAATCCGGAGCGCAGCGGTACTAGCAGCAGCATCGCAGCGCTCAGGTGCTGCCCGCTGCAGCTGCCGCTGGCCTCGCAACTTCCGAGCCGCAGGGCGCAGCCCCACATCCTCGGCCCGAGCGCCGTGCCGATGCGCTGCAACTCTCTCCTGCCCGCTGCCGCTCTCTGCGCTCTGACGCCGCCGCGCGCGCCCGCTCCCCGCTCCGCGTCCTGCGTTCTGTCGAGACGGGCAGGCCGGGCGGCGAGGCGAGCTGTCCTGCGCTCCTGCGTGTGCGCTCTGCTGCTGCGCTGCGTGCCTGCTGCGCTGCTGGGCTGCAAGCACTCTCGCGCCGCCGCCTGAATGTGCACGCTGCGCTTGCCGGCGCGGCAGAAGCATCGGCGGCCCCCGTGCGGCCACACACGCATGAGAGGGCCCAGCGCCCCCTCGCCGGCACGGCTTGGCACTCAGACTGCACAGATCGACGCAGCCCGTGCGGCGAGCGCACGGGGCACGGTGCTGCCCGGCGAACGTGCGGGCTTGCGCCTGTCGGTGGGCTGAGCCGAGCCTCGCCTCGCCGTGCTTGTCGTCGTCCATGCGCGGCCCAATCCGCCCGCCCGCCGGGTGTGTAGCAGCAAGCCAAGATCGCCAGAGCGCCGCCAGCGAGCGGCAGCTGCCATGGAGACGTTCCGTGGGCACCGGTGCAGATCAGCGCTCCTGCCGCCGCCGCAGGCAGGCCAGCTGCACCCTGTCGATCGCCTCGGCAGGCTCCAAGGAGGCCCCTTCTCGGAGAATGCATGCTGCCAGCGCGGCCGCTTGGCATGGGCCGCCCGCTGCGTGCTGCTATTTGCGAGCTGCTGAGGTGAGCATCGCCGTGACACGGCACTCGACTCAAACACGTCCACGAGGCCGCGCAGCACCCTGTCTCACCTGTGCCTCGCCGGGAGCAGCAGGACTGCAGTGGGTTTGGCACTCAGCCGCAGCTGGCACACGCATCCTGCTGCGAACAAGCAGTGCGCACCTGAATGTGTGGCCCATGCACGCAGACATCAGCGGCCGCCGTCTGCTGCTGCGCAGCTGCTCGGCGTGTCGCACCTCGTGCGCGGCCGATCCGCACTCGATTCCCACGCGCCGCACTGCTCGCCGATCCGAATGCCCGCGAGTCTGGAGGCATCTGGACGTGTGCCTCTCGGCGACGGCGACCGGGCGGGAGCGGCGCAGTAAGGGCCAAGACAGGAGGGTCTCGCGCGCCTCCCCGGCTGCGCTCCTGCAACGCCACAGCAACGCGGGGCAGGGCGCTGCATCGTGCATGCTGCAGCGCTCCCTATCCTCGCTTTGCTCTGGCCCACGCTTTGGCCGCACCGGCTCGCGCGCGGAGACGGCAACGTCAGCGGCGGCACGCCGTGCTCCGACGTCGGCCGGCGCGAGCTAGACGTCTTCTCTCCCAGCGCGCACTCAGCCGGCTGCGCTCCGCTCTCGCCGTGCCGCACCGTCTGGGCGGCCGGCACAGGACGTTGCAAGCCAGTCGGCGAGCACCGAGCCCTCCGACAGGCGCGCGGCCCAATCTCTCCAGGCCTTCCCGCTGCCGGCTTAGCGACGTCAGCGACAGCTGCCGCAGCGTCGCGCCTTGCCGTGTAGGCCTGGCCTGGGCGCGCGCAGGAACCCCACTTTCCACAGTCCGGCTCCCGCGTCGCAAGCTGAGGCGATCGCATTAGGTGTATGTGCAGGAGGCGGCGTGACAGCGACGATCTCGCAGGAGCGCAAGCAAGGTGAAGGAAGGGTCAGGGCGCGGCCAGGGGGGTATCGACAAGGGAGCAAGACGGAGGCATGGGATCCGGCGCGGAATGTGTCGTAGTGCGGCAGCAACATCTGGCCGGCTACTCGTCCCACAGCACGACGTCGCGGCGCGCGACCTCCATGCGCCGCCGCAGCAGGCCCACCCAGCGGCGCCGGCGCTGGCCGGCGATCTGCTCGACCTCGAGCGGGCGCACGTCGAACTCGCGCCCGGCCAGGTCCGGCGGCAGCGGCGGCAGGCCGCCAAGACGCAGCAGCGCATCGAGGTCGAGTCCGGCGAGCGAGCGGCCCGTGGCAGCCGCATCGCCCTCGTGCCCTTCCACGGCGGCGGCGCCGGGGCCGCTGATGGCGCGGCGGACAGCACGCACGAGGGCACGGCGAGCGGCGGCACGGCCGCGCTGGGCACGCGTCTTGGCCAGTGCAGCAGCGTCGTCGAGGTCCTCGCCGTCCGTCTCCGTCTCGTCGGAGGCACGGCGCGCCATCCTCGGCCCGGGCGGCGGCGCCACATCGTCGTCGTCAAAGCGTGCCTGCCAGCTCTGGGGCGTCGATGACCACACCTTGCGCACGGCGTCTGCGACAAGGCGGCGGGCACGATCGCCAGCCTCGGCGGGCGAGCGGATGGCAAGGAAGGGCTCCTGCGCATCGGGCTCGGCGTCCTGCGGCGGCACGGGCACGCTGAGCAGGCGGCGCTGCGAATTGGCCGAGAGGCTGCGGCGCAGCGGCGGCGCAGAGGGCACGTCGAGCGAGACGCGCGGCGTCGAGACCGGCGTGCTGGCGCCAGACGTCGATGCCTCGCTGGCGGGTGCGTCCGGCTCGCTGCGAGCAGCCCGGCGGCGGCGCACGAGATCGAGCGGCGCTCGTCCGGCGGCTGCGGCCTTGGCAAATGCCGCGTGGATGGCCACCGGCGCAGTCCGTGCAAAGCTCGACTCGGCAAAGACGGGCGTCGAGCTGCCCGTACTGCTCGGCGTCACGGCGGGCGTGTTGAGCGCCGAGCTCGTCTCGGGCGGCGCGAGGCCGTTCATGAACTGGCCGACGGCGGCAAAGTAGCCCTCGTTGGCGGCCATGGCCTCCATGCGTGCCTGCAGGCGCTCGACGCGGCGCTTGTGCATGCGGCGGCGAACCGACGCCACCAGCTTCACGGACCACCAGATGTGCATGGGATAGGTAGCAAGCACGCTCAGGGCCACGCCCCACGAGCCGTCGATGCCCTTGGTTGCGCGGCCGTGCGGGGTGATCGTGGCGCAGAGCAGCGCGCCGTGGAAGAAGATGCGCGTGAGGAAGAATGTCGAGGTGAAGGCGTTGTTGGAGCGTAGCGCCGGCCAGATGGACGCAACACCCATGATTGTCGTCGGCAGCTCAAACACGCACGCCATGACGGCCCAGTGGGCCCAGCCACGGTGCACCCAGTACGCGAAGAGGAACGTGTAGACGGTGTGGTGCGCCCAGCCCGACGAGAAGTTGATGAGCTCGCGGTAGTAGATGGCTCCGAGGCCGAGGTCGCTGTGGCGCCGGGTCAGCATGCAGCACGGCGAGGGCGACGCGGCTTCTACTCGGGCGTGGACGCAGGCAAGTGGAGCAGCGTGCAAGCACGACAGCTCTTTTTCCGGCAACTCATGCTCTCCTCTCGCCTCTAGCCGCTCCGATTCGTCTCTTTAGCTGCTCAGGCTGTTGCCACAGACCGCACAGCTCCTTCACGTCAGTTCCGCCGCTCTTTGTGCTCTCTGCTCCACTCTGACTGCGTCCACGGCTCCGACGCGCGGGCCACACTCACGAGAGCAGATAGGCGACAAAGAAGGCGCTGCAGACGAGCGCATATTCCTGGCGCGGCTGCACGGCCTGCAGGTCGAAGCGCGCGCACAGCAGGTCGGCGAGGAACGGCAGGCTGGCGGCGGTGAGCACGGCGCCGTTGAGCGTCGTGAGCACCCAGGCGCGGCGCTTGCGCTGCGTGCGCGAGGCGCCGCTGAACGCCGTGCGTGCCAGCACGTGGAAGATGGTGTGCTGCACGAGCAGCGAGACGAGGAAAGCAGTGTGCAGCAGGCGCGAGGCCAGCAGCGGCGGCATGGTGGAGACAGCCGCGAGAGGGGCCCAGTGCGGCGGCGCGAGGCGCAGAGGAGGCGCGCTGTGCGCCTGGCTGGGACGTGTAGGTGGTCGTGAGGATGGAGGAGCGGAGACACGGCGAGGAGGCGATGCGAGAGACGGAGCAGGTGACGACCACACGGAGCGAGGGACAGGGAGACGCCGGCCAGCAGCAGAGAGGGAGAGGAGGCGCAGAGACGGGGCTGATGTTGTGGCAGGTGGAGCAGGGCGCCGCGGTGGCGCAGCAGCCGTGCAGCGCCGCCGCCGCGTGCCGCCCCCGCGCCGCCCAGCGAACGTGCCTCGCTCTCCGCGCCGCCTCCTGAGCGGCGCCGTCGCTGCACGGCGCCGGCGGCCGGGGCTGCTTCTCATCAATCTCTGGCGCACGATCTCGGTGCCGGATGCAGAAGAGGCATGACGCAGCGGCACGCAGCGAGAGAGTGAGCGCTGCCTCTCAGCCCCACGGGCACCGCGGGCGCAGGCTGAGGGCGAGTGGGCGGACCGCCGCCCAGGGGCCAACTTGCCGCTGTTCCCACGCGCGGGCGTGGGAGCAGGCCCGCTCACGTGCTACGCGGGATGGCGTGCGCGGCGAGATCCTGGCCACGCCGGCTGCATGCTCTTTGCGGCCGGCGAGGCACACCTGGCGCTGTGCTTCACCACCACAATCAAGAGCTATCTCCAAGGTCAGCCGGGCAGCGACAGGCGTAGCGCTCAAGCCGGCGGCAAGAGCAGCGAGCAGCTGGTGTTGGCTTCGAGATCGGGTGGAGGGAGCGGCAGACAGCGCTTGATGCGCACGCGCTCGGGCCTCCTTCCACAGCCGGCGACCAGGTCGCGACCGGCCATGCAGCATCGCACCGTTTCGGGCTGTGCGGCAGTGCTGCGGCATCAAGCGCTGCTGCACACTGCTCGTCGTTGTTGCCGGACTGGACGAGTGCATCTGCGGGCAGTCGCACGCCAGACTCCCACGCGCGCTGGCCCCGTGCGGCCGCCGGACTCGCCGTCACATCCCCATCGCCCACGCGGCCTGAGCGCGGCACACGCCGTCACACCGCAGCAGAGCAGCGGCAGCGACGACGGCTCGCTCGCTGCCTGCTCGTGACGTCTGTGTCGTGCGCCGGCAGCGTGAGAGGTGCCTGGCGCGTGCGCGTCTCGCAGATCCGAGCCCGCTGTGGCGCACGCTGCGCTCGCCACCGCTATATACTCGCGCTCACCGGCTTCTCCACAGTCGACGACCCTTCCACTCTCACCATACTGCGCGCCACTACCACCTCAACTCGTCGCCTCGCACTTCCGTCCCTCCGCAAGCACATCGCCAACATGAGCGTCGACGCCGCCAAGAAGAACTTCTTCGCCGCCGAGCACTTTGCCGTCGCCGGAGCCTCGTGAGTCGCGCCACGCGGGCCTGCTGCTCGTGTGTCTGACGGCAGGCGCAGAAAGGACCCCAAGAAGATCGGCAACCAGGTCAGTCAGCAGGGCTTCACGTTCTACCGATGGCCCGACGAGTGCTGCCAGGTGCGCGCGCCGGGCGTCCGAGGCGGACGAGAAGTGGTCTAGCGTGGACGATATCGCAGCGCCGTACCTCGGTGGCCTCCTCGTGACCGGATCGATGTCGCTGACACGCGCACGCCAGGTGATGAAGTGGTACATCGAGAAGGGCCTGTCAGCCGTGCCGATCCACCCGAAGGAGGCCTCGGTCGAGGTGCGTTCGGCCTGTGCAGCACCTTTACGCGAGTGCTGACGCTCATGCAGGAGGTGCAAACGATCGCCAGCGTGTTTGACATCTACGAGCCCAAGGTCACGAGCGTCTCGATCATCACGCCGGTCAGTCGGGCATGCTTGCCGCGCCAAGCGTCGCGCTGACTTGCCTCGCCTGCAGCCGCACGTCAGCCTGCCGATCGTCAAGACGGCCCTGTTCGAGCTCGGCGTCAACGGCGTGTGGCTGCAGCCGGGCGCCGAGGACGAGGAGCTGGTGGCGTACATCGAGACGATGCCCGACGAGCTGCGCAGCCGCGTCGTCTACGGAGGCCCCTGCATCCTCGTCGAGGGCGAGGCGCTGGCAAAGGCGCAGGGCAAGCTCTGACTCGTCGAGCCGCCGCTACCACCGCCGCCGCTGCCTGCGCACGAGGAGGCTGCTCTCTCCGGCTGTCTCACTCGTCTCGCTCTGTAAATGCTCATGATCTGCCTCTCGAACTGCGCCTGAAGTGTCGTCAGAGGCGCTAGACGTCGCGTCGAGATGTCCGGCGCATAGGCGGTTGTTGCCGCTGAGCCGCCTATCGGAGTGCTCGTGCTCTCTGGTTCCTCGGCAAGCCCGACATGTGGCGAACTATCCCGAACAAGCGAGGACATCGCCGTCCGCACAGTGTCCAGATCGTCGAACGCCCTCGAGCCGCGCGACGCACGCTCTGGCAAGTCGTCGAAGAACTTGACAGCCTCGTCACGCGAGCACGGCTCAAGAGATGGAGACGAATTCTGTTCAATGTCGAGTGTGTGTATCTACATGATAGGTCACGCAGCGCAAGAGTAGCAATGAGGAGCATAGTGAGAGGCGGACATGAAGGGTAGTGAATGGCGCGAAGCGGCGGCTCGGCGAGGGGCGAGGCGCTCGCCAGCCTTGAATAAGAATGGAACGTGTGTCGAGTCGAGGGCCGGTCACGCTCAGATGGCGCGAGCAGGCGCCACCGGTGGCGCGGCCGTGCTGCTGGACGAGGTCTTGTGGCGCAGAACATCGTGCGAGTACGTGGCATCGTCCTTTGCGGCATAGGTGAAGTCGCTGTTGCCCGCCGAAGCCTCGGCCATGCCCGGCGCCACGCGGCCCTCCTCGGCGGCGAGTGCGGCCTGGTCCTCGAGCAGCGGCGCGCTCTCGGAGGCGGGCACCATGTCGATCGAGCCGATGACGTTGCCGTGCACGTCGCGCACGACCTGCTTCATCTCCTGCACCATTTCGGCGTCCTGGTCCGGCACGACGCTCGTGTAGTGCGAGGCACGCAGCGCCATGTAGAAGCCGGCGGTGACGAGTGCGGCGGCGTACGAGCTGACGTAGTAGATCCAGCACGTGCGGTCGAACTGGCGGAGGACGACGTCCGGGCCGAGCGTGCGTGCCGGGTCTGCCATCCAGTCAGCGACGAGCGTAAAGCGGCGGCCACGGGACTGACTCAGCGAGCCCCCAGTGAAATTGGTGCTGAGCAGCTCGGCGATGAACAGCGTGAGGCCTGACGAAGAAGCGAGAGGTCAGCGTGGAGGACGGATGAATGTGGGCAGTCTGGACGTACCGATGCCGACGGGCGCGAGGAACTGGACGACAGTCAGCACACCGTTACGGCAGCGAAGCTTGTCAGAGCCTTGCTCACCGTTCCGCGGTGCTTCTCGGCGGCCAACATGTAGATGGCGAAGATGAGCATGGCGGTGCATCTGCGGGGTTACACAGTCAGTCGCCGTGGTCATCGAGTGCCCAGTCACACTCACAGGAACTCGAGGAAGAAGCCCTGCACGACACTCGTGTCGTTGTGGAGCGTGGTGCGGGCATTGATGCCACCGGGAATCAGAGCGTTGCACAGCGCTGCCGCCGTCAGACCGCCAGCGTACTGGACGACCGTGAGGACGAAGAAGCGTGTCCAGGTGATCGTGCCGGTGAGCGTCAGGGCGAAGCCCACGGCAGGGTTCATCAGGCCTCCGCTGATGCTGTGGGCGCCAGAGATAAGCCACATTCAGCGCAAACGCTGGACGACGGTGCGTACCGGAAGAAGATCCACTAGTGACGAGAGACACATGATCAGCGATGCAGCAGAGTTGCCGTAGGATGCACTGCACTTACGGCGTTCACAGCCAACGCGAAACCTAGTGACCAAAAAGTCGGAGAGGGAGATGAGCAACATCAACGCCAGACTGAGCGCAACCTACTCACCGAAGCCGAGCGACGAGTACAGAAGCCCCTCGAGGTCGAGCGGCGCGTTGGGATCCGCCGCCTCGAGCTCGTTGCCGCGGTTCGTAGCTTGCGTCGCAATGCAGAATGCGAAGAACAGGAACCTGTTGCGGACTGGCTGTCAGTGTGCGTGAGAAGGAGCCACTCGAGCGGCCGACGCACATGACCGTGCCCACGAACTCGGCGACGGCGGCGATGATCTCGTTCTTGATCATGAGGCGGCGCTCGAGCGTGTCGTAGAAGGCGGCGTGGTGGTGCTTCGACTTCTTGTGCTCGGGGATGCGCAGGAAGCCGGGCAGCTTCTCCTCGATGTGCTCCGCGGCACGCGTGCCCGAGTCGGCACGGTCGGTCATGGTTGGGCGGCGCTGCATGGGCGACTGGGTGCGGCCCAGGGCTGCGTCGGGACGGCCAGCGGCGCGAGGCATAGTGTCGCGAGCTGTCGATCAGGTGTCAGATGACTGCGTACTTTTCGCGGTGTGGCGGACTCACACGTGTACGTGTCCGACATGCTGAAAAAGCGGGTAGTGCGGGCGAGAAGCGAAGATGAGGGGTGAGCTTGTCTCTACGCAGAAAGTCGAGCAAGCCTCGTCCTTTTGTACGTTGCTGATCACTCTCGCTCGTGCTGAAAGCGAGCTGCTCTTCTGCCTGGCGTCTGCCGAGGCCGAGCGCGTCATCGCTGCGGCAACTTGCCCGGCTCGAGGTGGCGGCAGGCGACACAGGCGCAAAGCTGGGGCCTCCCGGAACGTCATGGTGCTCGGCAGCTTGGCCCGGCAGCACGGAGGCAGATCGAGTGACCGTCTGCAGTCTCGCCAGTTCTCTTGCGGCGCATCTCACCCTTCTTCGAGGCCTAGGCACGCAGTCGGTCGGCGTCTGCGAGGTCCAGCGCCGAGCTTGGGCCCAGGATAACGTCACGCTGCGGAACAAGTGAAGCGCATATCGGGCAGTCCGTTCTCCGCCCCTTTGCGCTGGCGCCTGCCCTGGCCGCTCACCTACGCGCCGAGTGCTGGCGCGGCTGGGCAGGACAGCTCGACTGCGGCCGCCAGCCTCGCTCGCATCGCTGAGCGGTGCTGCAGCGGCTGAAGCGAAGGCGCAGGCAGCGCGGAAGGGCATGAACGACGGTGAGAGATCGTGTGGCTAGGCCCAAGCGTGGCCACGGTCATCGCTCGCTCGGCCATGCGGCGTCGTCACGAGGAGTCCGCGATACATGCACGCGCCGGACGCGCCGAGTACGGCGCGGCGTGGGTGCGTCCAGGGGGCCCAAGCGTCACGCGGCACTGTCTCCGCCCCTGCGCTTGCTGCGCTAGACTCGGCCTACTGGCTGCTCGAAGGCAGACACCGACGTGAGCGCTGGCAGCACTCTGTCGACGGCCCCGAGTCTCGTCGTGGTCTGTGCGCGCGGGCACTCGCAGGCAGCGCTCGCGAAGGTCGGATGCTGCGACGGCATGCAGGGCAGACGGGCGCTCCGCCCGAAGCTTGCGCCTCGGCGATCTGCAACTGAAAGAAATGCGATTAGAGGCCGCGTGCAGGAGCGGCGAGAGTAAGTACAGTTGCGCGATGCAGGCGGACCGAACGAGGCGGATGAAGCGATGCGGAGGGCAGGAGCGCGATGAAGCGCAAGAAGCAGGAACGGAACAGAGCTCGGAAGAGGCTATGCGCCCGGGCAGAGGATGGGAAGAAGCTCGCAAGGTGAGACAAAGGAGAGGCGGCGCGTGCAGTGGACACATCAGCCAAAGGTGCCGGTCGAGCGCACGCTCGCGACCGAGGGCCGCCGGCGGAAGTCGTGCATGGCGGAGGCGAGCGAGTCGGAGGGTGAGGTGGAGAAGATCGAGTTGGCAGACGTGTGCTCCTGCTCGTCCTCGAGACTGTCGTGCCCTGTCACGCTGGTCGCGAGCGCGCTCAGCGTCGGCGGTGGTGGCAGGGCCGCAGTCGGTGCCGGCGGCGCGGGCGGAAGCTTGGCATGCGCCTTGCGCGACGCCGTGGGACGAGGCGAGATGGCACGCATTGCGGCGTTCTCATCCCACTCGCCAGTCGGCGCATCGACGATGGGGGAAAGAGAGACTGGCTGCGCACCATTGACGCCCGACGACGACGTCGAGGGCGTGAGCGGCTGGCTACGCGAGCTGCCGGCCTTGCCGCTGCCGCTGCGTGCGAGGCCCTCAGGCGTGTGAACCCCGCTCGTGTGGCTCGATGCCGAGCGCGGCGTCTGTGCGCCAGTCGCTCCATTGATGATGGACGAGTTCCGCGGCGTGTGGTAGCCACTCGTGCTTGAAGAGGCGGAGCGCTGCATGGCAGCAGCACCTGATGCTGCCGCAGCATCGGCCTCGGCCGCTGCTGCTGCTGCGCGTCGATTCTCGTCCTGTCTCTGGCGCAACGGCGCGAACAGCGGCGACACAAAGGCCTGAGGGTCTGCCGCAACCAGCTGAGGCGCCGTCGACGGCCTGGAAGATTCGCGCATCGGCACGCGAGGCCCCTCCAAGATGCGCCCGCCAGCGTTCCAGGTGCCCGTCTCGCGCGGCTCGTACTTGGACGGACCGACGGGAGAGTACTCGTGCGCCGGCCGCTCACTGGTGCGACCCTCGCGCCGTGCGCTCGCGATCGCAGCATTCTGGAGCGACGCTTGCGATAGCGCGCTGATCAGCGGCGACACCGGTCCTGGCGACGACGTGGCCGTCGCAGGACGGCGGCGCGGTACCTCTTGGAAGGCGGGCGCCAGCTGCTCCTCCTCGCCAACATCGGTCGGCACATCGCGCGGCGCCTGCGGCGGCGGCGGCGACTTTGCGATCGGTGGCGGCGGCAGCGGCTCGTCGACGCTCGAGGAGCTGAGCACGCTGCGTGCCTTGCTGCCGAACGACGGCAGGCGCTGTCGAGCTGGCCCTGGGCTCGAAGACGGCGTCTGTGGAGCGCGAGAAGAGGCTCCGACGGAGAAGCCCAGGCCGCGCAGAGGGCTCGACGGGACCGGTGCAGGCAGCATCGGTGCGCCAGAGGCTGCTGTGGGCAGGGACGAATGGCTCGCGGCCGCCGGCGATCCGCCCTTGCTCCACGAGCCGTTGCTCGACGAGCTGTCCGGCGCGACACCGTGCGAGCCGTTGCTCAGCGGCACCTGCGTCCACCCCTTGGCATTGGCCATGATGACCTCGTTCGTCATGTTGGCCGCCCGCGGCGCCGTGCCGCCGAGGCTCGAGTCCGTCGAGGTCACAGCACTCCACGCCGAGTGGTCGAGCGACGGCACGGCCGGGATGGCGTCTTCGTCGTTCTCGGCTGCAGGATCAATCTCGCCAAACTCGACGTCCTCGACATTGTCGAGATCTTGGTATGTCGGCGGGATCGGCGGCGGCTTGCGTGCGAAAAAGTTGAAGCGCTTGCGCCCGCTGCTCTTGGAGCGGATCGACGCCTGGTCGGACGAGGTCTTCTGCGAGGGCGACGCGTGCGCCGAGGCTGTGGCCAGCGGCGGCGGCTGGTTGTCGTCGGAGGAGAGCTGGCCGAGCAAACCCTTCCAGCCGGCGCGGCCCGCCGAGCCGCCGCTGCGAGGGCTCGGCGAGTGCGGAGTGCTCTGCGGGCTGCCAAGAGCACCTTTGGACGTTGATGGCCGGATGCGCTCTCGTCCGTCGCTGCTGAGGGCACGCGACCGCACGTTGCCCGCCACGCCGTAGCGAGGCGCGCCGCCGATGCCGCCTGTCGGAGCGCTGCCTTCCGGCCCGTACGTCACCTTGGCCACGCGCCCCGCGGCGACAGCGCTGCGGTCGTCCTCCTCCCGCTCGTACTCCTCCACGTGGCGTGTGCGGCCAGAGTACTCGTGCTCGAGGCGCACGAGCCACTTCTCAGCAAACTTGAAGTGGCCCTTGGCATCGAAGACGCCCACAGCCATGCCACGCACGATGCCGGTGGCGTCGATGACGAACGTCACGCGGTTGTCGACGAGGCCTCCGAGCGCGCGCCCCACGCCGTACGCGTCCATCGTCTTGCGTGCCTCGTCGAACAGCACGCGGTACTGCAGCGAGAGCTCCTCGACGAAGCGCTTCGAGCGGTCCGGCGGGTCCTGCGACACGCCGATGACGATGGCGTCCATGTCGGCAAAGACGGGCGTGCTGCTCATGCCGTCGCGGAAGAGGCAGGACTCTCGCGTGCAGTGCGGCGAGCCTGCAAGCGGGAAGAAGCTGGGGCGCGGCTGTCAGCCGAGTGTCCGGCCAGGCCTGGATCAGCGCTCGCATCTGCTCACAAGAGGACAATAGGCCGGCCGAGTTTGATAGTCTCGTGCATGGACTGGATGCAGGCGTGTGAGTGGTCAGGCACATACGAGGGTCAAGAGTGGCAGGCTAGATGAGCGCCTCCTAAGCCCAATCGCGCGCAGATGATGCCGCACATGTCGTGCCCACGTTGCTCCGCCTAGAGGTCGCAGACTCTGGCCAGCGTCCCTTGCACATGGGCTCAAGGGAGGCCAGCACAGAGCCGGTCGCTGTCTGACGCAAGCGCAGCGGGCCTTCCCCATGCCTGCCATCTGCGGCTGGCCACGTCCTGTCACTCACCACTCGCCGTCCTTCGTGGTCGGGCAGCTCAAAGTCAGGCGCCATCTGGCCGACGAGCGCGCTGCGCTTCTCCTTGGACGGCAGCACGAGCACGTGCGACGAGAGCGTGATGACGTTCTTCTCGCCCACAATGGGGAACGCCGACACGCGCGGCAGGTGCACCATGCTGGGCGAGCGCAGCGTGGAGCCAGCAGACGGAGTGTAGGGGGGTAAGGGCAGTCGCGGCGGATGCTGGAGCTACAGCCCAGGCGCAGAGGCGATGCTCGATGCGAGGAGAGACGCAGCGGCTCGGCGGATGCGCCGACGGGCGGCGAGCGAGCACGCGCAGTGCCTGCCGCAGGGCACGGCAGACGGCTGGCGCGCGAGAGGCGCTAGTCTGGCGCAAGCCGAGAAGGAGGTGTCGCAGGAGGCCGAGACGGAGGAGCCCAGGAGCGGAGCAGGATGGATGGTGGTGGTGCGGTGCAGGCGGCGATAGGATGGCTGGGCGGACGCGGCGCGGCGGCTCGGCACGGCGAGGCGCGGCAAGTGGAGCACCGGCGGCGCTGAGGGCGCGCCACGCGTCGAAAGCGGCGCTGGGCGGGCGGCCAGATCGGGGCGCTCGCGACGGGGCAGCGAGCAGCACGCCGGCGGGGGTGCAGACGAGAGCCAGGGATGGTGATGGCGCGGAGGTGAGAGCGAGGAAGTCAGAGCGGCGAGCCTCGCACTGCAGCCGAGCTCGCCGTCTGCGCCGCCGTCGCTGCCTGCCGCGTGCTCCGCGGCTCGCCGGCCCGAGACACTTTGCGCAGGGCCGGTGCGCCGACGCTCTAATCTGCAAGGCTCGTTGCCGCGGCCGACGCTCTTCGGCCGCAGCAGCACCAGCCTGCTGCTCCCGTCCGCTCCAGCATGCAGCGTCAGGCACGCCTGAGCAGCGCGAGTGTGCCGCCGCTGGCACGCATAGCCCAGCGCAAAGGGCTGCGAGAGCGCTGCCGCTGCCGCAGCCGGAAGCGCAAAGGCAGCACCGGGACGGCGTCTCGGCCGTCGGCGCGGCGGGCGATCCAGAGCAAGGCACGGCAGCGGCAGCGGGCACGAGGAGCTGGAGGCAGCAGAGCGGCGCTGCAGCCGCATGCCGCCCCCGAGCGGCCGAGACGAGATCGATGATGAGCCGCGCGCTTATTTGCGGCTTGCCGTTTGCGGCGCGCCACATGCACGCACCGACGTCACGCACGCCAGCAGACGCAGGCACAGAGAGCCGCTCCTGAGGTGAGGGCCATCGCGCCCTTGGCGCAGCAGCGCGAGCGGCAATGCCCGCCGGCCGAGGCCGGCAGGCACAGACCGAGCCGTCGCGCCGGCCCCTTCCCGCACCCGCTCGTCTTTGCTGCTGCTGCTTCGACGTCGCTGGCGGTGCCGACGGAAGGCCATCGCGACGCAAGCATCGCAGCCATCCGAGCACCACGCTCAGAGGCAGCCACCGAAGCGTGGGGCCGCGGCATTCTCTGCCTCTCGGGCCAGCGCTTGCGCGCCTGCGGCCGTCGGAGCAGGCGTGGCTGGCGGGATGTCAGACACGCACGCCGAGAGCGTGCGGCTCAGTGCGGCAGCGGCGCTCTTCGCCGGCGCAGGCATCGCTGTGCTCTGCTGAATGGCTCAAAATCTCGATGAGCAAAAGAAGCTTGAGCTCTTACTGCTCTGCTGTCTACAGGCACCCATGCTGGTCGCTGCGGCGCTGGTTTCTGACTCTGCTGCCTGCGGCCTCGCCGACGCGTCGCGTCCACCTGCCTCACCGCGCCGCCTCCAATGCGGTGCAGTCAGAGGGCATCTGCGCCGACACACGCCAGGCCGCATCCGTGCTGGACTTGCCTTCACGCTCATCGAGGGATTGGTATCGTATAATTAAACACATCTCGGCAGCCGCATCGCATCACGCATCGCTCTCCACAATCGCCCGCATTCGCCTCGCCAGGTCGGCGACGAGGCCCTCGTCGCCGACGGCCACGTCCAGTGTCTTGGCTTGCTCATCATCATCGTCGCCGTCGCCGTCTGGGAGCAGCACGGCGCGGGCCTTCTCGCGCACGGCACGATTCAGCTGCGCAAAGTCGTCGAGCGTGCTGACGAGCGGCATGAGCGTCTGCGCCGGCGGCGGTGCAGTCTGCTTCTTCGGCGAGACGCTGCTCCGTGGCGCGTCGTTGTCGAACGCCCTGCGCAACGCAGCCAGATTGGGCGGCGACTCGACGACGGCGAGCGCAAGCATGACGGCCAGGCAGCCCGCGAGAAAGCCGGCGTCGGCGTCGTCGTGCTGCGCGCTCTTGTCGTGCTCGGCGCGGAAGAGCCGCCCGAGATGCTCCAGGGCGAGACGGCGCCAGCGGCGCTCGCAGCTGCACGTGGCGATGCAGCGGTGCCGACGGCAGCTCAGGCTGAGCTCGAGCGTAGACAGCGCCGAGCATGCCGGCTGCGGCGCGGCCTCGAGCAGATTCGTGAGCAGGCCCAGTGCGAGTGCCAGGATGTCGAGAAGGAATGCTGCACGTGGCGAGCCGCCGTCGGATGGCTCGACGCTGGTCGGCCCAGCCGCTGTGCGCAGGGTGCCGGCGATTGTCGCAGGAATCAAGATGAGACGCAGCACGGCCAGCAGCGCGCCCGGCACTGCGAGCAGTGCCGGCGCCCAAGCCTCGTGTGTCTGGCTGAGGTTGAGCAGGACCTTGAGCGCACCGACGAGTGCATCGCCGCCGCGCCGATCCCGCAGGCCTGCCGCCTCGGCGTCGTCCGCCTGCACAGACGCCTTGATGTCCTCTGCGCCGCCGACGACGTGGCATTCGAGGAGCTGGAGGAGTACGACGAGGTCCGCGGCAACGGCAGCGGTGTCGTCCTCACCACAGAGAGACACGTTGCCCGACGCTGTGCTCAGCTCGAGCAGATGCATGCCGAGGTCGACGTGGGCCAGATCGGGTGCGCCGGCCCCGGCCTTGGCAGGCATCAGCTCGACGCCCTTCGCAAACGATGCGAGCCGCTGGCGCGCGCACTGTGCCTCGGCGCGGAGATCGGCGAGCACGACGTGCAGCAGCGGCGCATCTGCCGTGGCCGTTGGCTCGCCGGTGTGCAAGCCAAATCCGATGAAGAGCAGCGGGTCGAAGGCCGGCCGCGGCCGCAGCACGGCGAGCGAGCATAGCGCAGAGAGGAGAAGGGTGCGCACAGTCGGCGTGCGAGAGCCGACTGGTAGCACCGACGCGTAGGCCGCAAGCGAGCTCAGGCTTTCGAGCTGCACAGATGTCGATCAGCCAAGGCTTGTGAGGCAGAGCCTGACAAGACTCACGGCGAACTGCTCCTGCCGCGGCACTGCCTTGCTACTGCCGCCATTGACACGCCACAGGCCGTCGCAGCGCGACACGGCATCGAGATGCGCCGCTTGCATCATGCTTGCCAAGACGCTCCACACGTCTGCGCCCTCGTCGCGCATGAGTGGCTCGGCCATGCTCTGCGATTGGGCCACGCGGGCGAGCAGAAGGGCGAGGGCAGCGTCAAGTGCCTCGTCGAGCCCTTCGCCCGCCTGCGCGGCCCGCAGGATGCGCCACAGACGGGCCACGCCGCCCGTCGCCTGCAGACCGCGCAGGAACGGCGTGTGCGACGAAGTCGGGGCAGCTGCCTCCGCCGACGGCTCGGCATCGCCGGTGAGGCCGCACACCTGGCGCAGGACCTCGAGAGCGGCGTTGCGCCGCACCGAGAGCGAGAGCGCTGCGTCGAGGCCGGAGATGAGATACTCGAACTCGTCGTTGAAGCGCCGCTGGTCGCCCGTGGAGCGCAGGTTGGTGACAGACTTGAGCGCGAGCTGGGAGCAGGAGTCAGCCTGGCACGACCTGCGCGCCGGCTGGTTGGCTGCAAGGCTGCAGGGACTCACCTGCGTTGCGCTCTCATCCTCCTCATCTTCCTCCTCGTCACCCCATCTCCGCTTCAGCTCTGCGTAGCTCTCTCTCTGGCCCGGTGCCTTGCTTTCCCAGCCATCTCTGCGCGTCGGAGTGTTCTCCAGGCTGCTGAGGCCCGCCAGCCCAGCAGACAACCTCTGCTCAGTCTCCGCAAAGGCCGGGTCCGCCTCTGCCAAGAAGCTCCGAGCCTCGCCATAGGTGCGCCGTGCATTTGGCACTGTGGGCGCTGAGACGCCGAGCACCCGCTTTGCGGCGGCGCTGCGTCGTGGCGTGCCTTGTGAGGGAGTAGTATGCTCCGAGCGTGGCTCAGGCGAGGGCGTGCGGAAGGGCGTGCGGTCTGCTGGCTGCGGCTCGCCGGCCTGCGAACCGCTGTCCTCGTCGACTAGGAGCGGCGTCGAGCTCGCTGGCACGCCAAGCGGCTGAGACGCGCTTTCGACGTTGCCAGAGGCTGTCCGCCGCGGCGCCATACGTGCGGCGAAGCCCTTGCGCCGGCCCGACGACCCGGACGCTGCCCGCTGCAGTGCTGCCGGCACATCGAGCAGCGACTGGCTCGACGAGGCGCCGCCGCCGGGGCTCAGCTGCTCGAACAGCTGCGCCACGGCTGCCGAGAGGCCGACACGCTGCGGAGTGCTGGGTGCCACGGGTGCCGATGCCTCTCGCCGCCGTGCTGCGCGTGCTGCTGGCTTCGCGGCCGCAGGCTCAGGCTGGGAAGAGGAGAGCGGCGGCGGCGACGAGAGCAGCGACGACACGGGCGACGACGCTGCGGGCTGCGAGCCGGAGGCATGGGACGCAGCCACTTTGTTCCGGCGTGGCGTAGCCGGCGAGAGGCGTGCGGCGATGCGGGACGAGGAGGCCTGCGGCCGCGGTGCCGGCGGCGTGCGCTCGCCCTCGTCGCGCGCCGCACTGCTGGCCGAGCGCCGGCTCGACGGCGTGTCGGTGAGCGAGGCCTCGCGCGAGGCTGCGATGCGGCGCTTGCGCTGAGCCGCCAGCCTGACGCTGAAGAGCTCGGCAGTGGGCGACGTCTCGCGGCGCCGGGCGGCGGCGTCGCGGCGGGCGGCGCCGAGGCGCTCGCGTGCGGCCGATGTCTGGGCCAGCGCGGCGGGCGACGGCGTCGGGCTGCCGAGCGTCGAGGGCGAGGCGGGTGCGCCGGGCGGCGTGGCGGCGCGCTGCCGCTTGCGCGACGAGTATGTGGCGCCGCCGGCGCGCTTGACGGAGCTGAAGTCCATCGCAGGCGCCGTGGCGAGGGGATGAGGGGGCGGAGGGACGGCGCGCAGGTGTCTCGCGTGCTCGGGTGCTCGGGTGCTCCACCTGCCTCTCTCGCTGGCCGCGCGCCGCGTGCTTACGTCAGCACCTTTTTGGTCCTTCGCGCCGGGGCGGATGTGCTCTTGCTGCTGCTGGCCGGCGGCTCGCTGCCGCTCTCTACATCTCTCCCCCTCGCCCTAAGCTCTTGCTCTCCAGACATGCCTGGAGTAAAGCGCAAGGCGCAAGGCGCCAGCGCCGCTGCTGGCCCGTCGCAGCTGCCCGCACGCAAGCGGGCCGCCGCTGCGCCTGCTCGCGCCGCGTCTGACAGCGAGAGCGCCAACAGCGACTTCGACGACGGCGACGACCTCATGGCTGCAGCCTACGCCGGCGCTGGCGCAGATGACGACGACGACAGCAGCGAGGGCGAGGATGGCGACAGCGATGCGCTCATGAGGGGCACTGCGTCGGGCGCGGTGGCGGATGAGGGCTACGAGTCAGAGGGCGACGCAGACGGTTTCGAAGACCTCGAGGCCGAGGGCGCCTTTGAGGATCTCGAGGCGGAGGGAGGCGGAGATGACGACGCGAGTAATGTGGCGGCCGAGGCAGATCAGCAGCGCGACGCCATGAAGCGCAAGAGCTCGGGCCTGTACGCCATGCCGACGGCCGACGAGATGAACGAGCTGCGCGCCACGGGCGATCTCTTCCGCGACGGCGTGTTCAAGCTGCAGGTGAGCGACGCAGCGGTGTGATCAGTGATGGACTGGCCTTGCTGACTTGTCCTGCCAGATCGACGAGATGCTGCCGACGATCAGAGTCAAGCCAGACGCAAGCGCCGCGCTGGACCTCGTGCTGCAGCGCCTCAAGAAGCACCTCGACGGCCTGCCGACGCTGCCGGCCGTGCCGTTCAAGGATGCCGCAGCCTCGCTGGCCACGGCCTTTCCGCGAGCGACCAGCGTCTGCATCCCATGGCCCGGGCCGGCGCCGGCGGGCAGGCACACGTACGGCTTTGCTGCACCCGAGAACGTCGCTGTCGTGGGCTCGTGGGCGCTGCGTACGGCCGTCAAGCGGCCAGACGGCGTCGATGTGGACGTCTCGGTGCAGATGCCGTCTTCTCTCTTCTCGGCCAAGGACGCCCGCGCAGGCCGCTACGGCGCAAAGCGCGCCTTCTACCTGGCCGGTCTTGCAGCGTCCATCTCTGCGTCCAAGGAGCTGGACGTTGATCTGCGCTTTGAGCTGCTCGACGACGATGTGCGGCGGCCGATCCTGTGCCTGCATCCGCGCAAGAGTGCCGGCGAGCAAGACTTCAGCAAGGCCAAGGCCAGCATTCGACTGTTGCCGACACACGACGTATCGCTCTTCCCGCCAGCACGACTCGGTCCGCGCATCGGCAACGTCCGTGCGGACGCAGGCGGCGACGAGGAGGGCGAGATCAGCGACGAGGCGACGCCGCTCTACAATGCCAGCGTGATGGCCGACTCGCTGATGCTCGCGCATCTCATCTTCCTGCACGGCGTCGCAAAGACATGCCCGGCATTTGCCGATGCCTGCCTCTTGCTCAAGACGTGGGCCTTCCAGCGCGGGCTCGGCAGCGGCACGCGCAAGGATGCGCAGCGGCTCGGGCCGGTGGGCACTAGCCGCATCCGCTTCGTCCTCACGATGATGCTGGCGCACCTGCTGCAGGGAGAGGCGCCTACGCCCGGCGGGCGGAAGAAGGCGTCGCGTGCGAAGCTCGGCCGCAACTTCAGCAGCTACCAGCTGTTCCGCGGTGTGCTGGACTTCCTCGCTGGCACACCTTGGGACGCTTCGCCAGTCTTTATGAAGCACTTCGAAGGCCTGCCAGACCGCAGTGCCTTGATCGACCGCACGGAGTGGAGCGCGCCGGCGCTCGTCGACCCGACAGCGAGCCTCAACCTGCTCGCCTCGTTTGCAGCTGGCTCGCTTGAGCACGTCGCGGCTGAGGCCAAGGCCTCGCTTGCGCTGCTCGACCTCGGAGGCGATCACTTCAGCACTTTGTTCCTCTCCGATCGCAGCCAGCCGTCGTTTGTCTTCGACGAGGTTGCGCGGTTCCGCCTCAGCTCTGCAAGCGTGTCGGCTGCGCTCGCTGCTGATGCGGGCAGCCGGTTGGCCGCTGCCGCTCGGCTTGTTGCAAGCGTTGCGCGACGAGGCTTGGGCCGACGAGCCGCATACAGCACTGTGCTCGTCTCCGCACCACCTTCGCTCTGGGCCGTGGACGCAGAGCGGCCGAAGCAGAATGCCGACGTGCAGCTCGGAGTCGTACTCGAGCCGACTGAGGCGCTCAAGATGGTCGAGCACGGCCCCGCACCCGAAGACGCTGCTGCGGCCCAGGCCTTCAAGGACTTCTGGGGCCCGCTCGCTGAGCTGCGTCGCTTCCGGGACGGCCGCATCGTCGAGTCCGTCGTCTGGCCGAGCGCGGGCCCGTTTGCTCGCTGGCGCATTCCGAGGGACATTGTGCGCCATGTGCTGCAGCGGCACTGCAACGTCGAGGCAAAGAAGGTGCATTTCTTCGCCGAGCGCTTCTCGGGCCTGCTGGAGGTGCCGAAGGAAGTCGAGCGGCTCGCAGCGCTCGAGCCGACAGAGGCCTCGGGCTTTCAGCTCGTCCAAGCGAGCTTCCAGGAGCTGGTCAAGAACCTGCGCGCGCTCGAAGGCCTGCCGCTCTCGCTCGTCAGCGTCGTGCCGACGGCCGAGAGTCTGCGCAGCACGAGCGCCTTTGTGCCCTTCCCTCTGCGTCTCGATGCGCTCGGTACGCGTGTGCCAGACACAGCCTCGTACCTGCCGCTGCACGACATCGTGATGACGCTGGAGTCTTCGGGTCGGTGGCCCGACGACGTGCCGGCGATCCAGGCGATGAAGGCCGCATTCTACGAGAAGATGGCCGGACTGCTGCCTGAGCACATGGCCGGCTCGCGTGCATGCGTCGTGTACGATGTCGACGCTGCCACACAAGGCCCTCTGGCGGACACGAGTGCGCTCGAGATCGTAACCTCGACGGGCTTCGCCTTCCGCGCGCGCATTCACCACGAGCGCGAGCGCACGCTGCTCGAGCGCATCATCGCCTCGCGGGACGAGACGCCCGCTCGGAAGCGCGAGGCGCGCTCTGCCCTCGTGCGCTTCGCACAGCGCTTCGACTCGGCGACGCGGCATCATGCCACCGTCGCGACTCTCCAGGCACGCCTCATCGCGCTCGGCGAGGCGACACGGCTGCTGAAGCGCTGGGTCTCGGCACAGATGCTCAGCCACATCTCGCCCGAGCTGCTCGAGCTTCTCGCACTGCACGTCTTCCTGCAGCCAGGTGCACAGCCGCACAGCGCCGCTGCCGGCTTCGCTCGCACGCTGCAGACGCTCGCGACCTGGCGCTGGCGCGACGAGCCGCTGCTCGTTGCGTGTCATGCTGCCGTCGATGCACCAGAGGGCGAGGTCGTCGCGCCCAGATTCCCGCTTGAGCCGGCGGCGCAGGCGGAAAAGGCGCTCAAGACCGTGCGCTCGCAGGACCCGAGCAAGGAGACGCGCACATGGCTCATCGCCACCGAGAAGGACGTCGAGGGCACAGACTGGGCCAGCCGAGGGCCCACGGCGGCAGAAGCGCATCTGCTGCAGCAGCTCGCGGCCGGCGCCGTGCAGTATCTATCGGCCAAGAGCGCATCGCTGACCGCAGCAGACGTCATGGTGAGACGGCTCTGCGCTACTCGCACGAGCTACCTGGCTGACACTGCTCCTTTCAGGCGCTCTTCACGCCCTCGCTGGCGCACTACGATTTCGTCGTTCACCTCGACCCCTCTGCCCTGCCGCGCTACGCGCAAAGCCTGTCGTACGACGCAGCGCGGGCAGTGGCGCCTGGTGCGCCGCCGAAGAGTCGCTTCGCCAACCTGCTCGACGACGTCTCACGCCTCGGCACCAAGCCGCGAGCCGGCCTCGACGTGGGCGCCGAGTTCGCGCAGCTGCTCCTGGTGCGCCGGCAGCCCCTCTCTCTTGCCGTGCTTGCAGTCTGCTTACCGCAGCCTCTTGCAGTCGCTCTTCGACGACACGCTGCGCCTCTTCTACGACGCACACGGCGGCAGCGTCATCTGCGGGCTGTGGAACCCGTCGCTGCGCACGGCGCGGCCATTCAAGACGCTGCTCGGCTTTGCCAGCCGGCCGGCGGCCGCCGTCGACGGCAGCAAGAAGGCCAGCGTCGTGCTCGACGAGGAGGCCGTCTGCGCCGAGATCACGCGGCTGGGCGCCGGGCTGGTCACGCGCGTCGAGCGGCGCAAGACCAAGGCGCAGTAAGATGAATACACTTGCTTCAGTAGCTTCGGGCGTGACGGAGGAGACACTACGATCGAGGGCCGGCGAGGGACGAGGGCAGAGCGGGCGCGGATCAGCTGTCGTTGTGCGCACGGCGGAAGTGCAGGTGGCGCTCGTAGAACTTGAGCGTCCTCTGCGGGCACTTCTTGTATGCGACGCTGGCCGGGTACGAGAGCTCCGCGCCATCTTTGCTGCAGGATAGAGGCGTATCAGCTGCTGCCGAACGAGCGCGCCGAGGCGCATGCCAGGCGGATGACAACGCCGGCCAGGAGCACACGATGAACGCATTGCTCGTCATGCCAGCTCGCGACACTCACAACCGGATGTACGCCGACAGCTCGCCGTCCTCCGAGCGCTCGAGCGTCTCCACATTGCACTCGTTCTCCCAGTTGTCGAGCTTGTCGTACTTCTTGCGGCTGGCCGCCTCTGCCCTGCGCTTCTCTGCCTCCGCCTCGCCATCCTCATCATCCTCGTCCGCACTCTCAGCAGGCGCCGCCTCGTCGCTGCCACGTGCCTTCTTGGCAGCGCGCGGCGACGTGGCCTCCTCGTCGTCCTCCGCTGCGGCCGGCGGAGGCGACTTGCTGTGCGGACGCGGGCGCTTCTTCTCTGCGGCGCGCAGGCCGGCGACGTGCTTCAGCACCTTCGCATCCCTCGGGTCGGCACGCTTCTTCACACGTGCCCAGTACTTGCGCGTGAGCTCCGACGCCGTGGACTGGACATGACTCTGCGGCGGCGGTGTGAGCCAGGCCGCCGTCACGGCCGCCGAGCTAGCCCGCACACGCCAGCAGCGGCGGCTACCAACGGCACTCACCTCGGGCTCCCACGTGTCGTCGCTCGCCTCGTATCCCTTCCAGCGGATCTTGTACGTGAGACCGGACTGTTGGGCTGGCGTGAGCGGCAGCGGGCGGGCGAAGTGCGCACCAGGCAGCGCGGGCATGCAGCATGTGGGCGCCACGCTGGCGCAGCTGGCAGACGTTGACGCAGACGCTGGCGTGGCCCGCGGAGGCCGACGTGGCCGGCAGACGTGGCGCGGCACGACGCGTCGTCGTCCATCTCGACGCGTTCCCATCCGCGCGGCGCGTCCGCCATTCGGCGCGCGGCGCGGGCACTGGAGCAGCGGCGGCGCCGCGGCGGCGCTGCGGCACCGGAGCAGTGTAGAGCAAAGGCGCAGCGCCGGCGGCCGCTGGCCAGAAAGGCATAAAGCTGGGGCTGCGGGCGCCTCGCTCCGTTTTCCTTCACGCTCCCATCCACCACTCCCCGCCGCCCCCGCCCGCCCATCCTCCGCTCTCGCGCGCCCATCCGCCGCCCTCTCGCCCTCCCTTCCGCCCCGCCTTCGCCTCGCAAGTCGCCGCTGCCGCCGCTGCATCAAGCGCACACGCAGCGCACGCACGCTGCGCTGCTCGCTGTCCGACGCATCCATCGTGCTGCATCCGCCTGCCGCACACGGCCGGCGCCGGACGCCTGCAACTCACCGAGTCGCGGTGGTGTCGGTGGCCGAGGATCTTCTCGATCTCGTACTCGGGCTCCTCTGCACTCTCGCCGCCGTCCGAGGCGCCGGCCTCGTCGCTGGCCTCGTCGTCGTCGCTCAGCGCCAGTGCGACGGGTGCGGCCTTTGCCTGCGGCTGCGCACTGCCCTTTGCGCTGCTGGCGCGGCTGCTGCCGGGCACGCTGGCTCTGGGTGCGGCGGGCGAGTCGCTGCTGCGGCTGGAGCGCGGCATGTCGGGATGGATGGACGGACGGACGGACGGATGGATGGACGGACGGGGATGGAGAGCGGGACGCTGCCTCGCAGCCGTTGCGGCTTCATCAGGCGGCGGCGCCGACGAAGCGAGCCGCTGCCAGAGCGGGCAAGCCGCCGCGCGCGCTCCCGGCCGAGAGACGCGCCGCGCCTGCGCCGCCACGCGCGACGCGCCGCTGCGCCGCTGCGCCCACACACACCGGCGCTGCGCCCTTTCCCCGCCGTGCTCCCACGCCAGCCACCACCACCACGCGGGCCACCTCACATCACCCGAATGCCACCTCACGCCCAACGCGGCCTGCCCATCGCATGTTTCCTGCACCTGCGTGCAGCGCTTCTTTCAGCCTCAGCGGCAGCGCCAATGCCTGCGCAAGTCGCAGCGCTCATGCAGCGTCTTGGCCCGCAGCGGCATCGGGCACGCCCGCGGCTCAGCTGCGCCTGCTTCGCGGCGTCGCCATCGCCGAACACCTGCAGGCTGAGACTCGACTGCAGCTGACGTACCGCCCTCCCGCATCCGCAGAGCCTTTCTCAGAACGGCAGCTCGCCACGAACCGCACGTGCTGAACGAAAAAAGACAAGAGGACCGCCGGCAGTCAGTTCTGGTGCTGTTCGGCGGCCAGCCAGGGATGACGATGCAGAGTCTCCCTCGGCTTAGAGGTCCACCAGCAGTCAGCTTGCAGCTTAGCTGTCTGCTGCTGTTCGGCGGTCAGCCAGGGATGACGATGCAGAGTCTCCCTCGGCTTAGAGGTCCACCAGCAGTCAGTTTGCAGCTTAGCTGTCTACTGCTGTTCGGCGGTCAGCCAGGGATGCAGAGAGGCTCCCTCGGCTTAGAGGTCCGCCAGCAGTCAGTTTGCAGCTTAGCTGTCTACTGCTGTTCGGCGGTCGCCAGGGATGCAGAGTCTCCCTCGGACATGTTCGCCAGCTGTCAGCTCCAGCCTCGGCTGTTGCTGCAGTTGGGCGTCCCACGCCGAGCCGTGCGACCGCGCGAGCCCCACCAGGCTTCGCGCGGCGTCTCTGCTCGGGGCCGGCATTCTGATTGGCGTCTCTCCTTCTGTAAGTGTCGCCTGCGTCTGGGAAGCGGCGGCTGCGGCGCGAGGCACAGCGGCTAAACGTTGACAGTCATGCCCAGGCGATTCTCATCGATCTGAACGGACGGACCCGAGCTGTCTGCTGCTTTTGCAGGCTGCTGCGCACGATCAACAGCGCAAGTCGCTCGTCGCTCGAACGGCTGGCTGCCGTTCTGCCTGAGCGGCCGCAGCGCGGCAAGACACAGTGCGCGCAAGCTAGGGCCACGCTGAACTTCCTGCCTTCCGCAACAGGTACATATGCTCATCGTCAAGCACGGCGCACGCCAAGATGTTCTCGACAGATGCAGTGTGAGTCCGGTGCTGCTTCAGAACGCGCTTGGCCGCCATCCCCAACCAAAGGTCGCGTATGAGACGCCGAGGTGATCGTACGTGACGAGACTGCGGGCGAGGATTCTCTTGGTGGTATGAGTGATGCTTCGGGGCGCCTGTGGCGCTATCCCCTCCCTAAGGTGCTATATGCTGCCTGTGGTGCTATATGCTCACGAAAGCGGGCTACGAGACGCGCGAGTGATCGTAGACGGCGGGAGTAAGGATCCCTGATGGTACCGGTGCTGCAAGTTCGCCCGGCCGCCTTCGGCGGCTCGGGGTCCGGGACGCAGGAGACTCTGCGGCGGCACATCGACACGCCGCCTTGCGGCGTGTGCCGTCGCAGGCCCGGTGCCGTCTTGGGCTGCGGGCACAGACTCATGCCTCCATTGTCGGCTTGAGGATCTGGCTAACGTCACACCGAGCCCAGGGCATCAGCAACGCAAGAAGCAGGCACGACATCGCGTGTCGTGCCTGCACCGGTCGAGCTGCTCCGTCCCACAGCGTGAGTGGATTATAAGAATGCTTAGTCGGGTGGAGCGACGGCAAGCGCAGTACGAGTACTGCTGCTCTGTGTTTTGCATGGCCGCGAAGCGTGCCGTCCTCGTTGATGTATGCGCGCATGCGCCACGCGAGCTGCAGCATGCATCAAGAGACACGCGTGCGTGGCAGAAGTGACGCAGCCGCGGAGCCCGCCCGATGCCCTGCACTGCAGCTGCACAGCATCGGGATGGAGCCGCCTGATGCTCCGGCATCGGGCGGGTATATGGCGTAGATTGCTCCTCGGAGACACTTGTGTGACGTCAGGCTCGTCAGTTACAGGCGCCGTGCGGCGGGCTTCGGCTTGCGTCACGATGTGCTGGCTGACACCTCACCTAGTCTCAGGACAGCCGACGGCGAAGAAGCACGAACAATAGGCAACACGCAGAGCGGCCGGCCGACTTCCGCAGCACAGCGTCAGCACGCTCAGGCGTCGGGACTCGCAACCTTCCAACGCCGGCAAGACCCAGGCGAGTGCTCCGCCGCGTGGAACCGCTCCTCGCCGACGAGGCGCAGAAGCGCGTCGACGAGGGCACTGAGTCGCGCCGCATTCTCGAACGCCTCCTTTCCGCCGCGCTGCAGAAGTGAGTCATAGATGAACATGTGGGAAGTGATAGGCTTCGCGAAGGATGGGGACGGACGAGCGGACATGGCGAGGGAGAAGGCGGCGCAGATGGTGGGAGAGGCGGCGTAGATGGAGGAGAAGACGGCATGCTTAGATTGAGTGTGCAGCACAGCCCGCTTCTCGGTTGCGTAAAGTAGAGTGCTCTTGATTATGTGGCCGTCCCTGTCGTCGTCTAAGCAGCGTTGGCCAGGGCAAGCTTGCACTGCGACATGTTCTGCTGAGCAGACCTTGCGTATGTGGCAGTGCCGACGCGCGTGGTGCAACGAGCCGTCGATGGAGTAGCGAGCAGGAGGCTGACTCTCACCAAGCTCTCGCGCAGACAATGCGCCGGCGTCGTCGTGACGGCTACGTCAAGGCGAAGGCCTCTTCAGAAGCACGCTCCCCGCTCTCCTTCGCAACCCGCCCCCACCTTCCGCTTCCCTCACGCCTCGCGCCGCAGGCTCCCTGCGTTCGCCGCACACCACCGTCTTCACTAATCGTCTGCGCAATCTAATCGACTGTGTCTCTGAGATATCGCGAGTGGCGCTCGGCCGAGCGAGAGACGAGAGAGATCAAGCGTGACAGCGGCGATCCGAGCGGCGGCGGCTTGCGCCGCGTGAGGTAGCTGCTGGCGGCTGCGCGCCTCGGCGCGGCGGGCGGGCGCCGGCGTGGCGCCGTGCATGCCCTGCGCCACGCCGGGCGCGACGCTCGCTTTGCCTCCTCTCCACATCGATCGCCGCTCCCTTCGCCGCCCTCATCCCTCTCAGCCGGCGCTCCTGCTGCGCCAGTCTCGTCTGCCCCTCGCTCCAGCACAGCTGGGTCTCCACCGCTCGGCCGGCCTGCGCACCAGCCGCCGGACCGCACGCCCGCGCCTGCACCTCCACTCTGCCGCCGTCGCGCGGCCATCGCGCCACCATGCCGAGCCCTTCGATGCCGGCCTCGCCCGGTGCTGTACGTGTCTCGCCGCCTCGCTGCGACTCGCACCTGCTCACTGCGCGCTTCCAGATGGCATCGGCGCACTCCTCGCCCGCCTCATCGTCGCGCCTGCCCGACGACGACGACGACGACGATGCCTTTCTCTCCGACAGCGACATTGAGTTCGACGACCTCTCCTCGGCCTCGGGCTCGGCGCTCTCTGCCGACGACGACGGCGACGTCTTCATGTCCGACACTGACGCCGATGCCGATGGCGACGGCGATGCCGATGCGCCCGACGCGCGTGCCATGACCGCCGACGCCGAGGCGTGGGAGGAGCGCCACCGCGGCGTCGAGTACAGCGTGCTCGGCCCCGCGGAGCTGGAGGAGAAGCAGCTGCGCGAGCGGCGCGACGTGGCAAGCATGTTCGAGATCCAGGTGAGTGGCTTGCGAGAGTCATCGGTTCAATGTTGGCGCCGGCAGCTGGGTCCGCCAAGCGTGGCAAATGCGCCACGTCGTGTGTGTGCGCCTGGGCACGGGCTCGACTCTGCGCTAGAGTGGGCGTGTCTGCGGTCGGCAGTATCCCGGTGCATGCTCGAGGCGCAAGCGGTCTAGCGCGGCGCTGCGGTCCGCCGTTCGCAGCGAGAGCATTGCCTGTGCGCCGTGTCGTTTGCCGCGTGCAGCACTGACGCTCGTGTCCGAGCGCAGGAGACAGATGCCTCGACTCTGCTGCGCTACTTTTCCTGGAACAAGGAGCGCCTGATCGAGTCGTTCATGGAGCGGCCGGAGCACTACTCTGCCGTCGCTGGGCTCTCCACGTCTTCGCGGCCGTCTGCAGTCCAGACGCTGCACCCGCCGACGGACTTTACCTGCGAAGTCTGCTTCTCCTCGATCGAAGATGCCGGTGGCGCGAGCAGCAGCAGCAGCAAGGGCAAAGGGAAGAGCCGCGGGCCGGGCATGGAGACGCTCGCGCTCTCGTGCGGTCACCGCTTCTGCACGGCGTGCTACGCCGCGTATCTGCAGCAGAAGGTGGAGAACGAGGGCGAGAGCAGACGCATCCAATGCCTCATGGAGGGCTGCGGCATGATCGTCGACGAGAACACGGCAAAGCTCGTGCTGCAGGGCGCCACACTTGAGCGGTGAGTCTCGCTGGCGTGCTCGTGCGACCGCGTGCTGATGCTGCGCTTCAGATACACACACCTGCTCTCTCGCACCTACGTCGACGACGCGCCCACGCTGCGCTGGTGTCCCTCGCCCGGGTGCGAGAACGCCGTGTCGGCGGCGGTGCCGGCCAAGGCGCTGCGCTCCCTGGTGCCGACGGTGCGCTGCGCGTGTGGCACGGAGTTCTGCTTTGGCTGTGCCGAGGCGCCGGGCCACGAGCCGGCGATCTGCAAGGTCGCAGGCCTGTGGCTGCGCAAGTGCCGCGACGACAGCGAGACGGCCAACTGGATCAGCGCCAACACAAAGGAGTGCCCCAAGTGCAACTCGACGATCGAGAAGAACGGCGGCTGCAACCACATGACGTGCCGCAAGTGCAAGTACGAGTGGTGCTGGATCTGCGCGGGCCCGTGGTCGGAGCACGGCAACAGCTGGTACAACTGCAATCGCTTCGACGAGAAGAGCGGCACCGAGGCTCGCAGCGACCAGGCCAAGTCGCGTGCGCAGCTGGAGCGCTACCTGCATGTGAGATGCGGCTGTGCCTGCCGCCGGGCGCTCTGCTGATCCTCCCTGCGCAGTACTTCAACCGCTACGCAAACCACGAGCAGTCGGCGCGCCTCGACCGCGACCTCTACGCACGCACGGAGAAGAAGATGGAGGAGATGCAGCTCTCGTCGCAGCTGACGTGGATCGAGGTGCAGTTCCTGCGCAAGGCCGTCGACACACTCTCGGCGTGCCGCGCCACGCTCAAGTGGACGTACTGCATGGCCTTCTACCTCGAGCGCGACAACATGACGGAGCTCTTCGAGGACAACCAGAGGTGAGTGGCGGGCGGCCAGGCGCGGCAACGTGGCGTGCAGCGCTGACGGGCCCTGCAGAGACCTGGAGCGCGCCGTCGAGGACCTCTCCGAGCAGCTCGAGAAGCCCATCACCAAGGAGACGATTCCGAGCATGCGGCAGCGCGTCACGGACTGTGAGTGCATGCCGCCTCGCTGTCTGTGCGGGCGCGTGGCTGACCCTCGCTGCCAGTGACCGTCTACGTGGCAAAGCGGCGCGAGATCCTCCTCGCCGACACGGCCGAGGGCCACCGCGACGGCCGCTGGAAGTGGAGCGTGCCCATCTAGATCCACCACTGTCCGCACCGCTCTCGCCTGCCTCTCGCTCCGTCCCGCATCCGGCACCACATGCCCTCATACCTCTCCACACATTCCTCGCCGAGACGGGCGCGGCCACGTCTTGTCGCGACCCTCACATCCATACACCTCCTGTCTCCAAGCAGCACGCGCAGTGAACGACCACGACGACAGTCTGCCATCTTTCATGAGCGCGGCTTTGCCCGGTGCCTGGTGATGTGTGCTGCTGCTGAGGCCGCTGCTTCGTCGCTCCTGCGTCCTGCCGCGAGCAGCAAAGCTTGCCGGCCCGGCGGCTTACGGCCGAGTGGCAGCCGCGCCTACACGCGCTCCGCCTGCGAGCCATGCTGCGTCCAGGTCTAGCCAGCGCTGCGGCTACCAGCAGGCCCAGTGTGACAGAGGCTGAGCGTCGGGCTGCATGCGCCGGCGTGAAGCATGGGCCCTGTCTGTGGTTCGGCTGCCTTGCTCCCGCTGCTGAGGTGTGCTCGGTGCGCGGCGCTCCGGCTATGGCGGTGCCGGGGGCCGGAGCGCATCGCGCGATTCAGCATGCGGGGGAGGCGCCGGCGCTGCCGCCGCGGCGGCGCGCCCTCTGGGAGGCCACGCGCCGCGCCCACCGCGCCTTCCCGCCACTCCCTCCATGGGGCACCGCCTGCTCCGTCTCTCCCACCTCCGCACTATGGGCAAGGACCACGCCGCCGCCGCATCGCGCCTCGCCGCCGTCGGGCAGCAGCTGCGCGGCGCTGCCTCGTCGGCGGCCACCTCGGCGCCGCCCGCGTCGGAGCGGCGCGGCACGCTGCGCCTCGGCGCGTCCGTCGAGCTGCCCGTCTATGCGCCGCACGACGAGAGCCGCCTGCCGGACCAGCGCCGCCTGCTCGACCTGCACGACGCCACCGTGCGCGCACACCTCGAGTGGCTCGGTCGCAAGTACAGCCTGCGCCAGGATGCCTTGTGAGTCGCATACGTGCTGGACGGCGCGGCGGTGCTGCTCGTGCCTGTCGCTGACGCTGCCACTGCTACCGCCGCCAGCCTGATCTCGCCGCCGGGCCCGTACGCGCGGCGGCTGGCCCTTACGTTTGCCGCGCTGCTGCAGCTGCCCGTCGAGCACGTCTCGCTGCACCGCGACGTCGGCGAGGCCGAGCTCATCCAGGCGCGCAACCTCGCCGCCGGCAAGACGCTCACCTACACCGACGGGCCCGTTGTGCGTGCCATGAAGCGCGGCTCGCTGCTGATCCTCGAAGGCATCGAGCGTGCCGAGCGGGCAAGCATGCCGTTGCTGAACAATCTGATCGAGGTGCGTCTCAGCTGGCTGCCGCTGTAGCTGGTCTGGCCGCTGACGGCGCCGCGTCCCAGAATCGCGAGATGGGCCTGGCCGACGGCACTCACCTCGTGCCTGCTGCCACAATCGAGGCTGCTCGCGCTGCCGGCGGCAACACGACGTTCATTCCGGTCAGCGAGAACTTCTTCGTCATCGCCATCGGCCTCCCGTGAGTAGCACACCTGACCAGCAGCAGCCTGGCCCTCGTGCCTCTGATCCTGACGCCCGCTGGCAGGGTGCCGCCGTACAAGGGCCTGCCGCTCGACCCGCCATTCCGCTCGCGCTTCCAGGGCCGCTGGATCGAGGGCACTGTGCCGTCGGAGACGGCCATGCCGCAGGACCAGCAGGCCAAGGCGCTGAGCGATGCGCTGGCCGTGCGCTTCCGCGAGTGGGCTACGCTCGTGCGGCTGCACAGCACCGTGGCAGAGGGCGGCGAGGTGCTGCCGGCAGCCGAGCGTCTTCCCAACGTGCCCAACACGGCGCTCAGTCTCTTTGCCGACCTGGCCGCGCGCTTTCCGCCAGCACAGCCGCTGCCGATGCCGCCTGCCGTGCAGAGCAGCAGCAGCGGCGAGGAGGGCCCGCAGCTCAAGCAGCTGCCTTCGGCGCCGCCGCGAAACGGTGCGCTGCAGGTGCATGAGACGACCCGTGCACAGGTCGAGGCACGCGAGGCGCAGCAGCTCAAGAACTTCGTGGAGCGTGATGGCCGTCTGAGCGGCGACGGCACCATTGCTCCCAGCACACGCATGCTGCTCGGCGCCGGCTTTCCGATGCTCTACACGCTCGACGCGCGCCGCTACAAGCTTGCCGCCGACCTGCTCTCGGCGCTGGCGCTCGACAAGGGCATCGGCGGCGGCGGCGCCGAGGTCGAGGAGGGCAAGGGCTTCCTGGGCTACCGCATTGCCTCGATCACTCGTGCCGCACCGGACGCCGCCAACCTGACGTTCCAGCAGGAGGACGGCCGCAGCGTCACAGTGCGCGTGCCAGCCGGTCCTCTCCCCTTCGAGACGCTGCCGACGGTCAGCTTCGAGACGCCGGCCGCCGATGGCCTGCTCTTCACGCCACGTCTCGCTGGCGTGCTCACCTGCATGCTGCAGCTGCACGCTGTGGGGCGCGACGTGGTCCTGCTCCCTTCGGCGCTGGCGCTTGGCCACCTCGGCGAGGACTTCTCGCCCTCGTCGTCCTCCAGCACGTCGACGAGCATCAGCCTCTTCGCCAAGCTGCTCGGCTACGCGCACGAGGGCGTGCACTTGTGGAAAGATCTCGGCGGCAACGAGCTGATCGCACGCCGCGCCACGTCGCAGGACGGCAGTACGACGTGGCAGGCGGCGCCGCTGCTGCACGGCGCACTCGCTGGCTCGCTCGTGCACCTGGCCGGCATCGACGTGCTGGGTCCCACGCTGGGCTCACTCGCACGCCTGACGCAAGATCGCGAGGTCGAGCTGTGGGCCGGCGGCCGTGCTGCGTTGCCCGGCGCCATGCCGTCTGCCGAGAGCGGCGAAATCGGCGAAGGAACGCTGACGAGCATCAACCCGGCCTTCCGGCTCATCTGCACCGCATCGGCGCCGCGTGCCGACTGGCTCAACGAGGAGGCCTCGGCGCTCTTCAGCTTCGTCGCACCCATGCCCATGAGCGCCGCCGAGGAGCTCAAGGTGATCGTGGCGCGTTCGGGTGCGGAGCCAGCTGCGCTCAGCCAGCTCATGGACTTTGCGGGCCGCTACCGTGCGCTGGCGGCGGATCCTGCGCTGGGCCTCGATGCCTCTCGTCGCCTTGGCACCCGCTCCCTCATTCGCGTTGCCACACGTCTCGCGCGCCACAGCTCGACGGACCTGCACGACACCCTCGCTCGCACGTTGCTCATCGAGTTCCTGCCGCGCACGACAAGTACGCTTGTCCAAACAGCGCTGGCCGAGTCGGATCTGCGCAAGCGTGGCGCCGAGGGCGCCTTTCAGTATACGCCTCCGGAGCTGCTCTCGGACCCCGAGGTGCAGGATGGCCACCTGCTGTTCCGCAACATGAACGGCACGGGCGACGCTGCAGTCACGCGCATCCCGCTGTACGACGCTGCTGCCTTGGACCCCGCCGGCGTCTCGCAGATCCCGACGATGGCGCACTTCTACAACAACCCGGCTCAGTCGCTGATGCTGCGCGACATTGGCCTCGACCTGCTGAGCAACGACGTGCTGCTGATGGGCAACCAAGGCACGGGCAAGAACAAGCTGATCGACCGTCTCGCCATGCTGCTCGGCCGGCCGCGCGAGTATGTGCAGCTGCACCGCGACAGCAGCGTGTCGAGCATTCTGCAGCAGGTGCAGCTCATCGACGGACAGCTCACGTTCCTCGAGAGCCCGCTCATCCGTGCCATTCGCATCGGCCGGCTGTGCATCATCGACGAGGCAGACAAGAGCCCGGCTTCCGTCACCGCCGTCTTCAAGTCGCTGGCCGAGCGCCGCGAGCTCACGCTGCCGGATGGCCGTCGCGTGCGTCCTGCTGGCTCGCAGGGCGCCGACAACGATGTCATCGCGCACCCAGACTTCCGCCTGGTGCTTCTGGCCAACCGGCCCGGGCACGGCTTCCAGGGCTCCAACTCCCTCGGTGTCCTTGGCGAGGGCTTTGCGACGTTTGCGATCTCGAACCCGACGCACGAAAGCGAAGTCGCGCTGCTCAAGCAGGTCGGGCCGAACGTCGACGAGAAGCTGATCAAGGCGCTCGACCTGGCCTGGTGCGATCTGCGCGAGCACTTCGACCAGGGCAGCCTGCACTATCCGCTCTCCATGCGCGAGCTGATCCACATTGTGCGCCACCTCGAGCGCTTCCCGGGCGAGTCGCTCGTCGAGGTGCTGCTCAACACGCTCTCCTTCGACCTGCAGCGTCCGGAGGTCATGGAGCTCGTCACGCGCACGCTCGCACGCCGTGGGCTGAAGGTCGACGGCCTGAGCCTGGCGGCACTGCGCGAGCGCGAGGAGCAGCTGCAGAAGGAGGGCGCCGGTCGTGTTGACTACGATCCAGTCAAGGAGGGCAAGGACACGGGTCTCGACAAGCCGAAGGACGGCAAGGTCGATCCGGAAGGCAAGGAGCACACCGGCGGCAACACGTGGCGCGGCGGCACCGGCGGCCGGGACACGGCAGGTCTCGGCGGTCGTGGCGGCTACGAGCGGCTCTACACGGGCCAGGAGATCAAGCAGATCCCCGATGCGCTGAAGCGCGACGTGCCAGAGCACATCAAGGAGCAGGCGCGCCAGATGGCCAAGGAGGCGCTCGCCAAGAAGCTGGCCGAGGAAGGCCTGACGGCACACGAGGGCGCGACGCTGCAGTCGTACAAGGTCGAGCTCGCGCAGTACACCAACAACCTCGTCGCCATTCTGGACCAGGCACAGACTGCGGCGCGAGAGCGGCAGTGGCTCAAGCGGCAGGAGGAGGGCCAGCTCGACGAGTCGCGCCTCACCGACGCGCTCACGGGCGACAAGGGCGTCATGAAGCGGCGCGCCGAGCAGCCTCCGGACCCGTTTGCGCCGCAGACCAAGCCGAAGGTGAGCTGCGTCGCCTGATCCTGAGACTCCTCCGAGCTGACACGCCAGCAGCGCATCCGCATCCTCGTCGACGTGAGCGCCAGCATGTACTCGATGCAGTTCGACGGGCGCCTCGACCGCCAGCTCAAGACGGTGCTCATGGTCATGGAGGCCTTTGCGCGGACGGAGCCCGGCAAGTTCCTCTACGACGTGTGGGGCCACTCTGGCGAGTCGGCGAACATCGCGCTCGTCAAGGCCGACGCGCCGCCGGCCTCGGCCGGCGACCGATGGCGCGTGCTGCGCGACATGACGAGCATCACGCAGGTGAGTGGCGGGCGCTGCTGCTGCGGCGCGCGCTGCAGCGGCTGAATCTCTTCTCGCTGCAGTACACCATGAGCGGCGACTCGACGCTCGAGAGCATCCGCTGGGCCTGCCGGGACATCGTGAAGCAGGAGGCGGACGACTACTTTGTCATTGCCCTGTCTGGTGCGTGGCCGAATGCTCGCGCAACTGGATGCTGCCGCTGACGAGCTTGCACAGACGCCAACCTCGGACGCTACGGCATCACGACCGACGAGCTGTCGCGCGCGCTGCGCAGCTCTGACAAGGTCAAGGGCAGCATCATCTTCCTCGACACGCGCGAGGGCCGCCAGGCGGCGCCGCAGATGCCCGGCGTCGGCTACAGCGTGACGGATCTGCGCGAGCTGCCGGCGACGTTCGCAAGTCTGCTCGAGGCGGCACTGGATGATTAGACGGAGAGCGTGCGGAATGCATAGATGCGTGACGTGCGGCTCCCGATGTGACCGCTTGCTCCTATGCGCCGGACAGCAGACAGCAGGTCGGCCGCGACGTGGCTGTCGCTGGAGGGCTGACACGATGCGCTGCAGTCCGGACGGCACCTGCTCTATTGATGCTCCTTCTCCTCCGGAATGCTTGGCGACGGCGGCGCACTCCATCCTTCGCGCGGGCTGCGAGGCGAAGCCGGCTGCGGAGGATACGAGGGCAGCTCCGCTCCGAGGCCCGGCGATGGTGATCGCGCAGATCTGCCAGGCGAGCTTGACAGAGTGCCCGGCCTGAGTGCTGGCGACGAAGGCAGAAAGACGCCCGACGACGGACGCATATTCGGCGATGAGGACCCGGCGAGCATCGGACTGGACGGTGCCGCGACGCCGCCGTTGGCCACAGCCTGCAGAGCCGCAGCGGCCTTGGCGGCGTCGCGTCTTGCCGCTGGCGAGTCTGGGTCGTTGATCAGAAGCGACATGCGGGCGCCAGGCAGTGCCGAGCTGCTAGAGCGCGGCGTGCGGCGGCCGGCGACGAGGGTGGCGCCGCTGGCACCGCTCGGTGAGGCAGCAGGCGAGTCCTGGCCCGAGACCCGCCGAGCCATCGGCCCTGAGCGCAGCGTGCGCGCCGTCGCCAGCGATGTGGCAGGCTCGACGGGAGCAGCGGCCGCGGCTGGTGCTGCAGCCGGCGAGGCAGCGGCGCTCCATGCTGTGCGCTTCGATGCTAGAAAGGAGCCAAAAGAGCCGAACGCTGCGCGAACTTGCGTGCTCGCTTGTGCAGCAGCAGCAGTGGCCTGCGCTTGCAAGTCTGCTGCGGCCGGACCCGACGAGGCAGATTGGCTGGTGCGTGGAGTCGTCCCGTCCGGCGAGCCTCTCTCAGATCCAGCCTCGCTCGATCCGTTTGTGGGCCCGGCATTCGCGGCCTTGGCAGCGGCGGCCGCCTCGGCCTTGGCCAGCTGTTCCCGGCGGATGCGTGCCAGGTCGCTGCCGAGCTTGTTGGCGAACTTCCACGCCGTCGCCGAGCCGCTCGTGATGGCGGCGCCGATGGCTTCGCGAGTGGGCGCCAGCTGCTCCTCGAGATGCAGGTCGTGCAAGCCCGCAGTAACGCGCAGTCCGACGTCTTCGAGCGCAGAGACCTTGCCCTCGCACGGGTGCTGAACGAAGGATGGCGTCAGCGCACGTCAGATGACTTCGTCGACGATCGTCTGCTCACCTTGTGCTCGAAGAGATCGAAGACCATCGGATCTGTCGCGTCGTCCCAGATCTCGTACGCAGCTGTGCGCTTGAAGGCAGCGATGAACTCGGTACCGAAGGCCGCAGCCGCTGCAGCATCTGGCGCGAGCGTGAGCCGGCTGTGTCGTGATCGCAGCACAAACAGACGCACCAGGTGCATAGATGGACAGGTCGCTCTTCTCGCCCTTGGTCAGGAAGTCGGTGTACTTGACCGTGGAGAGCAAGGAGCAGATGTAGTCCTCGAACTTTGACCTGAGGTAGTCGTCGCTGCCGAGGTATCTGCGCAGCGTCAGCGAGACCGCGGCCAGAGCTGCCAAGCGCGACGCACTGCATGGTGGAGGGCCGTGTCGGATCGTCGACGTTCCATGTGTCTGTCACGACGTTTACCAGCTCGTCCATCCACTTGCGGTCGGCAGGCGTGAGGTTGATCGCCGCCTGCAGCCTCGGATCTGCGCCGACGAACTCGAGCGATGTGTGTTCGAGCTGCGCAGCATCCTGTCAGTCGCTGCTCTGTCAGGCTGGAGAAGATGCCCACATCGACGATGACGTCCGTGCCACACTCCTTTTGCTGCTTGAAGATGCTGTTCGTCGTGCCGACCAGGAAGCTCTTGGCGCTGCTGGCCAGGTCGATCTGCTGCAGTGGCAGGTACGGCTGGAAGAATGCGCCCTGCACAAGCGCTTCGTGTCAGCGTCAGGGGCCAGCAGCCGCATGCAGTGGCACGCACCTTGCCGAACAGATCCAGCGGCAGGCCCATGAATCGCAGCATGCTCTTCTTGTCCGACGTCTTGAGGCTCTCGGCCTTGTTCCGGCGCCCGTTGCTCGAGTCGAGCAGCGGCGAGCCGGCGTCGGCAAGGCTGAGGAGCAGGTTCGGCACCATCGACACAAGGCTATACTGATACGTGCAGAGCCGCTCGACCGGATAGCCGAAGAACATGATCTGCGTGGCATGCGTCAGGCACTGCTCGGCAGCTGGGCCCGGCACGCTCACCTTGCGCTGCAAGAGCAGCAGCTTGAGCAGCATGAGCGTCTTGAAGCGCCACTTGTATACGAGCTCCCGCAGACTCGTGCCTGCGCGATGTCAGCTGTTGCGTGCTGAGGTGCCTCTCTGCATCCGCACTGACCCATGTACATGTTGCCCTCCCACTCCGCCTCGCGCTCCTTCTCGCGCTCGCGCTCGCCTGCGTCTTCGGGCGCACCACTGTCGCTGCCGCCGGCGAGCAGCGGCGAGCGGCGCCAGGCGCCAAGCCCTTCCTCGAGCGTGCCCCAGAAGTCCTCGAGGATGTGCTTGTCGGAGAGGTCGCCCTGCGCGAAGAAGGCGCGCGTCACGATGCCCAGCTTCTCGCGAATCGGCCCGAAGATTGGCTGCCAGGCGACACATCAGCTGCGTGTGCAGGACGGACGCACTCTAGATGCAGCCAGAATCGCTGCCGTCCTCAAGACATTGCCGCTACACCGCACCCGACCAGTTCGCCAGCGCACCCGGCGACCCGTCACCGACAGATCCGGCACTCACCTCACGCGCCAGCACGACGACGGCCTTCTGCACCGTCCCGCGCGTCACTTCCTTGCCCTTATGCGTCAGCAGACTGCTGGCTATCTGGCGATTGCAGCTGATGCCGAACACCGTGTGCGGATGCAGTGCGGGCGCGAGCAGGTGGAAGTGGCAGAAGTCCTCGTCGGACTGCCAGCGGCGGCGTCAGTGTGCCGCAGCGGCGCTGCACCAGACGCAGCACGCACCAGATGCGAGCCGTCCGGCAGCGCGAGGAACGGCAGCGAGGCGAGAATGTCGGCGTCCTGCGCCAGGGCTTCGGGCACGGTGAACTCGACCTGCGGGCCGACGAGGTGGTTGAAGTCGACGACGGCTAGGCCGAGGATGACGGGCGCAGCCGCGGCGGCAGACGTCGAGCCGGCAGAGAGCGCCGAGTAGCTGCTGTAGCTGCTCGAGAAGCGCGAGAGCGGCGGCGGAGCGGGCGGCGAGAGGATCTCGGCAGCGGGCGCGAGCCGGGCCGCCGAGGTGGAGGATGCCGCAGCAGCAGGCTCGGGCTGGCCCAGCTCGGGCGGCGCTGCTGCAGCTGAGTTGCGCTCTGGCGGCAACGTCTCAGCGGCGCTGCGCGCTGCGAGCGGCGAGGGCGGGATGACATGCTGCGCAAAGCCGAGCCCGGCGAGCGGGGCCGGCAGCTCGGGCGGCGGCGTCGCAGGCGGCGAGGCGGACATGCCGGCGCAGCGGATGCCGGCAGGGCTCAGCCAGCAGTGGCTCGCAGGGGTGACAGGCAGCGAGCGGGCGCAGCAACACGAGCAGGCAGATGGGGATGAAGAGCTGCGGAGCGAAGCGGCGGGTGGATGGAGACGCGAGGCAGGAAGGACGAGGCGCGCCGGCCGCGCGCGCGCGCCAGAGGTTGCCCGCATCCCATGCCGCCTCGCGCCTGATCAGGCTCGACGCGACCCGACTCTCGCATGCCTGATTCGGATCGAGATTGGCGCGTCGGGGGACGCGGCCGCCGCCGCGCGGACCCCGCGCGGCGCAACACCACCTCTGCCTGCTGTGCTGCCTCTGGCCGCACGCCTCACGGTCATCAGCGCACGACCGCAGCGCCGGACGAGGGAGCAAGACGGAACTGCGAAGCTGAGCGGTGGCGCTCGAGTGCGTGGCGGCCCGCGCCGTTCAAGGCGCTCGACTCGGACGCTGACTCTGCCTAGGCCCGAGCGCGCGCGCGCGCCGCGCGGAAGCAGCACGAGCTGCTTCTGCGGAGCATGTCGCCTGCATTGCGTTCTCACGTCTACTCGCCCGATTGGGCTTCTCCGCCTCCTGCCGCTCCGGGCTGCCGCCAGTCTCCGACGCCGTTGGTCTACCGGCGCGGGCAAGCTGCATGCTGCACTCGAGTCGAGTCGAGTGCTGCGCTCTGGTGCGGGTGCGGCGGAGGACTCGACTCGCGAGTCGTCGCTCGTGCGGCCGCCTGCGGCTCTGTTGCCGCACGCTTTGCCCCCGCCTCGCGCTCCTCGCATCGCTGCTTCTCACCACCACACCTCTCTGTCTCCTTCCTCGCCAAGCCAAGCCCCATCCTCCCACGCCGCCGCATGCCGCCGATCAACACGATCAACAAGAAGAGTGCAGGATGGAAGGTGATGCAGCAGTCGCTGCGCCGCCGCCCGCTCGAGCCCGTGCAGCAGCAGCAGGAGCCTCTGTCAGAGCCGGAGGAGCGCAAGCGGGCCCGCAGCCCCGTCTCGGCGTCGGCCTCGGCGTCCTCGTCAACGACTCATTTTGAGCAGCATGCCGAGAACTCTGTTGGCGTCGTCAATGGCAGCTATAGGCCCGTCTTGGCTGCAAGGGACCGAGCTGAGCAGCTGCGGCAGGTCGACGCTGAGAGGCAGCGGGCATTGCATCAGCTGGAGATCGAGACGCAGGCGCGCCAGAGGGAGACTGAGCTGCGCATGAAGGCGCAAGCAGGTGAGTGCAGCTTGATTTGCGGTGTGATGGCAAGGCGTACATGTGCAACGACAGCAGCAGCATGCCGATAGGGCTATGAGAGCGGCAGCAGAAGCTGAGGCAGAGGTGGATGCGGACGCGCCGCCAGCAGGCGGCGCGTTGGTTGGGTTGGTCATGTGCGCAGCTGCTTCTCCTCTCTGACGCCGACCTCCATACGCTTCCAGAGCTCGAGGTCATGAAGGAGGAGCGCAAACAAGAGCGCCGGCGCCACGAGGAGGGACGCAAGGAGGAGCGCCAGCGCCACGAAGAAGAGCGCAAGCAAGAGTCCCAGCGCCACGAGGAGGAGCGCAAGGACGAGCGTCAGCGCCACGCGGAAGAGCGCAAGGAGATCCTGCGCCTCGTCACTGCTCGTGACGCAGCAGCAGCGCCACCCAGCAGATGGCGCCGTGCCAGCCTCGCTATGCGCGGCGCAGGCGACCTTCTGCGCGATGGCGTCGAGCTCTACACAACCGTCGAGCACCTTGCGCGCAAGTGCTCGTCTAACGAGCACCTTGCGCGCACGTACTCTAACCCTTCCTAGATGTGGCACCTCCTTTCTCCAGCCCGCATCTTGTTGTTCCCTTCATTCATACCCCTCTCTCCTACACACATACCTTACTTCTCGGACCACACATGAATACACCTATCATAGAGCGATGCGATTGAGGAAGAGCAGATCGCAGGACAGCTTCGCTCTCGCGCAGCAGCGAGCTGCCGGCCGTGGCGAGCCGCTAGGCCTCCTCGTCCTTGTAGTTGGCCATCGGGTCCTCGTACTTGGTGCTCGCCATGCGGTACGCCTCGAGCTGCTCCTCGGTGACGCTGCGAGCGGCGGGCGTGAGCGCACGACGACGACGACGACTGCTGTCGCGCAGCACTTACTCTGCGTCCTGGGCGCGCAGCGAGGCGTGCTTGTCGTTCTTGCTGCGGATCGCCTCTGCCTCGCTGAGCCAGTCCGGCTTGCTCTTGCTGCTGCGCTGCTCCTCGCGGCTGCCCTTCTCCCTGCGCAGCGCCTCCTTGAGCTTCTCCTTGTCCAGCCGAGCCGAGACGTCGCCCTCGCCCATGTGCTTCGCCGGCCGGTAGCCCTCGACGGCGCTCTTCTTGCTCTTCTCGCGCGACGAGGCGTGCCTGCGGCTGCGCTTGCGCTTGCGCCGCGAGTCGTCGCTGCTGCTGCTGCTGCTGCCGCTGCTGCTGCTTGACGAGTCCGAGCCACTCGACGAGCTGCCTGAGCTGGATGTCGATGACGAGCGTGCCCGACGCTTCGAGCCTGACGCACGCGCATCGCTCTCGCGGCCCTTGCCCTTCTCCTTGCTCGCCTCGGGCTGCTTTGCCTTGCCGGTGAGCAGGCCTGCGCTGGCGGCGACGGCCTCGATGCCCGCCTTGCCCGTGCAGTACGAGTTGCGCACCGTCGAGTGGCAGCAGTCGTAGCCGTACTTGCCCGTCTCTGCGTCGAAGAATGTCGCCCACGGCTTCGTGTGGTTGCCGTCGTAGACTGCGACACGGCGTCAGTGGAGCGTGATGCTGTGCGCGTCGCAGTCAGACTCACGCTGCGGCCGCTCGAGCTCGCTTGCCGGCACGGCTGTGACGCGGTGCATCGGGCGCACAGGCTGGCCGGTGCGGCTGTACTCGACGTACTCCTCCGTCTGGCCGCTGAGCAGCTCCTTCGGCACGTTGTCGAAGTGCTCGGCGCCGCCGTAGCGCTCGAGAATGCTGCCCTTTGTGCTCTCGCGCAGCTTCTCCTTCTTCTGCGTGTACTCGCGGTGCTGCAGCTCGTTGACGGTCGGGTTCGCCTGCAGGTGCACGTCGTTGCCGCGTGCCTCGGACTGCCAGGCGAAGAGCTGCAGCTGCTGCATCTTGAGCGTGTCGCCCTGTGCGCGCTGGAAGTTGTCGCCGGCGAACTCGGCCTGGATGGAGGGTCAGCATTGCCGGCCGAGGCGAGCGACGACGGCCAGCGAGCACTGCAGCAACTCACGTCCTCTGGCCGCACGCTCGGGTCGGGCGCCTCGCGCATGCTGCGCGTCTTGGGGTCGTAGTAGGCCGAGTCGAGGTCGAGGTTGTAGAGGTACTTTGCGCGGTCCTCGCGGATGCGTAGATTGCGCTGCGTGATGCGCGTGTCGGTGTTGATCTTCTGCCCGGGCATGTTGGCCTTCTCCGTGTACTTGTCCTCGTCGTCGTCGTCCGAGTCGGAGCTGCCGAAGCCGTCCTCGCCGCTGCGCTTCTTCTCCTTCTTGGCCAGCTTCTTGGCCGCGCCCACGTCGCTGCTCGTCTGCTGGTCGAGCGCCTCCTCGCGCAGGCGCCGCCGCTCCGCCTCGACGGCCTCGTACTCGGCGAGCACGCGGCGGTGCTCGGCCGGGTCGTAGCCGGCCCAGCGGTCGCGCTTCGAGTCGTAGTCCTCGGGCCCGCCGCGCGCCACCACCTCGTCGGGCGCAATGTCGCGGCCCGTCCAGCGTGCGCCCTTGCGGCGCGGACGCTCGAGGCAGTCGCGCGTCTTGTGCGACATGGCGCCGCAGTTCTCGCACGCACCCTTGCGGAACTTGGTCGCCGCCTGCACCTTCTGCCCCCGCAGCGCCGCCGAGTCGAGGCCCGGGCGTACCTTGCCGTCGTCGGGCTTCTTCTGGTGCTTCAGGCCTGCACGGCCGGGCGTCTGGTCGAGGTACCATGGCGCCTTGGACCTGCGATGCGGTGCAGCCTCGTCAGAGACAGCAGCGACGGCCGCGAGCATGTGTGCAGCAGGCGGAGCGAGCAGCCCTGCTGTGCCAGTCGTTCGGCGAGCCGACGCTGCAGCCGCCAGAGTGGAGCTCGGGCGCGGGCAGCAGCGATAGCGCCGGCACGCTGGCCGAGCAGCACCACGACGCTCTGCAAGCTCCTGCTGCTCCGCTATGCGCTGCCGGTGCGACTCACATGTACTCGGGAATGTGCGGGTTGATGGCATTGCCGTCGGCGTCGATCTCGGGCGCGGCCGTGCCGGCCTTGCGTGCGGCATCGAGGTCCTTCTGGCGGCGGTACTCCTCGCGCGAGAGCTTGCCGGACATGCTGGGCGTGCGGCGTGGGGTGTGGCGAGCGGGTGCGAGAGACGAGGTGCCGCAGACGGCGGCGGAGCAGATGTGGAGCGAAGCGAAGCAGGAACGGCGCGCGGCTCGGTCGAGGCGCGAGGTGTGCTCAGCGCACAGCGGCGCGGCGCTGCCTGCCTGCTGCGCCTCGACGCATGCGCGCGGCGGCGATGCGGGCGGCTCAGCTTCAGCCGCCGCTCTCTGCTCCACACCACATCCACCCACACCCACCCACACGCCCGCCATGTCCCAGCAGCACCTCGCCTTCGCCGTCGCCCGCTGGCTGCGCGACAGCGGCAAGGATGCCGCCGCCGCCGCCGTCGAGCAGGCCTTCTCCGTGCGCACCGCCGACGCCGCACAGGCGGCCCAGTTCGGCGCCGGCCCGGGCCTGCAGCAGATCTTCGACATCTTCCTCAAGACGCAGAGCAAGATGGGCACCGGCGCCGCAAGCAGCGGCAGCGCCAGTGCCGCACCGGCCGCGGCGCCGGCGCCCGCCGCCGCCGCCGCGCCCTCGTCCGACGACCTGGCCAAGGCCGAGGCGCTCAAGGCCGACGGCAACAAGGCCATGTCCGCCAAGGACTACAGCGCCGCCATCGCCGCCTACTCCAAGGCCATCGAGCTCAACGGCGCCTCGGCCGTCTACTTCTCCAACCGCTCTGCCGCCTATGCGCAGCTCGGCCAGCACGACGCCGCCGTCGCCGACGCGCACGCGGCGCTCGGCGTCGACGCCACCTTCTCTAAGGCCTACTCGCGCCTCGGCCATGCCCTCTTCTCCTCGGGCCGCTTCCAGGAGGCCGCCGACGCCTATGCCAAGGGCCTCGAGCTCGACCCGGCCAGCCCGCTCATGAAGAGCGGCCTCGAGACGGCAAAGAAGCACGCCGCCGACGCCAAGCCGGCGCCGGCGCCTGCGGACGAGGTGCAGAGTGCGCGCGGGGCTCCGGCCCAGGGCGGCGGCATGCCGGATCTGTCGGCGCTGGCAGGCATGATGGGCGGCATGGGCGGTGGCGGCGGCATGCCCGACCTAGCCAGGTGAGCAGATGTGCGGGCGGCGCTTGTCGTCGTCGGACAGCTCATCCCTTCTCTCTCAGCCTCATGAGCAACCCGGCGATCATGCAGGTGAGCTCGCTTCGTTGATGCGCCTCTGCTCGCATTCGCTGACGCGTGTGGCTCGCAGATGGCGCAGAACGTGCGTGCGCCCGCACGAGACGGCTGCACGCAGCACTGATGCTTCTCTTCGCTCTAGATGATGCAAAACGGCGGCCTCGAGCAGCTCATGAAGTAAGTCTGACGCACAGGCTCGTGGAGTCGCGTGCTGACAGCGCTCTGCAGCAACCCGATGCTCCGCAACATGATGGGCGGCGCTGGTGGAGGCGGCATGCCTGGTGAGTCGAGCTGCGACGCCTGGCTGCTCCTGCGCTGACCACCGCTTCTGTCAGACATCAACGCCATGATGCAGGACCCGCAGAGTGCGTCGCCGAGCTCCGAAAGACAGCTAGCTCCGTGCTGACGATGCCCCGCTGCTCCTCTCGCTGCGTCTGCGTCTTGCAGTGCGCGAGTGAGTCTCGCAGCGCCTGGCTTCCGCCGCACACCAGCTGCTTGCTGACGCTTCTTCCTCCAGAATGGCACGGAACATGATGGGCGGCGGCGGTGCAGGAGGCGCGGGTGGAGCAGGTGGCGCAGGCGCTGGACGCGGCAGCGGCAATGGCAGCGGCAGCGGCGGCGGTGGCTCGAGCGGGGCCGACATGTTCTCGTAGGCGCGCACCGAACGTGCCGGCGGCAGCAGCAGCAGCAGCAGCAGCGAAGCGTCGACGGCGAATAGAGCAAGCGAAGATGCACGGCGCCATTCGACTGAGGGACACGATAATGAGATTGTGCAGTTCTAAAGGAGCGGGTGGAGCAGGCGCTGCTTCGGCATGCAGCGTGCAGTTGGAGAGACGGAGCATATGTACAGGCGCACACGGAGCGCGCGCGTCCAAGAGAGAAGATGCGCCGCGAGACGGCGAGGTGAGGCCGAGAGCATGACGAGCGAGCCCGAGCACGTCTCGCAGATGCCGCAGTCTCGCAAGCGAGCAGAGCTTGCTGGTGCTTAGTCCTTCTTCTCCGGCTTGCGCTGCGTGATCGGATGCGTCAGCGAGGAGGCGCCTCAGTGGGCAGCGGCGCTGTCGGCAAGCTCGAGCGATCTGCGACGCCGACTCACGCTGACGAAGAGCATCACTGGGAGCGAGCAGAACGATGAGCAAGGCAGTGCAAGGCAGCAGAGGCGCGAGCGACTCACTGGGCGTGAACAGCTTCTTCTTGCCGCCCTCGACGAGCGCGCGCTGGAGAAGGAGCCGATGTCAGCGCGACTTCCGCTCCGACAGCCTTCGGCGCACGCACCGAGGCGACAACAAGGCTCGCGCCAACGTCGTGCGTGCCCTTCGGCACGAGGCCGATGCGCTCGAGGATCGAGACGGCAGTCTGGGTGGTGAACTGCAGGAGGCCGTGTGAGCGCGCGCAAGCGTGGGTGCGGGCCTGCCCGACGTACCTCGCCGAAGCGCGTCATGCTGTGCGCGGAGCAAAGAAAAGTCAGTCGAGGCGGCCAGGAGCGCACTTGCTCGCCGCTGCTCACCGCCAGCACATGGCGACATCCCAGACGGTCTGGCAGGCGCGCAGGTCACCGGCGAGCGGGTAGTACCATGGGATCTTGTCGCCGACATCTGCCAGGTCCTTGTCCTGCTCGATCTCGAAGCCGACAGTCTCGAGAGCCGTGCGGCAGGCCTTGATGCTGCGCATCTCCGGAATGCCGTCGCCGACCTCGATGCCGTGCGCAATGCGCTTGTGGTCGGCGTTCGAGGGGTCCCAGTCGTCCGTCATGCACCACTCGTACAGGCCGAACTGCGAGCGCACGCTCGTCAGCGCAGCAGCACGGGCCACGACACCCCAGCTGCACTCACGTAGCCGCCGGGCTTGAGCACGCGGAAGATCTCGCCGTAGATGCCCTCCCACGACGGCGCGTGGCACGTGGCCTCGATGGCGTAGACGGCATCGAACGAGCCCTCGCCGAACTGCTCCTTCAGCTTCATGAAGTCGCCCTTGACGACTGCCGGGCGGCGTCAGAGCGCGGGTCGCGCCGGCAGCCACGTGCGAGCCACTCACACGACACCTGGTTCTCGAGGCCCGCCTTGCGCGTGTACTTGTTGGCACGCTCCACCTGGTAGGCGTTGTTGTTGAGGCCGACGATCTCGACGCCGGCGAAGCGCGCAATCTCGCGGGCCGGGCCGCCGACGCCGCAGCCGACGTCGAGCACGCGCATGCCGGGCTTGAGGTGCATGGCAAATGCGAGGTAGTGCTCGTGGCGTGCGATGGCCTGGTAGAAGGCCTCGCCCGGGTAGTAGCGCGCAAAGTGGAAGTTCTGGCCCCAGCCGTACTCGTACAGGTCCGTCGCGCCGTCGTAGTAGCCTGAGGGCGGCGAGGTCAGCGGGACTGTGCCTCGAGCATGCACAGCGCGTGGCAAAGCAGCGCGACGCGACCGCCCACAGCTTGCTGCTCGCACGAGTGCGCGGCGCTGAGGACTGTGCACTGCAGCGTACCGCCAGTGCGGCATCGGCAAAGCGCTTCTTCGCGCCTCCAACACGTCTCAACGCTGACTAGAACGGCGGCGCAGGCCAGTGTGCCCAGCATGCGGAAGAAAGCGCATCGCCGAGGCAGACGGCTAGGCGCAGTCAAGGCGACTACCGCATTCTAGCGCGCAAGCCAGCGAAGTCATCGACGAGCCAGGCAGCAGTGCCTGTGACCATGGAGCAGCTGTATGCGCAGCTGTAGGCGCAGAGCAAAGCGTAGAGCACAGCAGAGCGAAGAGCAGAGCGCTGGCGACCTCTCCGCAGCGTCCGGACAGGTCCAGCAGCGCACTGGCCGGGCCACAGCGCGCATCGGCCGGCCGTGCGCCACTGCTGCCAGCACGCTTGCTCGCTGCGCCGCGCTGCCGAGCCTGCTTGGCCGCTGCCCGGCCACGCCCTCGCCGCCGCTGCCGTGCCGCACCCCCGAGCTGCGCAGCCGCACGCACCGTTGACGACGCTGGTGTACTGGTCGAGGCGGTTGTCCATGTCGGTGCTCGAGTCGTCCTTGGCGTCCTTCTGCCAGAACTTGGTGTAGTTGCTGATGCCCTCGAGGTTGCGCTGGCCGGGCTTGCTGCCGCTCTTGGCGAGCGCGCTGCTGCCGGTGCCGTTGGACGCGGTGGCGGAGGGTGCCATGGTGTATGCGTGTGTGCGGCAAGAGGGGATGGAGGTGGTGGAAGCGCAGCAGGTGCGCCGGGCGGCGGCGGCGCGCGCGAGAAGATCTCGCGGCGCGTCGCCTCGCGCCGCGGTGCGTGCCGTGGAACGTCGTCGGGCGGTGCGGGCAGCTGAGCTGTGTCCGGGCGCGCCCCTGCAGCTGCACCCGCGCGGCGGCGCGCGGCGCAGCGAGGCACAGACGCTGCACCGCACCGCCCGCCGCACCGCGGCAGGCCACCCGCACCCGCTCTCCGCCGGCTGCTTCTCCCGGCTCGGCTCGGCGGCGCCCCTCGCGACCCCTGCCAGCTGCTCGATGGCACAGCGTGCGGCACCTGCCTGCTGCGCCGGCTGCTGCTGCTGCGCCTGCATCTGTGGCCATCGAGGTGCGGCGGCGGGAACGTCTTGTCTGCTCGACGAGACGGCGCGTCAGCTGTTTTGCGCACGACGCGGCAGCGGAGGATCTGCGAGAGCCGCGCCCAAACTTGCGAGCTCGGCGCCTCCGCGGGTCCGAGGTGCAGCTCGGCGGCGTGCGGCGTGCGGCGTGCAGGAGAGGCGCAGCACGGCAGCCAGCGGCAGAGCGCAGCACGAGCACCGCCGCCGCCGCCGCCGAGGAGCGGAGACAGCGACGCACGGGTCCAGCAGCAGCGCGCAGGGTGCGGCAAGCACTGCCGCCGGACCGGTCTCTCTCAGCCAGCACGGAACGCGCAGCAGAGCCCAGAGCATCAAGGTGCTCGCACTCGTCAGACTGAGATGTGAGGATCAGACGCAGAAGCACGCTGTGAGCGCCGAGTCTTTGCTTGGCCAGGCGCAGGCAGCAAGCAGCCGTGCAGGATCTCGCCGGCGCTCGGAGGCGTCGAGCGTCGTGCGCGACAGCGGCATCCGGCAAGCAGCTGCTTCACCTCGCACGACATCGCACCTCGCCGAAGAGCCTCTCGTCCACTGTGCCACACGCCTCAGAGCTCAGACGCAGCCTGCAGTGGACGTCGCCGTCGCCTGCGCTGCTCGAGAGCTTCATGACCGCAGCGCCGGCGTGCTGTGCGGGGCGAGCAGCGCCTGGCGCTTTCAGCTGCAGCGGCGCAAGCAACACGCTGACGCGCCGCGGCGTGGCGGCGACATTCGATTTCACACCTGCGCCTCCTGCTGCTGCCGCTGGGGCGCCCTCTTGCTCGCGCGTCGCTCAACGGCGGACACGACGCTGTCGATGCCGGACTGGAGCAGCGGCAGCGGCCGCCGCCGTAGCGAGAGCCTCTGTGTGCTGCTGCTGCGGCTAGGTGTGTCTGCTGCGTGAAGATGCAGCGCATGCGTGACGGCGGCGGAGAGAGGCAGCGTCAAGGGGCAGCCGCCGCCGCCGCCGCGGGTGGCGTGCGGAGCGGGCGCTGGGAGCGGAGCGGCAGCGGCGGCACGGCCGGCGCGCCGAGCTGCAGCGCAGCCCCTTGGCGTGCGTCCGGGCCTGCGACGGCGCAGGGCTTCCTTCCCAACCTCTCGCTCCTCTCTCCTGCCAGCACCCTCGCTCGCCACTGCTGCCACTGCCACGCGCGCTACACGTGTGCGCCAGCACTGCGCTGCGAGCTCCGGCGCTGCACGCTCTCCTCGATCGGCGCCGCACCGCCAGCAGCGCGCCGCACGTGCCCCACAGCAGCCTGCCTAGACGGCAGCACTCGCCCGGCGCCCAGCCGCAGTGGCCGCCATGTTCGTCGCCTCCAGCCTGTACAACTACGGTGCGCCGCCTGCACGCTCGTGTGCGCAGCATCTCGCCGCTGACACGCCGCTCCTGCAGCCACGGGCGCGCCCAGCACCTCGGCCACGCCCGATGCCACGCCGGCCAACACGCGCGTCAAGCGCCGGCCGCTCAAGCAGGGCCCGCGCAGCGACCCCACGGCGCCGCCGCGCTCGCCGCCGCCGGCCTACGCCTCCGTCGCTGCGGCACCCGGCGACGCTGCGCCCGTGCCGCCCGGCGCCTGGACGCCCGCCGAGCTGGCCAAGGTGCAGATCGTCGACGCCATCGTGCAGGAGGAGGACCTGTACAAGGTGCTGGGCGTGTCGCGCAAGGCAAAGGCAGACGAGATCCGGCGCGGCTTCCTGGCGCGCAGTCGTGTGTGTCATCCCGAGTGAGTGCGCTGCGTGGTCCGCAGGCATGCCGAGGCGTGTGCTGTGCAGAGGACGAACAGGCATGCGCATCTCGGAAGCACACGCAGGGCAGACAGCCAGGCCAGCAGCCTCTGCTGCACTCAGACTGTCATACTGGCGCTGTGCTGCTGGGCCTCTCTCTTTCCAGTCGTGCGAAAGCGCACTGCCTCGAGAGCTGCTGCACGCTCTGGACGCCTGCACACGTCGCTGACGCTGCACGCGGCACAGCAAGTTTCCGTCGTATCCGGCGTGCATTCCCGCCTTTCAGCGCGTCTCGCTGGCGTACCAGACGCTCTCTTCGCCCTCGTCGCGACGCATGTACGACGTCTCGGGTCGCGCCGACTTTGCACAGGCCATGGGCAGCGGCGGCATGGGCGACGCCATGGCGGGCGGCGACGAGACGCTGAACGGCGTGCTGTACAGCGTCTTCTGCGAGTTTCTCGACGGTGAGTGAGGCGCAAGGGCGCAAGCTCCGAACGCAGAGTCGGCCTCCTGTCGCTGACGTGCTGGCCCTCGCCAGGCGACTTTGAGATGATCCGCGTGCTCGTCAGTGCGTATCCGCGTTGAGCACTCTCCTGCGGCGTACACAGCTGACGGGCCCCTGCTAGACGCGATGAACGAGGGCAACCCAGGCCTGAACTTGGGCGAAGAGGCAGTCGACTCGATCGAGGGAGCGTTCAAGCGCCTGCGCCACATGATGCTCGGTGCGTCGCGATGCTTCGCCGCGTGCTTCCGCCGCTGACACGCCTCTCGCAGCGGGCAAGAAGTACCTCTCCATCATCCGCTTCGAGCTCATCCGGCTGTACGAGATCCAGCACTCGCTGCGCCAGCTCTCGTACTTTGACGTCTTTGGGCGCCTGCGCCTCACGCTGCAGCTCGCGCGCGTGACGCTGTCAATACCCATGGCCATCGACTCGGCGATGAAGGCGCCAGACGAGTCGACAGGCACGGCCGACGCGGCAGCAGCAGCGAGCAGCGTGCCACTGCCGCAGAGCGAGAGCGAGGCCAGCAGCGGCAGTGACGCCGACGAGCACGCCGAGGCCGCGCACAGCAGCGACTTTGGCGTCGCGCCCGAGGAGACCGAGGACTCGGACGAGGACGGCGGCGCCGGGCGCAGTGCTGCAGCTCGGCGTGCAGCACAGCGAGAGCGCAGGCGCATCAAGCGGCGCGAGCGGCGGCGAGCTGCACGAGTCGAAGGCCCCGACGGCGGCGTCGCCGACGACACGCAGGCACAGCTGCAGAAGCGAGGCCTGCTCGGCCCCACGGCCTCACGGCTGCTCGGCGGTGTGGTGCAGGCGCTCGAGCTCACCGAGCGCTGGGTGCCTGGGCAGCGGCGCGACAGCGACTAGCTCGTCGCTCTGCTCTTCACCTCGCCCGTCGCCTCGCTCGCTCGCCCTCCATCCTCACGACTCTCACGTATTTCACGCTCACTAACGGCTCGCAATACCACCGCTTCCTGCTCGCTCTCTCAGTCACACACGCGCACGCGCTCTCTTTCTTTCTTCTCTTGGACGGGATCTGTATTCCGCGTAGCGTGATGGGGTATGATGATGAGGAGAGTGGCGCAGCCTTGGGCTTGAGGGCGTGACGCCGATGAAGCCGCAGCCTCAGTCACGGGACAGCGAGGTCTGGCCGTCTTGACGGTCGCGAAAAGCGACGGGATGGTGCTGGCCGGGCGTGAGCGGCGCGATTAAGAAGGCTGAGAGGTGGTGAACTCACTTGGCGAAGGAGAGGATGGCAAAGTGGAAGAAGGAGAGGAAGATTCCGTTGGGCGGAGGAGGGAGAGGGATCAAGAAGATGGAGAGGAGCGGTGCGGCGCCGGGCGAAGGAGAGGGTGGAGGAGTGGAAACAGGCAGGGAGGTGCCGGCATGTTGCTCGGCAGCGGAGCCGCTGCTGTAGAGGACACGTCAGCGTTTGCAGCGCTGCGCTGATGACCGTGAGGCGTGCGGCCAGACGGCAGAGGCAGCACGGGCGCGGCAGGCAGAAGTGGTGATGCGCCGCGCGGCGAGCGGTGAGCAAGAGCAAGAAGGGGCTCGGAGGGGTCTGCGCGCGCGCGGCGGCGGCGGCCGCGCGTCGGGGGACGCGCCCAATCGCGAACCTCAATCGGGCATCGCGTCGAGCTTGATCAGGCGTGGGCGGGCAACCTCTGGCGCGCGCGCGCTCTTGCTCTCGCTCACCGCTCGCGCGGCGCAACACCACCTCTGCCTGGCAAGCCAGAGAGAGCGCGTGATGGCGCGACCGCAGCGCCGGACGAGGGAGCAAGACGGAACAGCGAAGCTGAGCAGTGGCGCTTGAGTCTTAGTGCGTGCCGGCACGCGTTCAAGGCGCTCGACTCGGACGCTGACTCTCAGACTGCGCCCGAGCGCGCGCGGAAGCAGCACGAGCTGCTTCTGCTTCTGCTCCGCGCCATGTCGCCTGCTTCAGATTGCGTTCTCACGTCAACTCGCCCGATTGGGCTTCTCCGCCTCCTGCATCTGGGGCTGCCGCTCCGGGCTGCCGCTACTGTAGACTCCGACGCCGTTGGTCTACCGGCGCGGGCAAAGAGCAAGCCGCATGCTGCACTCGAGTCGAGTGCTGCGCTCTGCATGAGCATGCCGCATGGTGTGGCAACGCACCCTCCGCCCGCATAGGCATGCGAGAGTCAGTCTAGTCGGCTCGCCTCGAGCCTGATCAGGCGCCTCATACACCGCCTTCGCGCGCCGCTTCGCTATCTAAATTGAGCGTGCCCGGCGACGCATGCCAGCAGCCGCCGCTCAGCAGCTCCAGCGCTCAGGATCTGGGCAGTTCCGTCTTGCTCCCTCATCAGCACCGCCCGCGGCTGTCCGTCATGCGGGAGAGGCGAGCTGAGCTGGCCGTCCGCCGTGGCCTTCCGCGCCGCGGCCGTCCGCAGGGCAGCCAGCACAAGGCGGCAGCCGCGCCGCCACTTCCCTCCTTCCCTCCTTCCCTCCCCCATCTCCCACTCTTCTCTTCCTCTCTCTCCTCTCTCCGGCCGGAAACACACCCACACACACACACACCACACACACACACACGCACACACGCACACACACGCTCTCTTCCCAGACTCCAGCCCACGCCGCCATGCCCCGCGCTGCTGCTCCCAACACCCACGGCGCCGAACGCCGCGCTGCTCCCTACGTGCGCCGCCCGGCGCAGCCATTCTTCTTTGCGATGCCGAGAGCCCACATTGCCGGCAACAACATCCATCATCAAGCGTGAGTAAGAGCTGGAGCGGCAGCTTGGCCTGATGCTGACACCTCTCACAGCGCGGCTGCAGCGCAGCCTGAGGGCGGCCACATGCTGGCAGACGTCGGCATTGCGCTGCAGAAACTCAGGACGGGAGCTGCGGCTCAGGATGCGGTCATTGGCGCGTACGGCAACGCCGTGGACAAGGAGGGCCACGAGCGGCTGGCGCGCATGGTCAACGCCGTCGTGGTGAGCCACGAGCAGATGGTGCACGAGACGCTCGCCCAGAAGCGCACCATCGAGAACCTCGAGACGAGCCTCGCCAGCGCTCGCCGCAAGATTACGCGCATGGAGAAGCGCGAGGAGAAGCGCCTGGAGGAGCTCGAGGAGGAGGAGCCCGAGGAGGAGCAGGCGCCTGCCGCCGCGGCGCCTGCGCGCGCATCGTGGCGCAACATCCTCTGGTAGAGTCCTCCCGAACGTCCCACGTCTTCTCGCCATCCTTCCCTCGCCCACGCCCACGCCCACGCCCACGCACGCCATCCGACGCCAGCTCACGCTATAAGTAGCGGCGATCCACATTCTTTGCCTAGCCACTTACACATCTTCCTTCAAGCTCGACGGCCACGCCCACGTCCCGCCCCATAGCCGCGCTACTCAACTATCTCTGTATCCGTGCACAGCACTCAATGAACTCATACATTAGCGGCAACTCACGCCTTGCCGAGCGTCAGCAGCACGTCGTCGTTGAAGCCGCCCTTGCTCTTCGGCGCAAGGAAGGCGTCGTTGGGCCCGGGCGCTGCCGCCGCCGTGGCGCGGTTCGGCAGCGCACCGAGGCGCGGCGCCTTCTCGCGGCGCGCACGCACGCCCGCACGCAGCTTCTCGAGCGCCGCTTCTGTCGTGGCCCAGTTGATGCAGGCGTCCGTCACCGACTGGCCGTACGTGAGCGTCGATGGGCCGCTGTCGGGGATGGCTTGCTTGCCTGCGAAGGGAGAGAGAGGATGTCGATGAGCTGTGCGTGCGCAGCGCAGCGCGTCGCGACGTCGAACTCACCCTCGACCAGGTTGCTCTCGATCATGGCGCCCACGATGGCCCAGCTCGCCTCGGTGCCGTCGCTCAGCTGCGCCTGCAGCGAGTCGACGACCTTCATCTGGTTCTCGTGCTTCTTCAGGCTGTTGCCGTGGCTGCAGTCGACCATGATGCGCTCGGGCAGCTTGGCGGCGCGCAGCGCAGCCGTCGTGCTGGCGACGTGCTCGGGCGAGTAGTTCGGGCCCGAGTTGGCGCCGCGAAGGATGACGTGGCAGGCGTCGTTGCCCTGGGCGAAGCAGCGTCAGCACGAGAGCGAAAGGCTTAGTCGAGCTCTGCAGGTCGTACGCGAGAAGAGCTGCGAGAGCACGGCGTAGCGGCAGGAGCGAGCTCGCTGCTGATGATGCCCTCGCACGAGCGGCACTAGAGGAAGAGCTCGTCCTGCTGGCGACGCTCTGCTGCTCGCATACGTATTGCCTCGCACTTGCGGCTCCGTCTGCGCACTCGGCGCTGCAGCTTCGCGTGCCTCTTCGCTGCTGCAGCTCTGCCTCTCCTCGGAGCTGCTGCAGCTCTGACAGTGAATCTGCTTCTGCGTCTCTGCCCGTCTTCTGTCCTGCTGCCACCCTGCCGACGTCCTCGCTGATGCGTCCCCGCCTGTCTTCCTTCCTGCTTCAGCTCGTCGTTGCCCTCGCTGCTGCAGCTCTGCCTGTGTCTTCGCTGCTGCACCTCGATCCGCCAGCTCGTGACTGCACCTCTGCCAGTGCCCTCACTGCTGCAGCTCTATCTGTGTCCTCGCCGCTGCACCTCTGCCCGACAGCTCGCTGCTGCACCTCTGCCCGACAGCTCGCTGCTGCCGCTCTGCCCTCGCTGCTGCAGCTCTGCCCTCGCTGCTGCAGCTCCAGCATACAATCTCGCACATCGAAATCGCCGCCGCGCGACGCACTCACCTCGGTCTCGACGATGGCGCTGAGGCCCTGCTTCGTGACGGAGAGGAAGCAATGCGGGCTGGAGCTGCTCTTGATGGCGTCGACGGCGACGCTGATGGAGCCGTCGGTGCCGTTCTTGAAGCCGATGGGCATGCTCAGGCCGCTGGCCAGCTCGCGGTGCACCTGGCTCTCCGTCGTGCGCGCGCCGATGGCGCCCCAGGCGATGAGGTCGGCCGTGTACTGCGGGCTGATGGTGTCGAGGAACTCGGTGCCGGCGGGCAGGCCCATGTTGGCGAGCTCGAGCAGCAGGCCGCGCGCGAGGCGCAGGCCCTTGTTGATGGCGAAGCTGCCGTCGAGGTTAGGGTCGTTGATGAGGCCCTTCCAGCCGACGGTGGTGCGCGGCTTCTCGAAGTAGACGCGCATGATGATGAGCAGGTCGGCGCTGGCGCGGTCGGCGTAGGCACGCAGCAGGCGCGCATACTCGAGGCCGGCGCGCACGTCGTGCACGCTGCACGGCCCGACGATGACGAGCAGCCGGTCGTCGGTGCCGTGCACGATGGCGTCGGCGGCGGTGCGCGCCAGCACGACGGTCTGCGCGGCGCCGAGCGTGAGCGGGTACTCCTCGACGAGCAGCTGCGGCGGCAGCAGCGGCTTGATGCGCCGGATGCGCCGGTCGTCGAGCTCGGAGAGGGCGTCGCGCAGGGCGACGTGGGCGTGCGGCGAGGACGTCATGGCGGGGTGGTGGTGGGTGCGAGGCAGGATGCGGGGTCGCCGGCGAGCTGAGAAGAAGCGCTTTGCCGGCGCAAATGCACCTGCACGTGCAGCCCGGCCCGAATGCCGTGCCGCCGCGCGTGGGAGCGCGCTCTCCACGCCAGCCAAGCACACCATCTCGCATCCGCATTGCCGCGGCCACTTCCTCTTTCTCGACGACGACGCCCGCACGGCCGCGGCTACCGATGCGCACGCAGACACGAGCCTGAGCGCTGCCGGTCCGTCGCTCCGCTCCACCACCACCTCCTCCACCGCATCCTTATTCGCTGCAGCATGGACGCGCTCGTCGCCCGCTTCCCGGCCGCGACGCCGTGGCACGCGCTGCTCGGCGGCCTCATGCTGGCGTCGGCCGTGCACGCCTGTGCCCTGCAGCTCGGCTCGCCGCTCGGCATCAGCGGCTTCCTGCACAGTGCCGTCGCCCAGCTGGCGCGTCGTGGAAGATCCTCGCCTCTGTCACAGCAGCAGCCGGCCGACGCCGCCGCGGCATCGCTCAGCGAGCGCACCGCACGCCAGACGGCCAGCCTCTTCACCGCCGGCATTCTCACTGGCGGCGCAGTGCTCGGTGTCGTGCAGCGCCCGCTGCAGGCTGCGCTGGGCGTGCCGCTGCTGGACGCTGCACCCGCTGCGCCTGCGAGCGTCGCACTGCTGGCGCTGCAGGGGGCCCTCATCGGTCTCGGCACTCGTGTGAGTAGTCGTACGTGGCGGCGATGGCGAGGAACCCTGGCGAGGAAGGACTGAGAAGCCGCAGGCTAGCGAGATGCGATGGAGCATGATGTACTGAAGCACGACGAGGCGTGTCGTGAGCCAGCATGCGTGGCAAGCAGCGCAAGCAGCGCTGGCATCGCTGCAGCTCCACCAGCCTCGCTCGTTGGGCAAACGCAGGGACAGCAGCGCGGTGCGAGGCCAGAGCGAGCTCAGAACATCGTCCGAGGCGCTAGTAGGCCCGGATGATCGCTCGGCGAAGGAGCTGCGCCTTGCAGGCTCAGCGCGAACAGCTACAGCGCAGGACGAGACACTGACACGCGGGCTGCACAGCTCGGCAACGGCTGCACCTCGGGCCACTTCCTCTCCGGCCTCTCGCGTCTGAGCGTTCGCAGTCTGGCCGCCACTGCCACCTTCTTCGGCGTGGCCGTCGCGACTCATCTGCACCTGCACGGCAGCGCTGCAGCGCCTGCAGCAGCCGTGCTGAAGCATCTGTCGACTCGTGCGCCGCGTCCCGAACTCTGGGCCGTGCTGCTGCTGCAGGCGCCGGCAGTGGTCTACTGGCTCATCGTTCCACGCATGCTCGCAGTGAGTGCCGATGCGGCGGCGCCTGGCCTGCTTGTCTGCTTGTCGTGCTACTGACTTCGCCCCTCTCGACGACTTCAGGCGGCTGAGAGCGCTGCTGCATCTCGCCAGACGCGCACAGCCGATGAGCGTGCACAGCGCCACTCGCACGCCGCTCGCATCTCGGCGTTCACCATCGGCCTGCACTTTGCCTTTGGCCTCGGCTTGACCGGCATGCTGGTGCGTCATCTTGCCGACGTCACACTGCCAGCTGTGCTCACACGTGCTCTCTAGCGGCCATCCAAGGTGCTCGGCTTCCTCTCGCTCTCGCCTCAAGCCTTCTCGCAGGGCACGTGGGATCCCTCGCTGGCCTTCGTGGCGCTCGGCGGCATCCTGCCCGCGTCGTTCGGCTTCTTCACACAGGTGGCGCCGCGCATGAAGCACTCGCAGCCCAGCATCCACCTCGCCGTGCCAAAGTGGCGCATTCCGACGCGCACCGATGTGATGAACGTGCGTCTGATCGGAGGCGCGACGCTGTTCGGCCTCGGATGGGGAGCTACGGTGCGTCTCACGTGCCTCAATGAGCTCGCATCTGACGCTGACACCTCTCGCTGCAGGGTCTGGTGCGTCGCAGCGTCCTGCACCCTCGCAGCTCAGCCGCTGACCCTTTCTCGCCAGTGCCCGGGACCCGTGCTCGTCACCACCTCTGCTGCCGTCGTGCCTGCCCTTCTCGGCGGCGCCCACACTCAGCTGCGCAGTCTCGCCGTCTTCCTCGCGGCTCTCATCGCCGGCGGCCAGCTCGGCGCTCTTATTTAACTCGGCGCTATTGCCGCACACCTGCTGCGCTACGCCGCACACACACGCTGCTATCGCACGACGTAATATTAGGGTGTATCTCGAGAACCAGGTCAGATCTTCGCCAGCTGCCGGGCGTCGGCTGCAGCGGCGCCGTAGCCACGCTCCTCGCCCTGCGGCTCGGCCTCGTAGGCAGCCCAGGGCCGCACAGGCTGAGCAGCGCGCGACGGCTGCAGCGAGGCCTTGAAGGCGACAGGGTCCTCGATGAGCGTGACGCCAGCCGTTGCGTCAGCCGGCACCACGTCGCCCTCTTCTTCCTGCAGCGGGTGCTTCGCAGCGAGCTCGTCGATGGCCGTGAGCAGCTGCTGCGTCGTCTCGGGCGACGTCTCGAGACGAGTGAGTGCCGCTCGCGTGGCCTCCTTGACCGTCTCGACGCTCGGCTGCTGCGCCTGCAGCGCCGCGTACTCCTCGTCGGAGGTCGGCACGTTGAGCTTTGCGCTGGCGGCGCGCAGCTCCTCGGCGGCAGCGCGGCTGAAGCGCACCGGCTTGACCTTGCTGCGCATGTGCACGGTGAGCTTGGCCCGCGTGCTGCTGGACTGGTGGATGTGCTCGTTGAACATCGCCACGACGTCCTTGCGCTCGAGCTGCCGCAGTGCCGCGACGTCGACGTCGCGCTGCAGGAAGTCGTAGTAGCCGCTGTGGATGTGGAACCAGAAGCGGCTCGACTCCTCGTACAGATTCTTGGGCACCTCGAGCTTCTTGTGCGCCAGACTGTCGCGCTGCGCCGCAAACTCGGCGTCCGTCATGCCCTCGAGCTGCGCCTTGAACGTGTCGAGGAAGGCATCGATGCGCGACTCGACGTATGCGGCGTCGCGCTCGGACTGCACGAGGATGCGGAAGCCCATCGAGCCGATGCTCTTGCGCACGCTGCTGAAGACGAGGTAGCCCAGCTGCTCCTTGGTGCGCAGCTGGTCGAAGCACGGCTCCTGCGCAATCTGCGCCAGCAGCGCCAGCGTGGCGCGCTGCCGGATGTCGGAGGGGTCGCCGACCTGGCAGTAGTACTCGATGCTCGAGTTGACGTTGTCGGCATTCGACACGTCGATCTGCCACGCATGGCTCGAGCCGCGCGGCAGCACGAGCGAGCGGTGCGAGAGCAGCTCGGCCGGCGACAGCGGCGCGTGTCGCAGCGTGCTCTCGGCCAGCTCGGCGAGCTCGACGGCCTGCGCCGGCTGCAGGTTGCCGTGCACGAGCATCTCGACGTGCAGGCGGCCGAGCAGGTCGGGCAGGAAGCGCTGCACGTCCTCGGCCGTGAGGGCATCGAGCTCGCGCAGCTTCTCCTCGGCCGTCCACATGCGCTCGACGAGCAGGTACGTGGCGTAGTAGTTGGCGTGCTGGTACGGCGCCTCGAGGCGGAAGTTCTCGTAGCCGCGGCGCACCTGGTCCTTGATGAGGCCGAAGCGCTGCGCGTTCACCTTGAACGCCGCCAGCTCCTCGAGGATGTAGCGGCAGAGCACGGCCAGCTTGTCGTTGTAGCCGTCGACGGAGAGGCCGATGCCGTCGGCCTGCGACTCGATGTTGTAGCCAAGGCCCGCAAGCTCGGCGTCGTACGAGTACTCGGTCAGCGCGTCCTTGACGAGCTCGACGATGAGGCGCGACTTGACGGCATTGCTCGGCGTCGCATCGAGCAGCGGACTGCGCAGCAGCATAAAGACGTTGGCCTTGGGCATGAAGAACTGGTCGTCGCGCTTGTGCCAGAGCCGGCCGCGCGGCGTGCTGCGCAGCAGGACAGGCCGCTTCGTCGCACGGTAGCCGTCGGCCGCAAAGCGGTCCGCATCGGGCACGGCAAAGTCGCTGGGAATGAACGAGTTCGGCGCCGGCAGCGCGAGGTCTTCTTGGCCGGCAGCCGGCTGGCTGGCGGACAAAAGGCGGCTCGGCAGCGGCGAGAGGGCGTACTCGGTGCCGTACCACCGCTCGCGAGCGTCCCACTCCTTGGTGCCGTTGGGCAGCGTCTGCGCAGCGATGGCGATGCGGCAGTTCTCGGGCCGCAGGCACGCAGCCGTCTCGCGGATGAGCTCGACGTTGAAGTCGCGCGTCAGGTATGGGCCGGACAGCACCCACTCGCGCGGGAACGGCAGCTGCATCTGCGACGAGAGGGCCGAGGCGTACGACGACGGCGGCGCCTTCTCCTTGAAGCGGAACGCCAGCTCGCACAGCTGCTGCACCTCGCGGAACGCCCACTCGGGAAAGTCCGACGCACGCAGCAGGTCGATGTAGCGGAAGATGCTCGCCACGACGTCCTGGTAGTTGGCCAGGCCGTCCTGCGTCAGGTCGATGCTGATCTTGAAGAACTCGAAGCCGTCGGCGCCGTTGGTGGCGCCGGCGCTGAGGTGGTTCGCCCAGCCGCGCGCCTTGAGGTGCGAGAGCACCGAGCCGGCACCCTCGTGCCCGATGAAGTGCGAGAGGAACTGGCCGGGCTTCGAGCGGAAGTGCGGGCTCTGGTCGGGAATCGGGAACGTCACGTCGAGCAGGCGGATGTCCTTGACGCTGCGGAAGAAGACCTGCGTCTGCAGCTGCTCGGCGCCGAGCGGCGACGAGGGAAACGAGGGCGCCGGGATGCCCTTGTTGCGCACGCCCGAGAACTTGTCGACAACCAGGTCCGTCAGCTCGTCGAGCGACTCTGCAGGACGAAGCGTGAGCACGAGCGTGTGCTGCAGCAGTGCGTGGCAACACTGGACTCACCGCGGCCGAGCACCACGAGCTTCATCGTGTTGGCGCTGTAGTAGCGGTCGTGGAACTTGAGCAGCTCGTCGCGCACATCGAGGCCCTTGCTCTTCGGCTCCTCCCACAGCGTCTGCAGGTTGCCCGTGCCAAAGTGCGAGTACGGGTGGTCCGGGCGGCTGAGGCTCTTCTCGAGCTGGAAGGCGCGCCAGGCGTCGCTCTGCAGGTTCTTCTTGTGCTCCGAGTCGACGGCGCGGATCTCGCGCTCCGTGCAGCCGGCGTCGAAGAGCGGCGTCTGGAAGAACTGCGAGAAGCGGTCGAGGGCGCCCGTGAGGTGCGCGTGCCCGACGTCGAAGAAGTAGTTGGTGTTCTCCATGCCCGTGTACGCATTCGAGCTGCCCGAGTGGTTGCTCAGGAACTCGCTGTACTCGTTCTCCCGCGGGTACTTCTGCGTGCCCATGAAGAGCAGGTGCTCGCAGAAGTGCGCCAGGCCCTGCAGCTCGAGCGGGTCGCTCAGGTGGCCGACGCGCACATCGAGCGCTGCGCTCGCCTTGTCCGTCGCGGCGTCGTGCACGAGCAGCGCCTCGAGGCCGTTGGCGAGCCGCACGAGGCGGTAGGCACGGTCATCCTGCCCCGAGCGCTCGAGCGGCTGCGTGAAGACGGCGTACGCCGGTCGGTCGGCGGCACCTTCGCGCATCTCAAAGCCGGGCGGCAGCGGGTGCAGCGCAGAAGTGGGGGTGCTCGAGAATGCAGAGGCACCGAGCAGCTCGTGGGCGCTGCTGGACGACGCTGCCTCGCGAGAGGTGGCCTCGGAGGCGAGGCCGCGAGAAGAGCCGGCGCCCGATGGCAGCGAGGCGTCACGCATGCTGCAGCGGGAGTCAGCAGGGGAAGCGCGACACGTGGCGGAGCGGCGTGCACCTGGCGAAGAGCAGTATCGCAGTGGCAATGCGGGCTACAAGAGCAGCCGCACTGGCGTGCATGCCCGGCCCCTAGACGATCATCAGCACAAGATGCCTGGCGCAAGAGATGCCGAGGCGGCAGCACCTTGCGACAGGAGACCAGGTGCTGTGCGGGTCGCCTTGCCAGCGAAAGCATTGGCACGCTGTCTGGCACACGCATCGCAGCTAGCGCAATGACTACCTTCGATGCTCTCGCCACGGACCCCTCCTACAGAAGCAGGCGAGCCGGCATCCAGCGCCAGCTTCACGTCGCCACTCGCCGCACACACGCACACCAGGCCGTGCGACTCACCTCGGACTAGCGACGCGCGGCTTCACCGCAGCGGCAGCACTGCGACTCGACACTGCGCGATGGGCAAGTGCAGCGGCAGAAGCGGCTGATGGCGCAGCAGCAGCGGCGGCGAGAGCGGGACGCAGGGCGGCGGCGGCAGCGCGGGCACGCGGCAGACTCGGACTGGCACGCAGGAGCGGGCGCAGGAGCAGCTGCGAGGGGCGCATGGGGCGGTGCGTGCGCGACCGGAGAGGCAGGTGGCGGGTAGCAGAGCGGGGCAGAGGGGAGGATGCGGTGTGGTGGGCGAGAAGAAGGGGGCATGCGCAGGGCACCACGCCAAGCGAGCCGGACCCGGTCACCGTCACGCGCGCCGGGCTGCGTCAGCGCTCCCACGCCCTCGGACAAGGCGGAGAGCGTGGGAACGCTGGACCCCCGGCCCCGCCGAGCGGCGCGCCGCGCGCGGTCCGTGCGTCGACGGCAGCAACATCCCGCCTTCTTCTCGCGCCGTCCATCCACTCCTTCTTCCCGGCCATCATCTCCTCTCCTCCTTGCCCAGCATGAGTGCCGCTCCTCTCACGCCACAGCACGTCTTTGCGCCCAACCCCAGCACCACGCGCGCGACGGCCACGCCTCTCTCCTCGCACGGCACGCGTCTCGTCTACACGAGCGGCCGCAGCGTCGTGCTGCGCGACCTCGCCTCGCCGACCGCCACGCTGCTCTACGCACAGCATGCGCACGCCGTCAGCGTGGCGCGCATCTCGCCCAGCGGCTACTACTGCGCCAGCGGCGACGTGGCGGGCAACGTGCGCGTGTGGGACCTCGCGGGCGGCGACATGGTGCTGAAGCTCGAGAAGAAGGCGCCGGGCCCCGTGCGCGACATTGCCTGGGACGCAGAGAGCAAGCGCATCGCGGCCGTCGGCGACGGCAAGGAGAGGTGAGTGCGCCAGTGAGCTGCAGCGATGCAGCCGCCAGCCATGCATGGCCGCCGCACTGGCCTGCCGCAGGGCGTACACTGACGCGGCTGCCAAAGCTTCGGCACCTTCTTCCTCGCCGACTCGGGCTCCTCGTGCGGCGAAGTCACGGGCCACTCCAAGGTGCTCAATGCCGTCGCCATCAAGCCGCAGCGTCCCTTCAAGGCCGTCACGGCCGGCGACGATTGCTCGGTCGTCTTCTACAACGGCGTGCCATTCAAGGTGAGCTCCTTCTGCGGTCACCCTGCCTCCCCGCACTGTGACTGACGCAGGACTTCTGACAGTATGGCGCTTCCACGTCGGCACACACGCGCTTCATCCAAACGCTCGCATATGCGCCCAGCGGCGCTCTCTTTGCATCCGGCGGCTCAGACGGCAAGATCCAGCTGTACGACGGCACGACTGGCGCACTGACTACGACGCTGCAAGACGGCGCTGCGGGCCAAGCACACGCCGGCACCGTTTTTGCCGTGTCCTTCTCGTCGGACAGCTCTCTGCTACTTTCCGCCGGCGCAGACGCCGCACTGCGGCTGTGGGATGTGGGCTCGCAGCAGGTCAAGCAGACGTTCGACCTCAAGAACAAGAGCGGAGGAGGCGCAAACGACCAGCTCGTCGGCGCTTGCTTCGTCGGCACTGACCGCGTTGTGGCGCTAGCACTCAGTGGCGCTCTGCACGTGCTTGACATTGCCGGAGGCGGCGCCACGGTGCTGCATGGGCCCACCAAGGCAGTGGGGCCCAGTGCACTGGCGCTCGTTGATGGCGCCTTCCTGCTTGGTCAGTTGCGCTGAGACCGTGCTGTGCTGTGCGGCTCCGTGCTGACTTGCCACGCAGGCTCTTACGACGGCAAGGTGCTCACCACGAGCCTAGACGGTGCCTGCAAGCTCGTGCAGGATGCGGGCGCCGCCATCACGGGCATGGCGCAGGCGAGCCGCAGCAGTGCATGGGTCATCGGCATGGACGACTCGGTGCGGCGCTTCGTCTCGGGTGCTTTCGAGTGAGTGCAGCAGTGACGCTGCTGCTCTGCGCTTGCACCGCTGAGGCACACGCTCTTCAGCTCCACGTCCGTGTCCACGTCTGGCCAAGCGCGCTCCGTCGCTGGCTCCGACAGCGTCGCGCTCGTTGCCACCTCGCAGGGGCTCGATGTGATCCACGGCTCCTCCAAGACGTCGCATGCGCTCAGCATCGACGCCACAGCCGTCGCCCTCTCTCCCGACGGCGTCACGGCGGCCGTGGGCGCCGAGAATGGCAAGGTGCTGCTGGGCTCCATCAGCGGCGGCAAGTGGACGCCAAGCACGACGTTTGAGAATGGCCGGCGTGCAGTCAGTGCACTGGCCTTCTCGCCCGACGGCGCGCTGCTGGCGGCGGGAGAGACGGGCGGACGCATCATGGTGTACGACGTCAAGGCCGGCAACCTGAAGCTGAACCAGTGGTGAGCAGACACGCCTCTGTCCTCGGTGCCATCCCTCTGACTACACTGCCGGCGGCGCCAGGGTCAACCACACGGGCCGCATCAACGCGCTCGCCTTCTCGCCGGACGGCCAGCGTGCCGTGAGCGCAGCAGGCGACACGAACGTGTACGTCTGGAGCGTGGCGAAGCCCATGAAGCACGTGGCCATTCGCAATGCGCATGCCGGCGGAGCCACGGGCGCCCTCTGGCTCGACGGCGCCGCCATCGCGACGGCGGGCGCCGATGCGGCACTCAAGACGTTCGAGGTGCCGGCACTGCCATGAGGCAAGTGACGGGTGAAATTGCAGCCATCTTTAAAGCCCGAAGCGCGAGAGCTGGCCCTTGGCCGACGTCTTGAATGCAAGCTGCTTGGTGCTGCGACGGATGGGGCGCGGACGAGGTCAGCAGAGGGAAAGCACGCCACACGCTCGTGCTGTGCGCGTTTTGCAGCACTCACTCGGCCAGCCACTTCGAGGCGCCCTTCTCCAGCGAGCCGAGCGACTCCTCCAGACTCGTCATGTACTCTCCGCGCTCCTTTGCCGCCGCCAGGTTCGCCTGCGCCTGGCCCTTTGCCTCGCCCGTCTGGCGCGCCACTCTTGCGCTCTCGGCCTCGCGCAGCGGCGATCTCGACGAGGAGGCGGCGGCGCTCGCCGCAGCTTGTTGCGCCGCGGCCTCTGCTTCTGCGCTCTTGAGCTCGCGCGCCAGCGCCTGCTGCACATGCTTCGGCTCCGGCAGCTTGAGAGCTCGCGCAGGACGCTGCGGCCCCGCGAGGAGATCGTCGAGCTGTGCGCCGGCATCGAGGGCACTGCTCTTGCCGCTCAGCCAGCTCGTCACGCCCTTGACGGCCGCCGAGACGGCGCCGGGATGCGAGGGCATCGCCGCGGCCATCTTGGGGTCGAAGAGGTCGATCGCCGGTGGAGCGGGTCTGGGAAGCCCACCAAAGAGCGTCGACAGTCGCACGTCGCTGCTCGAGGCTACCTCGAGCACGTCGCCGGTGCGCAGCAGCGAGACCGACAGTGGCGCCTGTGCCGCCGCACTGGCTTCGCGGCGCGGCTTGTTGTGCAGGCGCGCAACGGGCTCCAGGTGAGGAAGCGAGAGGATGCGTGTGGAGGTGGGCGTGATGACGGCACACACTCGCTCGTTGTGGCGCTCGACGACTTGAGCTTGCAGGATCGGCTCGCCGACGTCTGCCTTTGCCAGACGCGCACCCGTCAGGCCCACGCGGAGCACCACGTGTGAGCCGCCGGCTGCGAGCAGCAGATGCGACTCGTGGCGCGCGACATCTTCCTCGTCTGGCCTCTCTTGCTCTCGCAGCGCAGCTCGTAGGTCCGTCGGCAGGGCGCTGCATTCGATGCCTTTCGCATCGAGCACCGCCAGCGACACGGGCGCCGTGAGTTCTTCGGTCGCGGCCACGCCCGTGCGCAAGCAGGCCCAGCCAGTGGGCAGATTGACGAACGTGCGCACCGACACGGCGCCATGGCGCAGTACCACGAGTCGAGGCGCGAGCAGTGGATCGTCGGCGGAGCGCGCAATCGTGATGGTCATGCGCGTGATGACGCCCGAGCCTTCCTCCTCTTGCATCTTGCGAAAGTCGCGCGACTCGCGCTGCCCCTGCGGCGCCTGCGGCGTGTCGCTTGCGTCGCCGAAGCCTTCGCGGTAGACGATAGCGGCGCTGCGCAGGTCGAGCACGGCGAGCGCAGCGCCACACGCGACGGCGAGAAAGCCAATGTCGGAGACGGCCGTCGCGGTGACGCCGCCTCGCACGAGATCGAGCATGAGCGTGGGCTTGAAGCCGTCGGTCTGCCAGTCTGCAAAGTGTCCGAGCGGCTCGACTTGGCGCACCATCGCTCCCGTCACGGCAGCTGTAGCGGAAGGGCCAGACTCGGCACTGCTCTCGCGCGTATGAGGCTGCATGAGACGCCGGGCGTCGCGACGGGGACGAGGAGGCGGCGCTGCCAGTGCGCCTCGCGAGCCGCTGGATGGAAGCGTCTGCGATGCAGTACACAGCGGCCTTGCGGTTGGCTCCGGCGGGCCTGTGCCGAGTTCGCGCATCGCCGCCGACATGGCATCGTCGAGATGAGTCGTTCCCGGACTTCGCAGGCTCGGACTTCTCGGCTCCGCCATCTCGCGCGCCGCCGCTTCGTCCTGCGCCACTTCGCGCGCCACTTCGCTGCGCAGCGCCTCGGTGTGCGAGGCGCGCGCAAAGTCGAAGCGAAAGTGCAGCACGGCGCCGCCGGCGAGCACGACGGCGAGCTCGAGGGCGTCCGGGGCGAGGGCGACATCGACGATGCCGAGGCGCGAGACGTTGCTGCGCAGCCGAGCAAACGTGCCGCCGTCGTTGGAGTCGAGGACGAGGGTGCGCACGGAGATGGTGAGGTGCGGCAGGGCACGCGGGAAGGGCTGCTGCAGCACCGGCTCCGCAGGCGGCACTGTCGCAGCGGAGCCTCCTTGCGCAGACGCATCCTCCACGACGCGGCCCACGAGCAGCAGGTGCGCACTGACATCGGCAAAGCGCACCGTGCCGTCATGGTGCCACGTCAGCATGAGGCGATAGTCGTCGCTTCCACGCGCGAGCAGCTCGGGCGACAGGCCGTTCTCGGTGCGTGGATGTGCGGCGCCGCCGCGCAGAGGCAGCTCTGTGCCCTCGCCTGCACTTGCTGCCTCGGCCAGCTCTGCAGCGACACTTCCGTCGCGCGCAGCACCCTCGGCGCCGAGCAGTCGCCGATAGGCGTGTGCGCTGACATTGAAGAGGCGAGCACCGAGCACGGCGCCACTGCCCGCAAGGCTCAGCGCCAGGGGCAATGTCCTCGGCTTGGCCTGCGCATGCGGCGAGGGTGGAAAGGAGAAGGCCTGCATGCCTCGCGAGGTGCCCGCAAGTGGAGGCAGTCGCTCATCGGCGCCGACGAGCGTGAGGATGCTCGTGGGATCATGCGTGCCTCCATAGTGCGGCGAGCTGCGAGGAAGCAGCAGAAAGTCTTCGCAGACGCCGCACGTCGGCAGGCGCGTCTCGAAGTCGGAGGTGAGCGACTTGCGCAGCGCCGCGCGCTGCTTGGCCACGGCGTCGGGCGCCTTGGAGGCCCAGAGGGAGAGCGGCGCACTGTAGGGCGGGAAGTGCCAGTTGGCCAGACCGGCCGGCTCGACGTCGAGTATGCCGCCGCCGAGCACAGTGAGGATGGTGCCCTTGCTCGCGTTGGCCGAAGAAGCGGAGGCGGCGGAGGAGGAGGAGGCAGAGTCTTGCATCGCGCTGCTCGCCATGTCGCGCCACGTCGCCGCGGGAAAGCTGGACCAGGCGAGCTTGAAGATGGGCTCGCGCGTGAATCTCCTCTGCGGCGCCTCTGCCGCGGGAGGCGCTTGTGGACGCTCGACGTCGAGCGCATCCAGCGTCCTCACCATGAGCGGCTTGTCGCCGTCGTCGGCACTCCAGAACGAGACGACGCCATCGGCGTGGCCCATGGCAAAGACGGAGCCGCAGGAGCGCCACGCCACACATGTGGCCGCCGAGGCGCGCTCCGTCCACAGCACGTCGTCGGCCGCGCCGCCGGCGCCGGGTGCGCCGGGCAGCAGACGCAGTTGGAAGGAGCGCAGCACGGAGCGCGTCTTGAGATCAAGCAGGCAGGCGCCGCCTTCGTATGCGAGCAGCAGGCGCGACATGTCGAGCGGGTGCGTCTTGATGTCTGTGTTTTGTGTGTGCAGGTGCCATCAGCCATTGCCTGCCAATGAAGACTGCCGCCCGTCGAGCCGTCGAGAGTGGGAGAGCCAACACTCACCGATGATCATGGGCACATGCCGTCGACTGGGTGCATCTGGCACGCCGGACTTGCGCAAGCTAGACACATCGCGCTCAACCGACTCAGCCTGCCAAGCCAAGCAGAGGTGGGGGGGGGGGGCAGCCTCTCGAAAGAGAGGCAGAAAGGGCGGGCAACACTCACATCTCCTCCTCTTCCCACCAAAGATTGGGGATGCGATAGGGCGACACTACCGCTCTCTCCAGACTGCACGCACACACACATCAGCTTTCTGCTCCCCTCCTCTGTGGGCGCATCGCACAGCACACTCACTCATACGCGTCCACCGTGCCGTCCCTGAGGCCGAGGAGCACATGCGCATGGCCCGGCTGCACCTCGACACACGTGATGCCGTTGCGCGCCGAGTGCGCCGCGATGCGCAGCGGCGTGTCGGCGTGCAGCGTGGCGCCGCTGAAGACGGGCGCGAGCCCGGCGGTGCCGCCTTGCCCTTTTGTGGCGCTCAGAGCGGCGTCGCTGCGCGAGACGTCGAAGATGGCCAGGTTGTCCTTGACGTCTGCCCACGCGCTATCAGCTGTGCTCCGGCATGCGAGAGAGAGGTGGGCGCAAGCGGCTCACCGGCAACGACGAGCATGCCACTGCCGGCCCTCCACGCCAGATGCCGAATCGCGGCTGCCGGCCGGAGCGCCCATTCGAGCGAGAGGGTGCGGCCGAAGAGGTGCAGCGAGCCGCTGGCGGTGCCGAGGGCGAGATAGCCGAGCACGGGCTCGTATGCGAAGGCGCTGACGGCGGCGGGGAGCGCGAGCGAGGCGAGCCACGCGTCGCTGAAGGAGGCAGCGGAGGAGGAGGAGGCGAGAGAGCAGGACCAGTCGGCGCTTTCCAGCTCGGGCGGGATGCGCGTGGGCAGGCGCAGCCAGGAGGGCGGCATGGCTGCGCGTATGCGGCCGAGGAGCGAGGAGAAGGTGGAGGAGGAGAAGCAAGCCAGGTGCGAGGCACGGACAAGAGGCAACTCAAGGTGACACCGCACGCGCCGCCTCCGCGGATCTCGCAGCGCAAGGCCGGCCTTCTTCTTGGCGTGGCGGGGCGTAGCGTGCACGTGCCTCCTCGGTGCCATGCCTTTGCCCCGTGTGATGCGCGCGCTGCCTCGCTGCCTCTTTCCTCTGCTCCTCCTTGCCCCTCCTCGCACCCGCCTCCGGCATCAGCGTGTGTCATGTCCTCCTCCTCTGTGCCCCTCGACGTCGCCGCGCTCAAGGCGCACTACGACACGCACGGCTACGTGCTGCTGCCCTCCACTCTCTCTCCCTCCTACCTCGCCTCGCTGCGCGCCGCCGCCGCACACGCCACGGCCCTCACGCGCGCCGGCGCCTGGCCGCATCGCCGCGTCGTCGGCAAGGCCTTCCCGCCGTTTGACGCCGAGAATAGCGACAGCTGGGGCGTGCAGCATCTGCTGCATCCACGCATGCCCCGCGCCGACGTCTTTGCCGCCTTCTATGCGCGCGACGAGCTGCTCGACGTCGCGGCGGCGCTGATTGGCACGCCGCGCGAGGCGATGCAGATGGAGCTCTTCAACCTCCGTACGTTGCTGCTGCTACTCCTCCCTTCTTGCGGTGCTGGCAGGCTGACGCAGCGCACAGTGATCAATCCGGCGTCGCACGCCTTTGCCCTCGCCTGGCACCGCGACGACATGCGCCCCTCTCTCTCCCCCACCGAGGAGGCCGCGCGCCTGGCGCTGCCCTGTGCAGGCGTGCAGTTCAACACGGCCCTCTACGACGATGCCTGTCTCTTCCTCGTCTCCGGCACGCATGCGCGCGTTCTGGACGCGGCGGAGCGCAGGGCAAACGAGGCAAAGGCGCCCGAGGCGAGGAGAGTGGAGGAAGAGGGCGCGCAGGGGGAGAGCATGAGGCAGGGCAAATGGAACGTGGATCCAACGACGGCGATGCAGGTGGAACTGAAAGGTGAGTCTCTTGTTTCCCGCCCCTTTCTCATCCCCCCCGGCCCTCAACTGGGCTACGACTCCGGAGAGCCTCACCTTTCTATGCGCTGCTGACGCCCCAAGCCAACCCCAACCAACCAAAGCGGGCCAGACAATCTTCTACTCGCAGCGCCTGCTGCATCGCGCCAGCTATGTGCCGCAGCGGACGCGCGCCACACTGCATGGCTGCTATGGCGGCGCACTGCATGCTGCCGCTGGTGCTGCGGCTGCTGCTGCTGCTGCTGGAGAGGGAGCAGAAAAGGACGAGGGGCGCGAGGGACAGGCGCAGAGGGAGTTGGTGCAGGAACGAGCGCGCAATGTCCTGCAGGTGAGTCCTCCCCTCGTTCCCACGTCACGCTTCGTAATCTTCGCCGGCGCCTTCGTCTCTTCGTCTCTTAGCCACAAGCAAAGGATCGAAATTGCCGTTCGATTTTCCAGAGCGCCAGGCTTTTCCGGAAATGCTGAACTCAGCAATCTTCCCTTCTCTCTCTCTCTCTCTCGCACTCAGCACGGAGTGGAATGGATGCGCGATCCCACATTCGGCGCCTCCTTGCCTCCCTCTTTACAGCCCAGTGAGTCTGCCCCTGAAGGCCTCTGCTCCTCTCTCTCTCTCTCTGCCTCGTCCCACCTCCGTCGTGGCCCCCCCATCGTTTCGTCGCACGCGTTACTTCCTGTGTGTCCTTCCCTCATCTGAACTCCTGCTGCTCGTCACGCACAGTGTGGAGCAACCTGCTCGCCATGGAGGCGCAGGCGCGCCAAAGCGGCGTGCAGTTGGGCTACTCGCTCGAAGGCTAGAGCGGCGGCGGCGGGCGGGCGGGCGGGCGAGCAGGCGCCGGGGGGGGGGGGGGGGGGCAGTGCCTCCTTCCTCCTCTCCTCTCCTCTCCTTCCTCACGATGGCGATGGCCAATTATACCCCTTGCATTGAAATTCTACCAGGCCTTGCTAAGCTGCGCATCCAGACACAGCCGCATGCCGTCGCGCGTCTCGAAGAGCGGCCACGGCGCTGCTGCCGCGCGGGCCGAGGCCGAGTCTGCGGCTGGTGCTCGCGCTGCTGCGCCGTCTGCTCCTTCAGCGGCAGGCGGCGCAGGCGCAGGCGCGGCGTCGGTGTCGACGTCGACGGCGCTTGCGCTTGCGCTTGCGGGCTGAGAGGAAGAAGCCGGCGTGTGCTGCGGCGCAGCGAGCACGGCCAGCTGCAGGGCGCGTACGAAGAGCTGCTCGACGACGCCTTGTAGTTTCGCGCCCGACTGCGCAAAGTCCGGTTGCTGGGTTTGGGATGGGAGTAAGTTGCCCCTCGCTTTCTCAGCTTTCTCTTCTCTGCGCGAGCGCGGCGGGAGCGAAGAGGCGCTGGGGGAAGGAACTCACCGCATTCACTTCCAGCAAATAACTGCGCAGTCTCGGCTCTTGCGCCTCGTCCGCCGCCTGTGCCTGGTCCTCCCACCCAAGCAGCAGATCGACGCCGAACACCTCCCACGCATTGGGCCACGTCTGCCAATGCACGCTGTTTGCGCGTGCCGCCGCCTCAAAGACGGCGCCGAGGGTGTGTGCCACATGGGCGACGCAGGCGTCGTGCTGCTGCTGCGTGAAGATGGCTTGTTCCGAGGAGGAGGAGGAGGAGAGCATGGGCGAGCCGATGAGGTCGGAGAAGAGATGCACATTCTCCTCTGCTGGTCGGCCGGAGGCAGTGGAGCTGCCATCGGCGTGGAGACACGTGTTGCTGAGATGCACCCGAGGATCTGGCTCGCCAGCTGCCTCGCCTGCTTGCGGAGAGGCATAGGGCAGCGGCGCAAAGAGGGCGAGGAGCGAGTCGTAGAGATACACGCGCAGCCCGCCGACGCAGAGCACGTAGGCGCGCAGATGGAACTTGCGCGGCGAGAAGGCGGAGGCGGAGGCAGAGGGAGAGGCAGAGGGAGAGAGGAGCAGAGGACGAGAGAGATACTCCTGCGCGCCGGACGGGCGTCGATGGCGGAGGGGTTCAGTAGTGTACAGAGAGAGAGTGAGGAAGATGAGTGGGGAGTAAGGGGCGGGGGGGGGGAGGGTTAGATGGAACACGCACCTGAATGACGAAGTGCCGCAGCTGGCCCAGCATGCCGCCATCGCCCTGCTCTTCCTTATTTGCCTTCTCCTTCTCCTCCTCCTTCTCCTCGCCGTCCGACTCTTGCTCGCTCTCGCTCTCCTCCTCCTCCATGTCCTCCAAGATGGCCCTGAGCCCTGCCTCGTCGTGAAAGAGGCGGATGCCATGGCCTCGGTCCGCCATGCCCGGCTTGAGAATGTACCATGTCTGCTCTGCCGCCTGCTCTGCCTCGCCCTCGCTCGCGCTCGCGGCGGCGTCGAGCGCGGCCTTGAGATCGTACAGCTCGTCGAGCAGCAGTTCGTCGAGCTCGTCTGCGAACTGCAGCTCGACAATCCACGTCTTTGGCGTGAGGCTGCGCGGGTCCAGCAGGCTGCTGCCCTCGCGCGAGGCAGCGTGCGTCTTGAGGGCATGGGCATGCAGCGCGTGCGCCAGGTGGTGCTTGCGGATGAGCGCCTTGCGGATCACATAGCTGCTGCACTGCGCCTGCGTTGCGGAGCCCAGCAGCGAGGAGAAGGGCAGCACGTCGTAGTCGGCAAAGTAGAGGGCGTGCCCTTGCGGTGCCTGCGGGGAGGAGTCGCCAGGCAGAGTCGCCCCGTTGCTGCTGCTGCTGCTGCTGCTGTCGCTGCTGTCGCTGTCGCTGCTGCTGCCCAGCCCGTCGACGACGGCCCAGCCGGCGCCGCCGAGGACGCGGCGCGCGGCGGCGAGGGCGCGCGCGTGCGTGTAGGGCGCGCCGGGAAAGGCGACGTATGCGGAGCGTGCGGCGGCGCAGGACGCCGAGGGTGCGCAGGAGGCCATGCTGGGCGCCCAGAGAGGCGTGGCGGGTGCGCGAGAAGAAGCGCGAAGAGGAAGGGTGAGGCGCGCCGACAACGTCGAGGTGGAGCAGCGAGATGCGGCACGTGCTGCCACCCAAAAGCGCGCGCGTCGACTCGACTCGAGCCGGCCGGGCGTTGGCTGCTCCGTGCGCCGAGACGAGCCTCGGCACGCAGCACGCGTCCTTGCTCCACACCACCACCATCCTGGCCTTGGCGCGGCGGAGCTCGCCCAGCCATGTCGCTCAACCTCCTCGCCATCCCGCCCAAGACGACGGCGACGCCCTCGGCGCACCTCGCCGCCGCCCTGCACGCCCACATCGCCGCGCACTTCACCGACGCGCACCCGGCCGCCTTCGATGGCGACCTGGCGCGCCTGCAGGAGGCGCGCGACGAGGCGGTGCATCTCGACGGCCATGAGGTGGGCGTGCGGAGAGTGGAGGAGTACTACGCCTTGCTCAAGGCACTCGCCAGCAAGTTTCCGGACGAGGTGAGTCGCATGAGGAGCAGAGGCAGCAGGGCAGGACAGTGCGTGGCGTCGCAGCTGGCTGCCGAGTGGCCATGAGAGCAGAGGCAGCAAGGCATGCAGCAGAGGGACGTGGCAGCTGGCTGCCGGCTGCCATGCGGTGCCGCTCGACAAGGCCTTCTCATCAACGCCTCACCTTGCCCCATGCTGACCTTGGCAGCAGATCAACCTCGCCTTCTCCTGGACGCTCTCCTTTCCCTCCTCCACCTCCTTCTTCTCCTCCGCGCCCTCTCCGCCCTCCTCTCCCTCCCTCTCGACGCCCGCACGCTCCTCGCTCTCCCACGCGCCGGGCGGCTTCACCTACGTGGCGCACCCGACGCTGGCGTACGAGCGCGCCGCGCTCCTCTTCAGTCTCGCCGCGCTGCAGAGCCAGCTGGCGTGCGTCGAGACGCGCCTGGACACGGAGAGCTGCAAGCGAGCGGTGGGCGCGTTTGCGGTGAGTTTTGGCCTTTTTTCCGGCGCCGCTTGCGACGATGGGTGCAGAGCGCGCGGCGCATGCGACACCAGAGGCTGCCCGCCGCGGGGGGGGGGGGGGGGGGGGGGGGGGGGGGGGGGGGGGGGGGGGGGGGGGGGGGGGGGGGGGTCCCTGAGAGCCGAGCCCGCTCGGCACGCAATGGCGTGCAAATGGCCACATCTCGCTGGACAGCTCGGGGGCGATAGGGCATGGGGTCCTAGCGGCGTGGTTGGTGTGTTGGAGAGGTCGACTATAGATCGGGCGTGTGCCTGGGGGGCAATGCGCACAGGCGGGAGCAGCACGCCCGTCTCGATGCGCTCAGGCTGGGGGCGGAGAATCTGCGCGCTCGCTGCGCTTCGGCTCGGCTTCGCTTGTTGCAAAGCCCGCACAAGGGCTCCGCTCATTCTTGCCTCTCTCTCTCTCTTTCTCGAACAGGCAGCAGCCGGCATTCTCTCGCACCTCCTCTCCCTCATCCCCACGCTCGCGTCCACCTTCGCCGCCGCGCCGCGCACCGCCGACAGCGATCTCTCCGCTGCGACGCTGCGTGCGCTGCGCGACGTCATGCTTGCGCAGGCGCAGGAGTGCGCCTGGGCCAAGGCCGTCGTCGACCGCATGAAGGACGGCACGATAGCCAAGCTGGCGGCGCGCGTCGAGGCGCTCTACGCCAGTGCCCTCGAGCATGCGGCGGCCAAGGGCGCCGACGCGGGCGCATGCGAGCTGCCCAAGGAATGGCAGAGCCATCTCGGCGCAAAGCGCTGGCACTTTGCCGCGGCGGCGCAGTTCCGCAAGAGTGTCGAAGACCTGGGCGCCAATCGCTACGGCGCCGAACTTGCGCGCCTGCAGCTGGCGCAGGCACACATCAAGAAGGCGCTCGAGCTTGCCAAGGCGAGGAATGTCTCGCCGGCACTCGCGGCCGATGCCAAGTCCTTGCAGGACGTCATCAACTCGAGTCTGAGCCGCGCAACGAGAGACAACGACCTCATCTATCTCGATCCCATCCCTGCCGTCGCGCAGCTCGCGCCCCTCGTGGGCGTGTCGATGGCGGAGCCGCGCCTGGCGCCCGACATTAAGGATCCGTCGGCCTTGGCGCGGCAGCTGGGCCCGCTCTTTGAACAGCTGACGCCGTACAGTGTGCACCTGGCGATGAGCATCTATGAGGACCGCAAAGAGGCAATGCTGAGGGAACTGGAGGAGACAAAGTCGGAATTGGAGGCGGATGCTTCTTCGTGAGTTCCCCCCCCCCCCTCTCCCCCCGCCCTCTCTCCTGCTTCGGCGCGCGCTCGTTGCGTGTGGGAAATCTGACACGTCCCTCCTTTCCCCTGCCTGCCTTCGCTCGCCCCCCCTACAAAACAACCGGGCAGCACACTGCAATCGCTCAACCTGCCGGGCTCGCTCTTGGCGCTCGAACAGCCGCTGGGCCTGCCGGCGTCGCTGCTGCGCAAGTCCGACGAGGTGCGCCTGTCGGGCGGCCTGGCGCGCCTGCAAAGCATCGCCGCCGACGTTGCGCGCGTCGCTGCTTCCGACGCGCGCCTGCTCGACGAGATCGAGGCGCATCTGGCGGCGGAGAAAGAGGAGGATGACGGCTTGAGAAGGGACTTTAAAGACAAGCATGTGGGCAATAGAGAGCCGAGCGACACGGCGGCAAGGGAGTTGAGGCGGCGCGCGGAGGAGTTTGCACAGACGCTGCAGCAGGCCAAAGGCAGCGACGACGTGGTGCGCGCAAAGATGGACGAGTGGGAAGATGTGATTGGCGTGCTTGACGGAGGCGAGGTACGTCTGTGCCCTTCCCCCCCCCCTCCCCCTCTCCGATCTCTTCACACACCCGCCTCGGCATCGCTGACCAAGTCACACACGCTCCTCACGGGTGGCGGGCGGGGCGGGGGGGCAAACAGGCGGCGCTCACGGCCTTCATCCCCACGGGCGCACCGACGACGGCGCCGCAGAGTTCCGCGCAGACGCTCTGCGTGTCGCGCCTGCGCCGTGCCCTCGAGGCGCTCGACGACGTGCTCGACGCGCGCGCCGCGCTGCTGTCCGAAGCGCAGGCGCAGGCAAAGGCCGACGACGTCAAGCCGCACATCGTCGCGGCGCAGGCGCAGCAGCAGGCGGCACACGAGGGCGCCGCAGACGAGGCACAAGGCGCGCAGATGTTCGAGCCGATTCTGAGCGAGGGCATGGAGAAGTATGAACGCTTCAAGGAGGAGATGCAACGCAGTGCGCACGAGCAGGAGCAGCAACTTGAGGCGATCCGGGTCAGTTCCCTTTCCCACCCTCTTCTCTCTCGCGCTCTCAGCTGAACCCCCCCCCCC